CACGGGAAAGCCCCTTGACAAGGGCAAAGGACCAGCTGTCCGAGCTGTCAAGGGAGAAGAAGTTCCAGCAGTGAAAGCACTCACACTGGAAGATATTAACTGCATTGTAAACGAGAGGATCTGCCTCTCCAGCATGTACAACCCAGCGAAGAAAGAGGAACAGAAGGGTTTTTAGGGAGATCGAAGTTGACTGCGAACTTAGATCAGAAGAATCATTTTTCATTCTCGGTGACTCAGCAATTATGTTTGCAGAAGTATCAGAAGTTTGTTCTGGGAATAAACAAGACCATTTCTACTTGCCAGTTATGTTGGAGGGAAAACATAAGAAAGCAGCCGTCAATGCTCTAGTAGACTGCAGAGCAACAAACCTTTCCATCAGTGAAAAGTTTGTCAAAAAGAATCAAGTCCAAACCAAGCAGTTGTTGCAAGCGATGTCGATCCATAATATTGATGAAACAGACAATTCCACCAGACCAATTACAAGTTACACAGATTTAAAGCTCACAATAGGGGATCATGAGGAAGAAGTGGCCTTTCTAATCACAGATCTAGGAACCAATGATGTCATCATTGGAATAGATTGGCTATGATACCACAACCCCAGTATCGACTGGAATGCAGGAAGGGTAACATTAGACCATTGTCCGGTTAAATGTCAAGAAGCCAAGGTCAAGGACAAAAAGACCAAGGCGAAGATGCGAAAAGCCATGAACTTTTTGATCCCTTTGGTGTTGCCCGATTTGATACCGGCAGAAGATGACGAAGATGAGGATATCGAGGAAGCCTCTATCCATCATCAGAGGCAATTGACAGGCTTCAACTCATCACCTTTGTCGCTTGAATTACGAGGACATGTTAGGCTTAAGAATGAAGAACAATTGGACCTTGCTACTACTGTTGGACATGGAGCTACCAAGAATGTGCCTACGATGGAGGAGGTCGAAGATGAAGATTCATCACAGAACATGTGGATCAGATATAAGAGCTCTGTTGCATCAGAGTTAGCGCAACAGGAGGAGAAAAAGAAGGAAAAGAAGCCCGTAGAAGAAATGGTGCCAGAATGGCTCCATGACTATCTTAAGGTCTTCTCTGAAGAAGAGTCTACTCGATTCCCTGAGTCAAAAAAGTGGGATCACAAGGTGGACCTCAAGGATCCTAATGATCTTCCTCCTAACACAAAGGCATATCCCCTGTCACCTGCCGAAAACGAAGCATGTGGGAAGTGGTTAAAGCAAGAGTACAATTTGGGACGACTGAGAGATTCTGAATCTCCAGTAGCAGCTCCTTTCTTCTTTGTTGCTAAGAAGGACGGAAAGCTCAGACCCGTCATGGACTATCGGAGGTTGAATGAGAAAACCATCCGAAACGCATACCCTCTCCCTCATTCTCAAGACCTCATTGATTGTCTCTCCGGTGCAAAGCTCTTTTCGAAAATGGATGTTCGATGGGGTTACAATAATATTAGAATGAAGGAAGGAGACCAGTGGAAGGCTGCCTTCAAAACTCCTTTTGGACACCATGAACCAGTTGTAACATACTTCGGCATGACGAACTCCCCAGCTACTTTCCAAACTATGATGGACCAAATCTTCCAAGATCTGAAGGAAGGCAAGGTTGTTGTAGTCTACATTGATGACATCTTGGTTTTCACCAACGGTGATGTAGAGAACATCGGAAGGTGGTGCATGAGGTACTACAGAGACTGCAGGACAATGATCTCTATCTCAAACCGGAGAAGTGTTCCTTTGAAAAGAAAGAAGTGGAGTTTCTCGGTTTGATCATTAAAGATGGACACGTTTCCATGGATCCAGTCAAGGTTAAAGGAGTCCAAGAATGGCCGACTCCTACCTGTGTCAAGGATATCCAAAGATTCATGGGATTTGCGAACTTTTACCGTCAATTCATTCTCAGTTTCTCGAACATTGCCAGACCCATGAATGAACTTATTAGAAAGAATGTACCATGGGAATGGACAGACAAGCAGGAGAAGGCTTTCAAAACTCTGAAAGACAATTTCACTTCTGCACCAGTACTAGTTATGCCAGATGCAAATAAGAGACAGAAGATAGAGAGTGATGCATCTGACTATGCTACTGGTGGTGTACTTTCTCAGTTGGAAGAAGATGGACTATGGCACCCGGTGGCCTTTTTTAGCAAATCAATGCAGGATGCAGAGCGTAATTACAACATTCACGACAAAGAACTTTTAGCCATTATCCATGCATTGGAGGAGTAGAGGCATTATGTGCAGGGCACACCTCACCCGGTAGAGATTTGGACAGATCACAAGAACCTTGAATACTTAATGACAAGTCAGAAGTTAACTCATAGACAAGCGAGATGGTCCTTGTTCCTTGCAGAGTACAATTTTACACTGCAACACAAACCGGGGAAGGTTAACGACACTGCCGACACTCTGTCCAGGAGGCCAGACCACAGAGGGGGGGTAGAAAATGACAATTCGGATCGCGTGCTTTTAAAACCCGAGTTTTTCCATATCAAAGCCGCAAAAAGAGGTCAGATTCTGATAGAAGGAGAACAATCACTGTTGAAGCGTATCAGAAACTGTACTGATTTGGATTTGGAAGTCCGAAATGCTATTGAAACTCTGAAGAAGGCCCCTGTGCAGTTGAGAAGAGGATTGGAAGAGTGGAATATGGAGGATGGACTCATTCTGTTCAGAGGATTAGTTTATTTTCCCAACAACAAGGAAATATGTTGCTCAGTGCTAGAGATCTTCCATGACTCACCTGCAGCAGGACACATGGGACGCACCAAAACTCTCGAACTTGTCTCGCGAAACTACTGGTGGCCCCAGATGCAGAAATGGGTCGATGACTACATAGATGGATGTGATCGATGCAAGCAAACAAAGGTATTACCGTCAAAACCCCATGGACCTTTGAAACCAAACGAGATTTCAGAAGGACCATGGCAGACTATCAGCTGTGACCTTATCGTCGATCTACCCATCTCCCAAGGAAAGGACAGTATTCTAGTAGTTGTTGACCGCTTCACCAAGCAAACGCATCTTGCTCCGACCACGAAGGATGTTGATTCTAAGGGAATCACGGACTTATTTCTTAATCACGTATGGAAGTTACATGGGACACCGAAGAAGGTGATCTCGGATAGGGGAACACAATTTGTGTCCAAGTTCATGCAGGAAGTCTCAAAAAGACTAGGGACCAAGTGGTCCATGTCAACAGCATATCACCCACAGACAGACGGACAAACAGAACGAGTCAATCAAGAAGTCAAACAGTACCTACAACTCTTCACATCCTACAATCAGTCTGATTGGGTTTCTTGGCTTCCAATTGCTAAATTCACACATAACAATTCCATAACGATCACTGGACATTCCCCATTCAAATGTGTCTACGGCTACAACCCCGAATTCACAATTTCCCCTAACTCTTCCAACATGATTCCCCAAGCCGATCAAAGACTAGCCGAGATGAAGGAGGCACAAGAAGAGACGAAGGCAATGCTAGAAATAGCGAACGATTGAATGAAGTGCTTTTATGACCATAAGGTAAAAGATGCACCAGAATTCAAACCAGGCGACAAGGTATGGTTAGACGCGACAAACATCAAACAATGCCGTCCAAGCCAAAAGTTGTCCGAACCGCCGTCTTGGACCATTCAAAATTGAAGAGAAGACTGGACGAGCTAAACTACAAGTTGAAACTCCCTGTTAAATATCACATTCACCCAGTTTTCCATGTATCGCTACTCACCCCGCATCAAACCTCTCAATTCGTTGATCGCCCACCTCTAACGTGTCTGCCTCTGGAGATTGTTGACCAAGTCCCAGAATATGAAGTAGAGCAAATATTGCAAATGCGCCTATACAGACGCAAGTTGCAGTATTTAGTAAAATGGAAAGGATATGCAATAGAAGAAGCAACATGGCAGGCAGAAGAAGATGTGAAGAACATGCCGCTCATTGTAGCCGACTTTTGTGCAAAAAACCCCAATGTGGTTAAATCAGCGCATATCTCCGCTTCAATTCTAACAACCCCTGATTTCCTTGAATGGAGACAGAAAAATATACGACCATCTTACATTCGCGAGGATGCTCATCCTAGAAAGGGGGTAATGTCACGAATTCCTAATATGAATCATTTTTCATTTCTCAGTTTTCCTTCGGCTACTTCCAGTACCTGAACCGGTCACGTGACACCTTCACCTATCGCATCTCCGATTGGCTCCCCTACTCCATGAGCTAGAACAATCTTGCTTCCCAAAGAAGAACCAGTCGGATCTTGGGTTTCTGTTTAGTTGCCGTCTTACTCATCTGCTTATATATCATGATGTCATGCTCAGTCATCCACAGTATCGTACAACTCTTTTCTCATTGGCTGATTTCTTTCAGACTCAGATATCTCCTATTCAATGTTATGTATAAAAGTAGGTTAGTTAGTGTAAGTACTCCTTAGACTTAACCCTTCGTTCTCTACAGTTGTAGTAGACCTAGACGTTCACGCTCAAATCTATCTTGTTCCATCATCATCTGTGACCAAGTCCTAGTGGTTGTTGTCTGACTTTACCATTCGGTGAACTCAGGTCATAACACTGTGACCAAGTCCTAGTGGTTGTGTTCTTGCCTTTGCCATTCAGTGAACGCTGGTCATAACACAGGGTGTGCAGTTTTTTGATGTGTCGGTTCAAACACACTACTTGCTGGAGTTACCGAAGAGGCACAATTCCCAGGCACATCAGACAATGGAGTCAATCCTCACAATGAAGGGGCAGTTGAAGTAGGGGTGAGAACTTGGTGTCACAGACACACATGAGCTCAATGTTGCTGTCCATCCAAATGTAACAAATGGATCTGTGAGCGGCCAAGAGTGGGGCAGCAGAGGGGAGGAAACTGGAGAAACTGGAGCCAAGCTGTTGTCCTCTGCAACAGGTATGTTACCACACTGACCTCAGCAGTCTATGTTATTCACTCACCTTCATTGCAAAGACTTGGGTCAATTGATGTATGGGCATCAGCTACCATCCCATCCAACATTTGCTCGTCCTTGTCTCTTGTATCTGGAGTCTTGTAGCAGCATCAAAGCTGCAGCCTCCTCATTAGTTCTTCCAACTCAGCTACACTGATCCCAGGGATCAAAGGCAGGGAGCAGCAGTTCTGCAGGGCTTGTGGATGCAAAAAGGTCGAGAAACTGTGAGGATGACAGTCCTGTTGGTGGATGTGCTTGTTTGGATGCAGTTGTGTTGGGTGCATTCTCAAGCTTTGTGACAGGGGCTGGTGGTTGCAGTCTTATGGTACTGGAGGGCTTAAAGGGAGCAGCATTGGGATGCAAAGGCACATTAATATGTGGTGTTACCTTGCTCATGATCTCAGTAGGTGCAGGACATGGATAGCCAAGGATAGAAGCTGCAATAGGGACCGGATTAGTAGCAAGCAAATATGTGGAACCTTGTCCAGGAGAACGACAAGGAACACTTAAATGGATCGGACAAGAGTAACAGGACGAAGCTGTGGATTCTTTGAGCATTGTACTAATGGATATGTGGTAGTAGGTTGTCTTTGGTTTGGCTGCATTGGCATCAGATTCAGTGAGAGTTTTGTAGGAAGATGCATCAGGTGCGCCATCAGTACAGTCTTTGGATTGATGCGAGACGTAGAACTTCCTGCACTTGAAGCAACCTTTATGCTTCATTAGCAAAGCGTGTTCCGTTTCTGTCAGGGATCCCAGACGAGGCAATGAGGCGTTATACGTTTTTGAAGACGAGGATGAGATTTTGTTTGTGGCAGTTGTGACTCGCTTCGACAACCTGTGAATCTCTTCTGCAATTTTCCTTTGAGAGGCTAGGTCTTCAAGACATTCATCATCAATATGTTTGACCTCTTCAATCCATTCTTTGAGAGTCAGGTCATCAGTGAGTTTAGCTCTGAGTACGGGAATGGTGAGCTCATCGCAAATATTAGCTTCGAGTTGACTCTGTAGTCAAACATCGGAGGGATGTGTAGGGTTTCCATATAACAAGGCATTTAGGTTCTGTAGGTCCAAGGCCCATTCATAGAATGCACAGTTGCCTTGTTGCGAACCTAGAACTTTCTTGCATAACTTCATGGCCCAGTGACTTTCGAGCCAAGCACTTCTGAGAGCGGTCATGTAGTCTGCAAATGTTCCTGCATCAAGGATCGCTCGTTGAGTTAGGTACCAGGTGCGTAAGTGTGGGTCTGCCATCCTAGATGCCATCATCTTGACCTGATCGACCACGTCAACTGCTTTGTGTAGGAAGTATGTTTTGCAGGCATTTTCCTAATCGCAGGCGACTTGTGGCGTGATTTCGCCTGCTGTAAGTTTGGGCGGTTTGTTGGGAGCAGATTGCTCAACAACAGCGGACTTAGTCATTTTGCGGGAGCAAGAGAGCAATATATGTGTCTGATCTGTTTCTGAGTCTGACGAGGAATCATAGTAAGTTTTTGCTGGAGCAGCACGTGTATTAGGTGTGACGTCGGGAGGTATTGGTGTTAAGGGAGATAAGGGTGGTTCGGGAGAGGAGTGTTGTCTATGGTTCCTGGCATGCTGTCACGTGGTCAGGGACGTGGAGACAGTAGGTTTCCTTTGTTCGGAAGGCAGTTTGACAGGTCAGGTAATGGGCGGGTAGCCTGGCAGTTTGAGAGGTAGTCATTTAGATAATCCAAACAAGTTCTGTTTCCTGTTAAAAAAAAGTGGAACCTTGTCCAGGAGAACGACAAGGAACACTTAAACGGATCGGATGAGAGTAACAGGACGAAGCTGTGGATTCTTTGAGCGTTGTACTAATGGATATGTGGTAGTAGGTAGGAGACCGGAGTCTGGCTTGAACGGTACAAGAATCGCAGAATATAAGGGGATGGATCACATGACGTGTGATAGAGTAAGCGCGTAGTAAGCAGTCAGCTTACAATATGGTTGCTTTGAATGGAACAATTTAATAATAGCAGCACTGGTTATTCTAGGAAAATGAGTGCCTTTATTTGGTGTTCAGGCACTCATTACATGGACAAAAAGTAAGATAATCACCGCCTCGTTATGTCGCAGTTATGATGTGAAATTTCGCCCTTTATTTGATGTTTTCCCCACATACACCCCAACCAAAACTTTGCCGCAAAGTGCAGTGTACACCTTAATTAGATTACTTGGACAAAGGTGACATATTGGTAGCACTGTTATCTAGTTGTTATCTCGTGAAAACTTGCCCTTTATTTGACCTCTCAAAGTGCCTTCCTCCGGAACGACCGTTGACGAGAATAGAATTACGTACCTAACGGAGCAAATCAAGAACGACGTCATAGGAATCGCAGACACCAAGTTAATCCCGTGGCTGCGAGGAACTTGATCGACAGAAATATCTGCTCGTTCATTTCGCTTTTTTTCAACCCAATCACAACCAGAGACAAAAAAAACAGCTGCGCAAAGTCATAAGTCGACGACGGCGACCATATGCTAATTATATTATTACAACTCAGGCATAAATCGGGTGCGTTGCACGTGATCCGGAATGGATGGAATCTGTCATTGTCGAGACTCAATTGGACGCGACGACATCGCGATGTGCTTCTGTCCCTTTCCTGAGGCAAAAACCGGAAAGTCATGAAGTGCACAGAGAGCGGTAGGCTCACATATTGTCAGCTGATGATGTTCTCCGATTGCAGTAGGACTACTTACGCCCAAGGCGTCCTCCTGGTATAAAGATCCTGGACTTTCGACAATGAAAAGACCCATTCTCCATTCATCCTTTCACAACCAACTATACAACTTTCTTCAGTCCAAAACCTAGTCATGAAGGTGACGGTGTACCCCCCTGTCATAAATTCAAAGATCTGACGTGCCTATAGATTATCGCTATTCTTTACAAGGGCGGTGATGCTGCTACGAGCGAGCCCCGTCTCCTCGGTACTGTCGAGAACCAGGCTCGTATTGTCTCGGATGATAGATTATCTACAACTTGCTTACTTTCAACTTTCTATACAGCTCGGCATTCGCAAGTGGCTTGAGTCTCAAGGCCACGAGTTCATCGTATGTGTCGATGTTCCTCTTGCTTGTTCAGTTGCTCAATGCATCCATATGTGTAGGTGTCCGACTCCAAGGAGGGCCCTGACAGCGACTTCCAGAAGCACATCGTTGATGTATGCCCACTACTGTATCTCTATATATATATATATACCCGGGTGCTGATTTCTGTCTTAGGCTGAGATCTTGATCACGACCCCATTCCACCCCGGGTACCTCACTGCAGAATTGGTCGAGAAGGTATGTTGATCATATTTCTAGATCGAGTCATTGATATTCAACGGTTTCATACTCCTGACAGGCCAAGAATCTTAAGCTCTGTGTCACCGCTGGTGTTGGCTCTGACCACATTGACCTCAACGCCGCTGTCAAACGTGGTATTCAAGTCCTAGAGGTTTCAGGCTCCAATGTCGTCTCCGTCGCTGAGCATGTTGTAATGTCTATCCTCCTGCTCGTCAGGAACTTTGTTCCAGCACATGAGGTATGACGACCCGCTGGCGCGCGCTTCCCTCTGTTGATTTCTCGCTATCCTTAGATGATCGAGCGTGGAGACTGGATGGTCTCTGATATTGCTCGCAACGCCTTCGATCTCGAGGGCAAGGTCATTGGCACCATTGGTGCTGGTCGTATCGGTTACCGCGTCCTCCAGCGTTTGATGCCCTTCGACTGCAAGGAGCTCATCTACTATGACTACGCTCCCCTGCCTGAAGGTTCGTACTCTATACTCGGCCATCTCCAGCTTGACTGATGCAATTACAGCTGCTGCTAAGGCCGTCAATGCTCGTCGCGTCGAGGACCTCAAGGAGTTCGTCTCGCAGTGCGACGTTGTCACTGTCAACTGCCCCCTGCACGAGGGTACAATTGGTCTTGTCAACGCTGAGCTTCTCAAGCACTTCAAGAAGGGTGCATGGATCGTCAACACCGCTCGTGGTGCCATCTGTGACAAGGACGCTGTAGCTGCTGCTCTTGCAAGTGGTCACCTGAACGGTTCGTGACCCCACTACGTGATATCTGTATATCGAGTTAACATGACGACAGGTTACGCCGGTGATGTTTGGAATGTCCAGCCCGCACCAAAAGACCATGTCTTGCGCACGGCTAAGAACGTCCTTGGCGGTGGTAACGGCATGGTACCTCACTATTCTGGTACCACTCTCGATGCTCAGGCTCGTTATGCAAACGGCACCAAGAGCATCATCGAGAACTACCTTTCTGGCAAGCCCCAGGAGCCTCAAAACATCATTGTTGGTGTTGGCAAGTTCGAGACCAAGGCCTGTGAGTACCTATTTAGACCTTTCGGTCGTTGGTCTTTTCTGACGTGTTTTTGTAGATGGTCAGCGTTGAAGTGCAGACATGCCTGCCTGATATCATCATCAATATGTACAAAACAAATATGGATTCGTATGTCTATGGGAAGAACATTGAACAAGGATGTACGATAGTAGAAAATAATACGATGAAACGTTCATATGAAGTCTAGATTATGCACGAGTTCACTGAGTATCACTTGCTGGAGACTGCAGATTTGAGACAGAAACAGTTTTAAACAATTCCATCAGCCTGCATATCGCTCGTCACGCGAGAGTGACTGGGCTGTCGTTGGACTTCTATTTTTGGATGAGTACAAACAAGGGACAACATAGTGAAGGAGAATTTGACTCTCGTGCACCCTTGACTGCGACAGGACGTGTTCAACGGGTACAAGGTATATCCTCGTTGTTAGGTACGTTGAGCTCAGTCAATTGTATAACGCTTATAAAGATATTCAGTCTAGGTAGAGGGTATCATCACTTGCCAGTTTTTTTAGCATGAGTGATCGAACGATGGCAGGGGCGTCGCCGCCATATCCTGGACCATCAAATTATTATCATCACCAGCATGCTGGGTACGCATACGGTTCAGCGGGGCCTTATCCTGCTCAATATCAACAATATCCTCATATTCCAATGAATGGACATGGTCATCCTATTCATCACCGTCAACCATTAAATTTCCATCCACACTACAATTATTCCCATCCTCATTCTCCTACTGCCTATCCTCCTCGTTCTGCTCCTTATTCTCCAACTTACCAAATTCACCCTAGTCCATCTTGGCAACAACATCAGCAACCCCTTTCTCCCCTACCAAAACAACTATCGACTCTTCCTTCTCTATCACTCTCTCCTACTACACAACAAGATTCTCTTCCAATCCAGAAAATTAGCAGCGATCAGATCGAAAACCAATTCATAGAATCCGAGGACAACCTTCAAAAGACGCCCCCAGCCACTCCCCCGCCCCAATCTCCCATGTCTTCGCCTCGTCCAAGTACAGACCCAAAACTTGGTGGTTGGGTCATCTGGTCAAAACGTCCCTCCGATCCATCTGCTGCTCCTGGTATCATCATCTCCCCTCTCGCTCGTCCTCCTCGTGATGTTATTCAATACGCCCTTGACATTCCTACGCCCCCTCCATCTCCTACACCCGAACCACCCGTTGCTTTACCCTCAGCGCCTGTCCCTTCAGAGCTTCCAGATGGCACAGAATCAAATACGACCCCTGCTCTATCTACAGCACCTGATACGCCTGTCCCTGGCTCCCCAGTATCCACTAATACTTCCTTCTCCCTCGCAAAGGCTCCTGAACAACCTGAAGAGAACCCTTCGGTATCGGTGTCCGAGGCCGCGTCATCGGCCGCCGAGCCGTTTAATGAACATTCTACTTCCACTTCCGCAGAACCTGCTGTAGAGCCTCGAGTATCATCCACTGATCCTCTAGAATCACAGAAACCATCTGACGTAGAGGTTTCCACGTCCACTGCTGCGCCCCAGCCATCTGATGCAGAAACTTCTACGCCCGTTGCTGCACCCAAGTCATCTGATGAAGAACCCTCCGCGGCTGCGCCGAAGCCATCTGACCCAGAACCCTCCACATCCACCGCTGTACCAATACCTGCACCCGCTCCAAAGCCTGCCCCTGTCTCATGGGCATCTCTTCTCCGCAAACCTGGCCCCTCTCACCTCCCCGCCTCATCCGTCGTGGGTTTCTCCATTCCAGCCTCCCCTCCGCCCACCACCAAGGCCGCCAAAACCACATCGCACCCTAAAAAGTCCGAACTTCTGACTCTGCTTAGCTCTGGCGCACAATCCGGAGCAGGCATGCGCATCAAGCCGCGTGGGCTTGTCAACGCTGGGAACTTGTGCTTCGCAAACGCGGTGCTTCAAGTCCTCGTGTACTGTCCTCCGTTCTGGAAGTTCTTCACGGACCTCGGGCGCTTGCTTGAACCTACGGAGGAGTCCAAGACGCCGCTCGTAGACGCGACGATCCGGTTTGTGAAGGAGTTTGCGCCAAAGGATAGGGCACCTGTAGAAGGGAAGGGGAAAGGGAAGGGTGTTGAGCGGTATGGAGCAAATGGACTTGTGCATGAGGAAGTGGAAGAGGATATTATGGATTCGTTTATGCCGACTTATGTACATGATGCATTGAAGGAGAAGAAGAGGTTTGATCATATGCGCGTGAGTGGACGTCCCTCCATCTTAATACTACTTTGGTTCTGATTTGTATTGACAGGGCGGACATCAAGAAGATGCAGAAGAGTTCCTTGGATTCTACCTCGACACGCTCGAAGAGGAGCTCTTAACACTCTCCTCGGCACTCACCAACCCCAACGCAGCTCCAGCTCACCAAAACAGCAACGCCGCAACCAACAATACGCAAGAAGAGGGCTGGCTCGAGGTCGGCAAGCGCAACCGTACCGTCTTCACACGTACCGTACGTTCACCTTTTTCTCCAACCGAACATATGCTCACCTTCCCCAGACCAAGACAGCCGACTCGCCCATGACGCGTATCTTTGGCGGTAAGTTCCGTTCCACCCTCCGCGTGCCTCATCAAAAAGACTCTGTCGTCGTCGAGGACTGGCGTAGTTTACGGTTAGACATCCAAGTTCGTCACTTCCGCCTCCGCTAAGCGTGCTCGACTAACTACTGACACAGCGCGACACAATTCACACCATCAAGGACGCACTTACCCACATCTCCTCCCCCCAATCCGTCCAAGTCACCTCCGTCACGCGGCCAGGTGCCACCCTCGACGCATCCCAACAAGTGCACATCGATTCCCTCCCTCCAATCCTCATCCTCCACCTCAAGCGTTTCTTATATGACGCTAACAAAGGCGGGGTTGCAAAGGTTGGAAAACAAGTGGCTTTCGCGCCAGAGCTTGATATGGGTACAGAAGTGATGGTGCCTGGTAAGAAGGTACATGGGACGCGGTATCGTTTATTCGGAGGTATGCCCTTTCCCTCTTTCCCCTCTTTCCCATCCCCTCTTTGCATCAACAAACTGACCCACCCATCTCCAGCGGTCTACCACCACGGCCTGACAGCTTCAGGCGGCCACTACACCCTTGACGTCCTGCACCCCAACGTCGACATGACGCACCCCCCTACAAAACCACGCGAGGGGTGGATACGCATCGACGATGAGTTGGTTTCGGATGTGAGAGCTGAGGATGTGTTTGGGCCTGTGGAGAGGGATGAGCTTAATGGGAGGTGTGCATATTTGTTGTTTTATCGGAGGGTTGGGGCGGGGGCGGGGGCGCGGACTTTGTAGCGGTCGCGTTAGTTGGTTGATTGATTTTGCTAGATTTTTGGGTTGTGAATCGATGAGTTTTTGTCTGGACTTTGTGTTGCGTTGAGCTGAATATTAAATTTTAGCTTGAGTTACTTTAGAGGAGACGGATGTCTGAACAGTGAGAAAAATGCATTTCGAGACTTGAAGCCCCTCGGTTTCTCAGATCTCAACTTCAACCACAACAACTTTCACTACGCATACTATGTCCCTCATTCGATGACCGCGCTTGGGAGGCATTCGGAGTTCAGGATAGTGACCCGAGTGCACTCGTGTCTTCTGGTATCCACGCGAACTCAGGCGCGTCGGCCATACAAGACGCATCAGCCCGCACCGAAAGAGTCGGATCACGCATTGGTCCACCCCAAGCCGGCGATGTCAACAGCAACCGCCGACCATCATTCTATTCATCAACTACGTTCCGTCAATCTTCCCTCATTTGAAGGATTCATCGGATTTCTTTTCTATCCTCTCGATGCTCACAATGGCCCTCGCGGGGTTTTGTATCTGGCGCTGAACCACCGTTATTGGAGCAATTCAAACACCCTTTTGTTCCTCCTAATCGCGTGGTATGTCGTGGTGATCGAACTTTACAAACCCCATCCTGGTAAGCCGTTCTTTCAATTGACGATGATCGCTATCAACAATTTGAAGTCTGGGACACATTTCAAGCCACCGTCGGCGTGAAGGTCATCCGTTGGATCATCGTGGTCATGGTTGCGATCGCGTTTGGGTTCTTCTGTGCCTGTGTAGGATTCGAAGTCAAATAGCGGCTGTTGTGCCATTTCAGAAACGCCGCCACCGGTATGTACAAATGTTCGAATGTTCATGAGTTACTGATCTTGCCTCAAGTTATTCGGTCTTGTGGTGGCGTGGGTTTGAATTGTTGTGTAAGGGCCTCAGGCTGTTGTGAGAACTGGGTAGGCTGTTGCGATGGAGTCTTAGGCTGTTATCGCGCGACGTGGTTAAACTGTTGTGGCGCGGCGCACACCTGCCTGCACCACCGTCATCTGCTTAAGACTTCAAGCATGCTGATTTTTCTAGCACATCCCAAAGATAATAGGGCAACAGCTCCTAGATGCGGTTCTGCGACGTCACTTAGAGAAGTTCTTTTGTTCTGTCGGATGAACTTCTGCGCTGGTTCAAACTTCAGGTAGTCTGAGGAGGGCGTCACGGCCGTTTTACTATAGAACGGACTTTCGATAGCATGCGGACAACTTTCGGCGCTGTGCCCAAGGTGAGAGGGGTTGAATGCATGGGGACGAAGGAGACTGAAAGTTTTGCAGGTGTCGTGTGCAAATAGCTTGGGCTCAAGTTTTTTTTTTGGCGAGACTAGAGACGAATTCTGTATTGTCACTGGAGATATTCATTTAAAAGACGTTTGTCTTGATAGAGTGGTGAGTATTTTCTACTTATTCGATGGAAAGCTGTCCTGATTCTGTCTCGAAGCATTTTCACTGGTTTGGAAGTTTTACTAGTGACTTGACCACTCTGGAGTCAAAAAACGCTAACGAAGCCTCAGGGGCTCCCCCACTCGAAAATGGATCAGCCAATGCGCAAGCAACAGCACACTACATGCGAATGGAATTACGATTTCTGGGCAACACTGGCGCCGCTGATCGCCATCAGAGTACAGGTAGTACTAGGGTATGGGTCCGGAGGTTATGGCGTCTGGCCGGAAGGTGCCTCGTTCCATGCATCATACAAATTCACCATCTCCAGCGCTCTACCCTCGACGTCCTCCACCCCGACATTGACATAATCAATCACAAAGCTACGCGAGGGGTCATCGACGACGGGTTGGTACCGGATGTTCGTATTGAGGATGTGGTTGGGCCTGCGGATGGGGATGATCGGTGTGCGTGTTTTATCATGACTCTCGTACGCACTCATCCTTTTCCTTTACATATGCAATCACTCATCATTACACGCCTCATACATGTTCACTTTTTGATTCTCGGTGCTTTTATCCCTCTCCCTCTCGAATAAACACCCTCAGTCTTTTGATCTAGACCGAGCCTCTTCATTCGTAAGATATTTGTGTTTTATCGGAGAGTTGGTGGGGCGCGGACCTTTATAGCGTGGTAGCGGGCCGTTTGCCGGTTTGCCTGGGATATTTTACGTTGCGTTGTATTATAGGACGAGCAGGAATGTAAGTAAATAGGGGCGATGGACGGAATCGTCGACTTGACGCCCCTTTCATTCCTCACTCACAACAACAACTTCGCCGTTGGGCATTGCGTCTCGTCGGATTCACAGACCCAGACAGCATCGGCAACTCACAATGTGGACACAGCAAGAGGACCCTGCATCCTGGCGGCGTGATGATGTATATAGTTGGCATGCCCTTATACTCGCCATAGCCCTATGCTTCGTCCCGCGATTTATTTATCAAATCCCGACTTTTCCCCCCGAACTCAAGGAAACAAGAGGAGATCCATGTCATTTTACGTCCGTTTTTACCAGAAATGTAAGAAGCAGCGGTTCATCAAAGGACCGGTAACGATACTAACAATAGCATACTGAAGGACGTACTCGCTTCGACATCAGATCAGGTGGTCTTGCTAGCCCACTACATGAGATATTGGTTATCGTTGGGCTAAATGCTGCATCTTTTTGGGGTTGCCTATACACTCGCAGCTGGTTGAGGGTCGCCGGGTAGTGAGGGAAGGATATGAACTGGCTGAGCCATAACCGTATCATTCAGCCCCTGCTCACATGGTTCAGCAAGCGCCGCGACACTATCCATACCATCAAAGACGCACTCGCTCACATCTGCTCCCCGTCACGCGTCACCCTCGATGCATCCCAACAAATTCACATGAATCTTCCTTTTTTCCCATTCCCATCTATGCTTATCTTCCTTCAGATTAAGACAGCCAACTCGCCCATGACACGTATCTTCGGCAGCAAGTTTCGCTCTTCCCGTGCTGCACAAGAAAGACTCTGCAGTTTGCGGTCAGACATCTGGCAAGTTTGTCACTTTCTCTCATTGATGCCAGGCTTACTCGACTAACCAGACTGATACAGCACGACACTACTTTCCACACGCACTCGCACACATATTCTCGCCCCGGTCCGTACAAGTCACAAGACTAGGTGACGCTCTCTACAGCAAACTCGTTTAGTTTATGCTAGATTTTGGTCACGAATGCGATGAATTTTTGTTTTTCACGTTGCGTTCGTCGAGTTTCACCTGATCAAAGTTTATTAGGTGGTTGTCTAAGACGGCTTGAATTTTTTGATGTTACACCGCTGGGTTGCTACAATGTATGCTACAAGAATTATTATGTTGACAGATAAAGCTTTCCATGCTATTGCTACAGACTTGTTTTATCCACTCCAACCTAATGTCAATGACCCCTATTAGCCCACTGATAACGAACCTCTCGACCAGGAAAAGTGTACCGACAATACTTTATAAGATAGTCCACGCCGCCCGAAAGCGGTATAAACCTCTCCATAGCTGCCTTCGCAGCAGCAACCCCTGACCTCGGCGGCGCCTTCGCAACCGTGCGCGACCGCAAAAGCAGATGACAATCCTCGAACATGCGGTCAAAAATCTGTACAAGCCGCCCCATTGGCACCGTGTCCATATTAACGCGTGCGCACATCTGAATCTCGGCAGAAAGCTTGATGAGCACATCTACAGGCGCAAGCGCACCGAACCGCGCGTACGCGGTACCGCTAAAGCTCGAAAACTCCTCGTGGATCGAAAGGGGAATATCTAGGGTACCCCATTCGCCGTTAATAGCTCCCAACGCAGTTGATACGACCCGCAGACGTTTCTTGAAGAATCTGGTTCGTCTTGTGATGAGGAAAGGAAGTACGTCTTTGTAGCTGTTCGTCTGTGGGTTGACGATGATTTCGAAGAATTCCGCCGCGTCTAGTAAGTCGTCTAATGCTTCGGATATGTTTTCTAATGATGAATGGCTGCGGAAGGGTTTGTGCAGTGTGAAAGACGCCTCCGGCGAGCTGTTTATTGTGACCGAGACCACCTCTCCAGGACTATCGAATCTGGATAGGCAGGATGTGATTGTGTGTGAGATAACGCGTTGTTTTGGGGCTTTGGGTGGTGGCTTTCGTCTAGGACGTATTGTGAGGTCGTCGTCCTCATCTATGAGGCGCGCTGAGTGCATGTCGCCTACCACTCCGATTAGTCTAAGTACTTTGTTATGAAGTATGTAAATGACTCGGACGACTTACGTTCAGCTATCTCCTTGTGGTTGAAGTCGGAGAGCGGAAGGGTTGAAGAAGAGGAGTTCGACGCAAGGTTACCAGTTCGCGTGCTGGACATCTTGCGAGATGGACGAGTAGGAATGACAAGGCTGGTTGCGGAGACCCGAAGTAAATGATAGGGATGCTGTCATTAATGAATGGAAGAGCCGTGTGAAATAATGTAACTTCCGAAGAGATCCTCGATCCACAACCACATTAGGTTAGGTTGTCATTGTACTACTTAGTATGGTGGACAGACTTGTACAATGGACACAGTATACATAGTACTGCTCAAATCACCCACCATCGGGATACAGAACTCATGCACGTACAACAGGAAAGGAATGAAGCTGGTCAAAAAGTTACTTCCTTGGGCCCACAGGAAGATATACGAACAAAAGACAAAAACAAAAGTGCGAGTTCAATAAGTCTATGTTGAACTTCCCACATGTCATAGGAACAATGTTGAGGCGCAGAGTCGTCATAATAAGGTAGTGTACACTTGTAGTTGGGAAATCCGATAAACATGATCACAGCTTGGCATTGACCTTGTCATTGATCCGAATGACAATTTTTCCAAACTGATCCCCGCGCTTAATGAGCTCGAAGCCCTCTTCTGCGGCTTCAAGTCCCTCAAGGACTTGAGACACCACTGGTACAACGCGGTGTTCCGAGATAAACTTGGTTGCATCGGTGAGATCCTTGTGGGAGCCCATCGTCGAACCTTCCCCACGTTCAATACGAGTATTCGAAGAGGGCAGGGAAACTTACCGATGAGCCGCTGGTTCTTGATCACTTCTCGCATCGTGAACTTGACTTGAGGATTTGCGGTCCTGTAATGGTGCTGAGCAAATTTTCAAGAAAGAGACTTCCTTCGCTTACATCCCATAGACCACGACTTTTCCACCCTGTTTTAAGATACTGTTCACTCGTGTCATAATGTCCCCACCGCCAGAGTCAAGCACTGCATCAATCTTCGCCGACTTTCCGCTGTGTTTTGCCAGAAGGGCAGCAAGTTGCGATGGCCAATCCTCTGCAAGGTACTTTAATCAACCTGCAAGATGAGTGATTCGAGATCGTAAACCCTCACTCAATTTATAGTTCACTCCGCCCTTGGCTCCAAGGGCAGTCGCTTTCCGGATTTTCTCCTCGCTACTGCTCGTAACATAGACGTTAGCACCTTTGGCTAGACATAACTGCATGGCAAGAAGTGCCACTCCTCCACCAATTCCAGTAATAAGGATATTTTGGCCTTTCGAAGCTCCAGCGTTGACGATCGCTGCTCTAGTATAATACATCAGGAATAGAACGAACATGACATCACGACGAAAATGTACCTCCAAGCAGTTAGGCCACCAAGAGGCCAAGCGGAGACTTGAACATCATCAAGATGATCTGGTGAACAAATAACCTGGTTTCTCTCCACTATAACATAGTCGGCAAACGTTCCTAATGGCGGGTTGCGTCCACCTCCAAGGATTCCGAGACCGCTCCTGTGCGAGACATGAGCCGATGCCGATAAATAAACCTGTGACCAACCCTGTTTCCGGTGCATCTGGTGTGTTTTCCCAACCACGCATTGGTGTCAGGAAGACGCGCTTGTTCAAGAGTGCATCATTTGCATCCGCAGACGCAACTACCGTGCCTGTGCTGATGCTCTCAGTGTCCTGAATCTAGTTTATGATTATGATACGACCTGCTCCATCAGCGCCAAAAGTGCTCCCAAACGTTATTCCCGGGTATTGACCAAGTCGTATCCAAAGCTGGTGTTGGGTAAGCAATGAATATTAATGAATATTCATTGCAGCCGATGCTACTACTGGTCACTTCACTCACATCTCGATGATTGAACGACACGGCACCCATTTTCACAAGAACTTCTCCTTGTTTTAGTTGCTGCAACGGACGTGTCTCCAGGACAGCATCATGGTAGACATGCTTTGCTTCCGCGGAGCATTTCTTAACGACCAATGCTCGTGTCGACTCGGGAATTCTGCCAGCCATCACGATGAAGGAAGAGTGGAACGCAGACGACTTAAATACTGCCACGCTGGTATGAGAATATAAAGATAGCTGCCTATTTGCTTCATAGCCGTTTACCGGTTGCCTGAAATTCACCTTCTGTTTCAGAGGTTGCTGAGGTAATCGATGGTGAGACCCCGATTGCAACTTGAAGTGAACCAGTTAGGAGCTCAAAAGTAATGCGGCTGCGTTCCTCTTTTCTTTCCGACCATTATGAACGCTCGCATCGGCATGCCAGACATCGAGACAGAGGCCCTCATTCTGGGGCTATCTCTGTTAGATATTCAAGACGTCGAAGGATCACAGAAAGGAAAGTTACGGGAGGATGCTTACCTGACAGACGAAGAAATGGCATTCAACATTCAGGCAGAAAACTTGAGGTCTTCTTTGGTCGCACTTCAAGACCTTAGATTTGCGCTTAGCCTTGATCAAGCACTCGAAGCGGACTCTGCGACCCTCAGTGCGATATCCTTCATCAACCAAGGGGAATTAGATGATCATATCGCTGCCCTTGCTTTTGACAGAGGACAGGATCTCCTGCCTCGTACTCACGCACAACATATGCTTGAACAAGCCAGAATTCTGTTGTTTGTAAATGTCATTCTTGATTTTATATATTACCGACGACCCCTTTTAGTGCGTCTGGCTCCACTACGACTAGTGATAATGATACCACAGGTGTAATTGAGCCAGACCCAGATGAAATGGATGATGTCGGTGAATCTTCTCATCTCCCGTACCATGGTGGCCAGGGTTCGGCCCGTGATAGGACGCGTTCTCGGTTAGGCGCAGTTTTCATTCTACGACCTCCACCTTATATTGCTTTGTCACAGGGTGGACTGTGTCATATGTGGCGATCCCGTCAGACATTCGCAGACATTCCATGCTCCATGCTTACATTGCTACTGTCGAGATTGCCTTGTAAACCTCGTTGAAGCATCCACCAGGGACGAGACACTTTACCCCCTGCGGTGTTGCCGTCAGCCTCTCCCTCTCGCGAATGTCCTCCCGTTGCTTCCAACGGACTTGCGATACGATTTTCAGGACAAGGCTGTGGAGTTCGCGACCCCACACACTTCACGGATCTACTGCCCCAACCAGACTTGCTCCGCGTTTTTAGGTTCATCGTCTGGTCGCAGGTCTGAAATCACTTGCACAAGTTGTGCGACACGGGTATGCTCGGCCTGCAAGAATCGAACTCACCCACAGGAAGACTGTAGTGAAAATGCTCAGACCTTGGTGGTCAAGTCCCTTGCGTCTCAAATGGGTTGGCAGACTTGTCCGGGTTGCCATGCTGTCGTGGAACTTTGGCAAGGGTGCTATCATATGACCTGCCGGTGCTCGACGCAGTTTTGTTACTTGTGCGCAGCACTGTGGAAAACTTGCGACTGTCGTCAATGGGATGATCAAAGATTGTTAGATGACGCCGAAAGACGGGTATATAATGAATTTGGCGCTCAGGAGGCAGCTGCGCGCCCTGCAGTGTTCGTAGACCGCGTTTACCAGAGAATGGCGGAGTTAGAAGAAGACCACGAGTGCCTTGAGCATGCATGGCGGTACAGACATGGAGGTGGATGTTGTGAGGAGTGTGGCGATATTTTACCGACGTTTTTGATGGTAAGATTATTATCTTTGGAATGCAACACCTGTGTGCTGATGATTCTCCACTCAAGCGTTGCAGGCATTGCCAAGCCTTGGCCTGTAGGCGGTGTTCAGTGAATCGTCTTTGAGAATTAACATTAGTTATGCGGTTGAGTTACACAAGTAGAGACCTTTGCAATATCAGTGTCTGGCCCAAGTCTGGCCCGCATCCATAGTTAGTCACGGCGCAAGGCTCTTGCCTTGTATATCAAGCGAAATGATGCACGATTCCCATAAGGCGCCCCTTTGGTCCTTCCTTCACGCACCACCAATGGATGTCATGGCCAGCAGCGAGGAGGTTGCCTTGCACACTATGGCAGAGCGGCTCGTTCAACGTATGGCAAACGAAAACCACATTGACATATCTATAAAAGGAACTGCAACACCCCTATCGGCCTCCCCCAGTCCCCAGGCATGGTGCGCTCCACCTTCTTGTTCTGCAGGGTTGAATTTGTGTGCAACGTGAGCGATTCTTTCTTTACAAGGAAGACAACCACTAAGTATCCTGGATCATAACATTACCATCGCAGCGGTACACAAGATGATACGAATGACGGGTGGCACAAAGCTCCGCAAGATAGAAAGGCGATTTTTTGTTTGTCACTTATTACCAAGTTTCTGAAACGAGATAAAACTCCGTGAGTATTGTCCAACTTTGATCCATTACCTGACTTTACCGCTGCTATAGAGTAGAATGTATCGCCTGTGGGGATAAGCTGCCACCAAAGCAAAGTTTCCGTGCGCCATGCGCTCATCACTATTGCCGGGAATGCATAGCGAATTTCGCGAAGGCGTCCACAAGAGACGAATCTCTGTATCCCTTGCAGTGTTGCCAGATTCGAATGCCAGCGAAGAAAGTCGCGCAACAACTACCCAAATCACTGCAGATACGATTTTGTGCCAAGTCTGTGGAATATTCCGTCTCACCGGCTACACGAGTGTACTGTGCGAATGAGAAATGCTCTGCGTTCTTGTGCTCCTCAGACACTCGAAAGGTGAACACCACCTGTCGGATGTGTGGCACCATGATGTGTCTCGCATGCAGGAACAGAAGACATGCTGGAGAAGGATGCGTAGAGGCGGGATTGCAGAGAGACTTGAAAAGACTCGCAGACGATAAGAATTGGCAGTCATGTCCTGGCTGCCGGGCGATCGTCGAACGTACAGATGGGTGTAGCCACATCACGTGTCGCTGTTCCACTCACTTCTGCTACCGATGTGGAGCTCGCTGGCGCAAGTGCTTTTGCCACAGAGAAGATCACTGAGTCCCCTGTGATACCCTTGTCATAGCGGTACACAATAATGGTGAGTCAGATGCCCATCGATACACTTCTGGGTTGTCCATTGATTTGAGTGTCGTTAGTCGATTCACGAATTACGGAGCGCCAACGATTTGTAGCAACAAAGAGAATATCCAAATTTCCTAGATGTCCCATTATGAACGTACCCCTTTTCTTTACTTATACATGCATCTGTACAGTCGTTGCAGAACAACTCCCCATGTATCACCAATTCGAACCAATATCTGTATGTATTAAGCATGTATATCCTCGGGCCTCTGGTCATACTATGTTCCGGTGATATATGGACTTGCTCACCTGCTCACTGCGCTGTTATGAAGGTCGAAGACATGTTTCAAAAAATGGGCGGGACGTGCGTACAATGATAACAAAGTGAAAGAACAGAAGGGGCCATTGGATGATGCATGGTGCGTGTGGTTAGGCCCCACATTGTGATCGGGTTGCACAATGGTGTGGAACGAACACGAGCATAAGACATGAAAAATGCACCTGCAGAGGACTTATAAGCTTAAACGGCGAACTCCCACCAGACGTGACCTTGTATTGAATAAAACATCCACTCTGCCGTAGCTTTCATTCCGCAGATATACTTTCTGCGTATGGGTCAAGTTTCTCTGAGTAAGTGATGACACACTTTTGATAGGAAAAAGTTGGGTAAGAGCTGAAATTGTCCTGCATTTGTTAGGCGAGTCCCCGAGCAAAAATCATGTCGCCCCATACCCCTGAAAAGCAAGAAATTCCAACAAAAACGCCTTGCCAAAAGATCAAAGGATACTGCAGTATGGTCGAAGGCATCTTACGCCTGCCCTGTGGACAGCCTATCATCACATGTTCATCTGATGGCTCACTTCGAGTCTGGGCTTGAAGAGCGGTAAGTAGATCAGAGAGGACTGGAAGGACGAACTATATGCCATAGCTTTGTCGCCGGACGGCAAGAAAGCAGCAAGCGGGAGTTATGATGGCGCGGTGAGATTATGGGACGTCGAAACAGGCAAGGTCATCAAAAAATGGACGGCACACATAAGGGGAGTCCAGATGGAGGACAAGTGGTGAGCGGATGCGAAGACGGGACGGCAAGAGTGCGGGATGTCGAGAGCGGCAAGACCATTCTCGGGCCAATCGTGACAAAAGGCATCACCGTGTTGGCGGTGAGCTATTCACCGGACGCAACGATGATTGCGACGGGTGGGTACGAGAAGTCACTGAAAATCTGGGATGCAAAAACAGGCGAACTGCTCACATCACTCGAGAGTCAGACCGGAGCAGTTTCTTGCTTGGCATGAACCTCGGATGGAAAGACCCTTATCTCCGCGTCAGTCAATTCTAAATACCCGATTAGGAAATTCGACACAGCCACGTGGACAGAACTTGCTGTTCTCCAAGGACACAACCAGCTCGGCGAACGCTATCAGAATATTCATGTCTTTGCCATCTCATTATCTGCAAATGAGCAGCATCCTCGTAAGCGCATCAGACAACAAGACACCGCGACGATGGAACATCGAAAAAAATCAAACCATAGGACCACCTCTCTACCATGAAGGCTGGGTGAGATGTGCAGCCTTTTCTGCTGATGGAAACCTGCTGGCCACTTCCTGCAACGACGACCATATATATGTATGGGATGTCGCTGCTATTGTCCGAGAAGCCGGTCTCCATGAGCTTCTATCAGATAATGTGAGCTTGAACGCATTTCTTCCCTAATGACGCTTAGACTGACAACGCCTGCTATTAGGTAGCCTTCGACGGGGTATGTTATATCAGGACTCTTCAAAGCCCTTGTGCAATATCAATATTTGTTCACCACAGGATGCTATCAACAAGTCGTCATTAGATGTGTGTAATATCTTTCTTGATCATTCTATTGCTGCTGAATATTTACGCCTAGGCTGATGCTACTCGGCACCGGCCCCGCGCACTCATCGAATACCCCGAGGGTTTTTTGACGATGCACGAGATAGTGTTAATGTATGTTACCTCTATTTATTATCGAAGGGTTCCTTTTAACTACAATGTGTTGTTAGCTTTCCACATCGCGCGGTCTCCCATCCCGCTCCTACGGGGACATGGCCATCGCACCGCAGCACCACGTCAAAACACCCTCCTTGGGGATCGGGAATTAAGTTACAAGCCCGTCACCCACCAGTAGTCGAGGTTCCGTGTACACGGGGAAAGCCCTTGCGTTTGCTTTCTTCTCGACTCTTTATCATCGTCTCAAATTGATACGGACGAATGCTACAGCAAAAAATAAAAGACTCAAACTGAAGAGCGCAGCTTCTGGCTCATCTCGACCCGACAATTGTACCACACAGCCTAGCGCAGCGACCCCGAGCAAGCCGTCATCGTTGCAACTACGGCCTGCTGCTGCTACGGCACTTCCCATAGTTGCTGGTACCGCTGTGGCTACGGGAACGGTATCGCGACCTGATATCACCATAAGAAAAGCTGGATGCCGGGCTCGTTTCGTGCTCTGGTTTTGTTGTGTTCCTACTCAGTACACTGAAGGTCACCATCGATGAAGCTTTTCGTCGCCTTTCGTACGTCATTATTCTCGCGCATACTGCAAACATACTGCTACTTCATCTTTGTCCATACCGTGTTTCACAATTATCCCACTCCGTTGTCATGACTTTGTAAGACATCTCAAAGCGTAGTCGTCTGCTTGTGATGTACCCTTTTTTGTGTCGGTCTCGTCGTACATAGTAAATCTAAGATATCCGAGTCCGTAAACTGTAAATTGATGTCATAACATAGCATTTCATCCTCCCACCAAAATGCCCCGACAGCTGCGTACTCGTACATCCCGACCAAATTATGCCTCGCTTGCAACTATAGGCGATGAAAACGATGAAACAAGCCTACCCAAGCGATCCCTTGACGAGCACAGGGATAGCGGGAGTGACTTTGCACCGGACAAGCTTTCGGAAGATGCCCACGAGGATGTACAGAATGAGCCTGAAGATCTTCTTGAAGTAGACGATGAACCACCCCAAGAAGCGCCAAAACGGGGCAAGTTGAAAGCTTCTACTATTGCAGGGTCCAGGTCGATATCACTTCTCCCCTCGAAAACCGGAGAAGGACGGTCCCATAAGCCTCCACCAAAATCCCAGTCTGCACAGGCATCTACTTCTAAGATGTCTGCCCCAAGGATCGCGAAGATGTATGTACTACCAAATCCTAGCGTTCATCATCGACACAGAGCTATGCCAGTCTTTCTTCGCAAGGAAAAAGTCGAGCGACTTGATGCCCCTCCTACGCTGTTCGACCCACCGGACATCGTGCCAACCAATAGTATGACATCAGAACAATCCTTGATTGATCGGATCAGCAAGGCTTGGGGTTACAATGTCGGCCCTGGTCCGGTGTGGAATATCATGGAAGATCGATCATGCTTCAAGGAGGCCTTGGAAGGGACAGAGAATCCAATAAATGAGTCGTGCAGACGTCCCAGAGTTCATCAAGGTGTCACTTTAAAATCTGGATGGACAATACTGAATGAGCAGTGAGTTCTTTTCATAATCCGTGCGTGCTCATTCGACTGACTCACTTCCGAAACCTTCTCAGTGGTGCTGCGAGGTATCTTCCCACCGACACTGTGTTGACAGATGATGGTCAGCTGCGACCCCCTGCCCCTGTGCATTGCTTCCTTGGACTCCATGATCGCCAGACTCGCGTTGAGATGGCCATGTTCGACAGTCATGCTACATGTATGCTCAATCATACTACCTTCGCTGACATTGGTCACGATTACGACTCCCTTATTCACAGCAGAATTTATTCCCGGAGGCAAATCTTTCGTGTTCAATACAGGAGCTCCTGCGTGGGGCGCAGATTGGTGCCCGACATATCCAGATGACCGACCCCGTAAGACAGCGCTCACTCATCAATAGGCACTGCTTAAGATGATACACAGGTCGGGGGTATAAGCACTACCTTGCAGTCGCCCCTTTTCCATCGCGATCGCACTCCCCGATGATCGGTGCAAAAGTTCAGCGTCCAGCTCCCGCTTGCATACAAATATGGGGTTTGCAGTCCAAGCAAATGAACAGCTCGCAGGCAGATCGTTTATCTGCCGGGGAGTTGAAGTGTGAGATGGTGCTTTGCTTGGAGTCAGGGCCCGCATTCGAAATTAAGTGGTGCCCTCTTCCCTCGCACGATCAGGTGTGTTTGGCGACGTGTCTATAGCACTCACACTTCGCTGATAGTAGGAGCACAACAGTGGAATGAGGCTCATATGGAAGAACACCCCCGAAAGCTAGGGCTACTAGCAGGGACATTTGAAGACGGTTCATTGACCGTATATGTCATTCCAGACCCAGAGGATGTAAGAAGCAAAAACGGCGACCCAATGCGTCCGACATTTGGTGGGTCGTTAGCAATGCCTTATGAACATACGACCGAGATAGGTTCACAAAACAGTGCATTTACCCGAACCCCTTCTCCGCATCGAGCTAGAGGAAACTTCCTGCTGGTCTCTTGACTGGGCTAACAGTGAAACCATCGCCGTCGGTTGCACAAATGGTCTGGCCATTACCCTATAGTCGCCATGCCCCTCATCACCACCTTGTAGGTTACGTCGCTGTATATGACATCGGTCATGCAGTCAGAACAGGTCAAGGTCCAAGTGAGTTCTGGCCGCCCTCACTTTTCGTATCGTGACTAATTTTCCTCAAGACATCCTTCCAACACATTACATTTCAATACACCAGTCCGCTGTGCGAGCCCTTGCGTGGATTCGTATCCCGCCGACGAATGGCTCTGGAATGCCATTGACCTCTGAGGATCCAACGGTTCTCGCCACCGGCGGATACGACGGCTTAGAATGTCTGACTGACATCCGAGAACCACATGGAAATATTGTAAACAGAACACGAGGTTAGTGCCTTCGATGAGCATGTACCGTTATCTGACGCACGTTTCCTAAAGATGTTATCAATAGCACAACATACTCCGCATTCGCAGGTGGACCGATCATGATTGATCACGACAACACTGTCAAAGCATATTCAGTATCTCCCAGTACGCTAGGCAGAGGGCATGTGCTTTTGGAGCCCGACGGGCCGGTGTGGGTATGTGCCACAAAAGTAAATATTACTGCCCCCCTTGATTAAAAAAAATGCAGAGCGTTAGTGCGTCGGACTACCACGCTCAGCTAGCGGTCGGGTCAGCAGATGGCTCTTGCGTCACGACCAACACTCTGAAGTCGACAAGAAGAGGCGGATCGGTGGTACGTATCCCGTGACGATCATAAGCATTCTTCTCTCAAAGATACTTGAAGCCATTTTTCGTCCACAAAATATTCCAGCTTGACTACAGTCGAAAGACAGGAGAGTTTCGTATGTTGGATCATTTCCTTCCACAAGTGAGGATCATTCTAGATTCGGCTCCCTTGTTTACTGACATCCGCCAGGAAACTCAAGAAAGGTCCACGAATCCGAAAGCGAAACAAGCCAAAAAAGATGAATCTGAGACGAGCATCAGCACGGGTGTGTGGCCACCTGAAGTAGGCGTGCATCGTGTTACTTGGAACTCAGGAAATGGCCTCGGCGGAGCGCCGCTGCTCGCATCTACAACGGGTTCAGGACTCTGCAGGGTGGATTGGTTACTAGGACGGTGGATCCGGAACAAGGTGCCATATGTGAATGTGCCAAACATGAGGAAAGAGGTCGACGATGTTATGGACGAGGATAGTGGAGATGACTGACATATCCCCAAACATTTCAGCGGATGAAAGATGCGAATGGCACATTAGGAACTCGTTGCAAGTACCCGGATATTAAGTACACGACACCACCTCTTACTTTTCGCGGAGCTGTCTATGGATGCGGAGGGAGTAGGATGGCAGATCGAAGTATCACGAAGCAGACCGCCTGTCATCTTTTAGAACGTGTCTAAGATCGTCAAGCATGAATGGTAAAATTGCTCACCACTAGACTACTGCGTCTTCATGAAGTTCTGGTCCTTGATACGTTGTTGATTCTCTTTTCTGAGCCGTTTCTTCTCTGCTTTGCCTCCAGGCCCGTCATCTTCATATACTTTCGGCTTCAGAAGGTCCCATAGCCACGGAGGATACTCTTCGTCGGGCAGTGCTATCACAGGGGGTTGTCCTTTCAGATAGTTCAATCCTTCCAGGACTGTACCTGGAGGACACGATGAAAGTGTCTTTTCTGGGATAATTGTTAACGTGAAGTACTATGGTATCCAACTCTGCGCGTTCACCTTCAGCAGTAGACGTGTCCTTTGCACCTATATTCGGTTTCCGTTCTGTAGTAGGGCCCTTTGCAGCATAGCTGCGCGCAAGAAATGGAGAGAACGCTCGCCGGACGGACGACCGAGAGAGGACTGCAAGAAAGGACATTGCAAGTCAATGTGACAGTTTTGTCACAATACGATGTAAACGTGACAGTCACAGCATCCCTTCTGTCACAACGTAAGTCAAGTCTTTCAGCGTTCACGCGTCACGATTCACGAACGATACATTCGAATGGTGTCTGTTAGCTAGGGAGATTTCTTATAGTTGATATGCTTGGGACTCGTACGGACCCAAATAAATCGGTGATTGCAACAGAGAAACAATAGCCAATGAATCGAAACTATACTTAGTTCCGAAATTTAGAACGGATATCCTGGTCGGGCAACTTGGGATTGTCATGCTCAAGACATCCTTGTGCGTATAGCGTCGTGCTTGTTGGTTGGTACTGATTTGTGTGTTCTCCCCACCAAGTCTTTTATTTTTATTCCGATTTCATACAACCAAGTGATGTCGAAGTCCCTACTCCACCAGTGTATGTTGCCTTGTAATTAGTTCCCCTCGACTTACAATTTTATTCACTTTCGCTGCGACTTCACATCGCAAGCAAGCACACGAGTTTTCTACATAGTGGTGAAGCAGGTAAGAACAGTAAGTAAAATAGAACACAGTGCAAAAAATCTATGAGCACTCGCAAACCTAGATGTTCCCTTCCTCACCCACCTGATTCACAACGCCTTTCCTAGACCCCCGGTTCTGAACGTTAGCCTTGACCTCCTGCAATTCACCCCAGCGATTCTGAACAGCTTCAAGATTGCGCGCAGTAGTGCGCAGATCCATCGCCACCGACCTTAAATTCGCCCAATTAATTAACAAGCGGTTGAAATATTGATGGGATCGATCAACTAATAGTACTTCATTGAGCCCGACAAGCTCTGAGCTAGGCATGAGCGGTAATGAAGCAATTGCAGGGGAACCAGATGTATCGAGGAAGAGCTGATTACTATTAGAGTGGGTGGGTAGAGTGAACATAGGAGATAGTGCATCCTCGATTGCTCGCAAGTTGATCCTGGCGAGGTGAGGAGGAAAGCCGAGGGAAGCAAAATTGTGATTCCCTAAAGTACGATAGAGGACGTCGTCGTCGGGATGTGGAGAAGGGACTTGCACCCCCACATTGGTGTAGGAGTGAACCTGTGGGATTTTGTCAATCGAGTGTTCGTCGATCGCATCTTCATCGACGATCGTATCTCTGGCGATCGCATATTTATCGACGATCACATCTTCATCGACAAGCTGGGCCATACCATCTCCAGTAATTTCACTAGACTCTTTGAAATCCATTTCCACTTGCATCGCAGGCGGTGAAGAAGGGAGGAGGGGAGTTATCTCCCTTGTAGTGATAGGAGAATCAGTTTCAGGCAAAGGAAGAATAGGGATTGTCCTGAAATGCGGTCGAGAGAAGGTAGGAGGCGCAGGAGGGTGCAGATCCCTTGTTTGCTTCGCCCTTGCTGATTTAGGCCCGGGCAAAGGACGACGTGGACCACCCGCAGGTGGGACGCGGATGGAAGAGCCAGAACCAGAGTAGGTGCGAGTGGGAGGGCAAGAAGTATTGGGTGGCTCATAGAACGAACGAGAATCCGTACGATATACTACAGAGTAAAACAAGGCTGGCATTAGTGAATGGACTATGACGACTGTGATGACAAATTACCAAGATTCTTTGCCTTCTCCCCATAGTTCCACTCACAACTCTTATGGTCGGTGATGCATCGTGCACAGCGATCCAGTGGTAAGTCACTCGCACCTCGTGTCACCGTTAGGCAAGGCTTGGCCGATGGTTGTAACAACTGACAGCGTTGGCATTTAAAGCGCACCTGAAGAGCACAAGGTTGTGACGGACTCATCAGGTGTTAAAAATAAGCGACATACCTTTCGGGGTTGGCAAAGCTTGTACATGTCCAGGAGAGCACGGACCGACATGCCTTTTCGCGGGCTTCGGCCCGATTGCAAAGAATCAGACGGTGAAGCACCAGGGGGATTTATTCGAGCTCGTTTGGTAGGGCGCTCGTACGACACAGGAGACTGGAAGCGAAGGGGAGACATGAAAATTCAGCTGGGAGAAGCAAAGATAAAGATAAAGAATGAACCTTTCTTCTACCAGCCGCAGCAGAGCGAGGAGAAGGTTGCAATAGTTGTTGCAAGTTCGCAGTCGCGACACTCGAACGTGTGAGACGACGACGAGGGCGCCTAGCAGCGATGCTCGAACCAGTAAGACCACTGGGTGGGCTGTCTAAAAAATCGTTGTCATCCTCTCCCTCTACGAAATCAACATCATAGTCATCATCATCCTTGCTTTCTATAAAATCATCATCGTCGCCATCATCTTCGCTCCCTATCTGGGCCTCTACATCATTATCTGCCCGGTCCTGGTTCGAAGGGTGGTCGACATCGTCACCATCAACACGGCCGCAATCACTGTTCGTCTCATCGATAGACGACGTCGCGGCTCGCTTCTTGCCTTTATTTTTCGCAAACGGCAAAGTCGCAACTTCCAGCGACAATTGTTGGGTGGCAGAAGGTGGCGGAGGGGCTGCCCTAGCGATTATCGTTCTCGGCATCCAAGATTCGCCCCATCGAAGCCATTCCACAATCCGTCTATCATCGACTCGATCGTGAAAGAGAGTCACGAGAGATTGCACGATCGTCAGTGATAAGAGGTGCCGCCGCCTCACGCGAAGATGATCCTTTGGAAAAAGAGTCATCAATTAAACACCGAACGCCCGAGCAGACGAAGCGCGACAAGACTTACCAGAAACTGGATGACCATTCTTCCCCACGTTTCGAGATGCGCGAGGGTAGCTGTAGGAGCAGGTGCTGACTCTCTAAGCACGCGAACAGCGGCCGCAATGTGTTGGATTTCCTTGGTTTCCTTAGCAGACATGGTGGATGGGAAGAGTAGTCAGTTTGTAAAGAACGAGAAGGGAAGAAGAACAAGAAAGTCAAGAAGCCGGGAGACAGGTATTGCAGGTCGAAATTCATTTGCGGTCCGAGCAAGTAGTGAAGGAAGGACCTCAGCGTGGGAGCCTGGGCCTCTAGCCCGGAGCATTGGGCCTGCGCGTGGTACGCACGAGTATGTCTACTGCGTGCCAATGTGGTTGACTAGTACAAGCTCAAGGCCTGTTTTGTATAGGAACACCCAAAGTTAGGCACACACCCATTGATTGTCGCGGGCGAGTTTATTCGACGCAGACCTTGCACGTTCAGCACGTTCAACAGCACCCTAACGGCGCGCTGAGTCTGCTGCGTTCAATTCACTTCGAGCATCAAGATAGATCGGAATGATGTCGGTGTATCCAGGTCAACTTTGCCACACTCGTCGCTCAGCAAGTCATTACGCGCCGTTAAATGCTAGTTAGTACTGATTTGTATTCTGGACGCAGACATATGCATGATCTGACCTTGCTAAAATGACGAAGCTATGGCAAGAAATGGTCCGACGATTTGAAGAAGTTCGCCTCGGCCGTCGAAGGCTACGACTCGCAAGCGTAAGTAGATCGTACCTCTTTATCAATCGATATGCTTGAGATGCACGAGCCTCAAGATCTTAAGGTCTCGGTTCAGAAGGCATTGCGTATTGCAACCTTAGCAGTATTTCGAAGATTCAGAACACAGCGAGTCAGCGCCGAGCGCCACGGAACGAGTTACGATGTGAAGAACAGCACCATGGTGAAGAGGGCAAACCAAAGGGGATCCGGGTCCCGGGTCCCGAGGGTGTTGGTTGATAAGATTCTGCGGTGCGCATGGCCATAGAGCTATTGGGCTATCGTTGTAATTCTGAAGCTGGATGCTTGATTATGGCGCTGAACAAGATCTGTTCGTGTTTTTATCCATCGACATGTTTTGTGCCTCTTCTGACTGCATTGTTGCAGTAATACTATTTAGACGGCGATGGCGCCCTACATGCAAAGCTGGAGATGATGATGAAAAATTCGACGTAGCGCTGTCGGGTCAGGTCAGTTAGCCTATCTTTTGGGATATAAATAAATTGCTCAATGCAGTACAACCGAGTACAGCTGACCGTGGTATTGGAGACTTTAATCTTCTGTAACTCGACATCAATTTTGTAAGTAAGTAGTATGCATGTATGTAAAATTGTCCATGTCAGACGGTAACACTAACGGACCATCCAACACGAGGTACTTACTCCACAACAACCCGAATATTCCATGTCCTTTTTAACCACCTTGAGGTATCTTCCATCAATCATGTTTTCAGGGTTGGGCATGGTGGGATTGGCGAAGCAATCATGCGCAAAGTTAATTTGCCCAATTCGTTCATGCGTTCTGCTGAGGAAACTGGGCAGCGCGCAGAGACCGTTCAGATTTTCCGAGCAGTCACGGACGGATCTCTTCGACAGTTGTATTACAGTTTTCCTTTCCCAGATGGCATAGCTCAAAGTACATCCCTGTGGATAGGGCACTACCGATTATCCACTACTAATAGCCCCACCTTCCAGCGCCGATCTTGACTGGCACTTATCTGGATTCTGAATCCCTTCGGGACCATCTAATCCCCCTTCAGAAAACTAAGTTCCGGACAAATGTGACGCTTCGCTCGGCGTATAGAGTGGAGCGTAATCGAAGAACCTTGATAAGCTGCGAGGAAAACTACCCTTGGCGAAGTGCTGCTCTCGCTTGATCAGCTCGTCGCATGTTCTTGGCCGTAATAGCTTCATCAAGACCTTCTGTCTCGGGGATATTTTCTGCGCTTGTTATTGCGCCAAGTGCAAGGCTCAAGGCAATTTGACTATGTCCACTTCGGATAGCCATCTCTGATGCATTCCCGAGTGCCACGACAAGTTGCTTTCGAACACCCTTGACCTCCCCAGCGTATTTTCCGCGCGTATATTTGTCAAACGAAACCAAGGAGGCTGCGAGCTCTGCAGAGGACATGAAGTGCATCCGAGCGTAGGATGGATTTGATTGAGAGACCTTTCGTCCAGACTCTGTACGAGATTCCACACGCCGGAAAGCGATTAACAGGAATTTCCGTATGATTTCGGGATGTGTAATTATTTGTACTTGATCCAAGGAAGTTGCAGTCGACAGACCACTCGGCGCTTTCTTGAGAGCTTGAATTGAGTCGAGAATGCCCCGTTGGGCGAGCACGGCCAACAATCGCGCGAGTGCTGTAGGACCTATAACAAGTTCCTCTGCGATCTGCAAGGGGGAATCTACCTGGGGAGCTGCACGTGAGTCGCCAACTTGCAGTGCGAACATATCCTGTGTTCGCTCCGCATAGACCAGATGATCTCCTTCATTGTCTGGGTCTGCTTGTTTTACTTTCTGTGATGCAACGTAGGCCACACGAAGGAGAGACTCCAACTCTGCGTTGGTAATGCCACACGAGTCTGCTGCATGAGTCAAGGTAGTAATCAACCGCAAAATCGATATCCGTTTAATCCCTGAACAAAACAGATGCCAACTCAGCAATGAAGCATCTTCTGACCGCAGCCACCATACCTCGTAGTTCGAATGCAAGTTGAAATGTTTTTTTCCCAAGGAGGGCTTTTGCTCCATAATTTTTAACGTTGTTGAACAATCTGTGTACAAAGGGTCAGAAAGGAAAGTGCAGTCAACGGTATAAACTGACGACTCAACATGGCGCCAATCTTCTTCTTCGACGCTCATCCACACCTCAATTAGCTTCTCGCTCCATTCTGCTCGCGAAGTCATTATCTTTAGGGCTTGAGACAAAGCTTTCCACTCTTGGGCCCTCGATGAGCCATCCAACGGCGAAGATACACCGGGTACTATGTAAGGAGGCCATTGGAACAGAAGTGCAAGGATTTCGCACGCAACCGCATCACCTTGCCGCTCAGGGTACCATGCTGGTCGAGTAGTGATGGCACAATCTATCAACAAATCGACAATTTCCGGTCTCTTCTTGAGAATTTCCAGGCGAAACTTCGCAGGGAGCATGGGATAGGCACAAACAAGACCTTGAGCAGCCCAGAGAGCATCGTCATGAGCCAGTCCAGAGTATCGCAGAGCGCATTTAGCCACCTCCGCTTCGGAGGCCTTTGAAATAGATGACGAGGAAAGGGCATTAACAGGAATTCCACTGGGCACATTTGCAGTCAAAAACCCACATTTTGCCCTCTTAAAACAATTATCCCTCCCTGCCATTTTGTCTCCGGTGCATAGAACTGTTCGACAAAGATCCGGGGTCCTTGAAGGACAAAGACACACAGCTTCGCAATGATATCCGCTATCATGGACGCAGAAATCCTATCCCCAATTAGACCAGCGAGAGAGCGAATAGTACTAGCAGCAAGTCTGCGATGCGCGCAGAGCCAGTTATCTATATTCTATACATCGTTCAGATTTCGCTCAAACAAAATTGCATACCCTCACCTCAAAGCAGAGATCTACAATGTTGTGATTCATCATTTCGTCAGCAATCGATTTCCTTTCTGCATTTGTCCCTATGTGCAAGAGGTCAACCAGCACTGCGAGTCCGCAATAACTGGCCAGTGCATGCCCATTCTTCATGCCGAGCCTGAACGTGCCATATCTCGACGTAATCATTATCATGATTTCAACGAGGTTGTACTTCAAGCAGATCTTGATCAGATAGTTGAAACCAGGGGGTGCTCGTTGGGCTTCAATTGCAGTTCTCAACAATGAGGTCCTGTCCCATAAAAGGCCCTGAAATAACAGTAGTTGGCATTACCTGAACGATGATCACATAAAGGCTACGCACCGTCCATGTACAAAGGAAATCCGGGTCCACCTGAGGATCCTTGAGCCTGGCAAGGTCTCTAGCCATATGGCTCTCCAAGACATCGCGGTTGACCGTGTCAAAAGTTCGCTGAATTTCGATTTCGAGTGACTTTTCCCACTGCGCATAGGACTCTGCCATGATAGAAGGGTCATATGGACCTTTAGACTGGTTAGCTGACATTTCTTGGTCGGTGCAGTAGACCGTGAATCTGGTATACTAGTACCCGGTAGGGTCGTTCAGAAGCTCAAGTTCAAGTTGTTGACGTTGCTTTGAAACAATCAGTGCTCATAAGTTGCGTCTCCCAGATTGACGTTCCGATTGCTCCGAACTTGAAACATAGATGAGTAATCCAGGTTTGCATTCTGCAAGTATATGATTGGAGCATCATGAGGCATCGCAGTACTAGTCATACTTAAGTGGGTTGTTGCTGTGAACACCTGTGAACGAGATCTTGAGAGGTGTATGAAAGGAGGTCAGCACTAGTGCCGCATGGCTCCTGGGGATCAATCTCCTCATCCTACATTGATATCTGGTCAGGGACACGAGTATGTAGATGAATATACATTAAATACAAAACAAGACGTGCAAATATACAGCATGATGCAGGACGATTAATCTATCCTAAGATGTCACCAACTTCGCAGATTAGTGTGATTATAAACAAGTTCAAGTGCCTGCTCTACTCGTATCAGAAAAGCCCAGACCCTGGGAAGAGCTGCGACTCTTCACCGTGTTCGTCGTCTTCATCGAGGCTCTCTTCGTCCAATGACGCCCGACGAGGCTTGGGAGAAAGATCGTACCCTTGAACTTGCCCTGCAGGTGCATCAAACCCTAGTGGTTCATGTTCGAAAGGATCGATGTCTGCATCTGGGATGGTTGGCTGTAGCAGCTGGATGGGATCAATGGGGCGGTGAACAAGTTTCGGAGGGGGCGGAGAATATTGTTGAGGTGCGCGCGGTGGGTTGGACCGTGGTGGAGACATGGCTGCTGGGCGCTGTACCCGAGGGGGAGATGCCTGTTCAGGCCGACCTGATAGAGGCGAGCGCGGCTGAGCCTGTGGTTGCGGTGGAGCCGCAGCCCGGGGTTGTATCTCGTATTCGAACTGAGCGCGGACGTAAGCAGTGTCTAAAGCCGGTCCAAAAATACACCCACAGCAACAAACACTTCCTCCCTATGCCTCTCACCCACATCCTTGTCAATGCAGTAACACAGATACAGCGTATCAGCACTAGCGGGGCAATAATTAGCACGAGAACGTCGTAATGTTGATCGAAACATACACATCCTTGACTAGTCCCACGCAAAACAAGCCCACAAGTGCAGTGACACCACCAGCAAGTAGCGAGGCCCCCAATGCATAGTTAGGCGCATCCAATGTGTGAGCGACAAAAAGATACGTCATGAGTGCGAAGGGGAATGTCAGCGTTAATGGTGCGTAGGTAAGCATCCTTAATGGTGCTGCATGAGACGTCAGCCATGATTTTGTGAACCGTAAGATAAACGAACGTTCAGTCTTGAATTTCTTGCGGTACCGGCCTCCACTAACAGTCTCAACGGCAGCAGTGAGAGCCCGAGCTCTCCTTGCGCTCACAAAGAAGGGGTCGCCGGTCAATCCAGTATAGACGAGCGCATACTTGCTCAAGGATATTGTAACGCTCTCTAAATATGCGACTGCCATGCCTGAACCCATCATTAGAGGCTGACACCATGGACGCAGTGCAAGCGGTAGATAGAGTGGAAGCCAGCGCAAGGCCAGGGTAAGGAGCCCTAGTAATCGGATACCTGTCAGGATGAGCGCACTGAGGACAATCGATCCAAGGGATGGATATGCAGCCCGCATGAGAGCAGCGTGAATGGTGCGAGTATCACCTGGCAGTGGGATTGGAGCATCGGGGCTGTGAGTCATGAGCAAACGCGATAAGAACCGAAGCAAAAATTACGCTTACTCTGCAAAGTACCAAGCGCCAACAACACCCGCACAAGTCGTACGCAACATGCCCTTCGCGACAGCCCAGCTCCAAAGCCACACACAGACTGCACCGAATATTGCCCAGTTGGCCCATCCTCGAACATGCCCTTCTAGTCGCCCATTGGGGTCAGAGACATAACCAATCAAAAGGAGTCGGAATATCAGGGTAATGAATGGTATAGATGCAAGGAGCATCGCAAGGAGCATCGCAGGAGAGACAGCGAGCAGGAAAGGATTTGCAAGGAGAAGCCGCGTGGTAAGATCAAGGATGGATGAAGTTGAATGGATTTCTCGTGGTAAATCCACTAGGCGTCTGGCAGTGATGACGGAGAGAACGAGAGGTACAAGTGAGAATAATCGAAGACTGGATACAGCTGATGAGCTTACGCGGTCAAAACGACCAGAAAAAGTGCTCACCCAACTGTCTCACCCCAAGTTGGTTCTTGGTTTCCATCCCACATGAAACTACCAACAAAAGCCCAAATAGCAGAGATAAAAAGTGTAGCTGGTATGAATACTGATGTTGCGACCATGACTGGACGAACAAATATGCGGAGAAGGAAAACGTGGGCATACGCCATGATAGCGCTCAAAAATGTCAAGATGGTAAGCAGGGGTACTGTATGTAGCAGAGTTGTGTATGGGAGCGTCACACTCCGTTGGTCGTCCTTGCGATGCTTGCCCATGAATAGTAGTAGAATGGAAAAGAAGGCGCATAGAGAAACTCCCGTACACCAAATTATGGTCCAGTGCGAGTCATTAAACTTTCGTCGACTTCGAGTGATATGCCGCGGGTCCGGTAATGAGAATACGTCGACGGGGCGTGAAGTACCATCTCTCGGTAACAACGACTCGGTCAGAGATAACGAGACTGGCTCGTGAGCTCGCGGAGGTGGAGGATGAGGAGGCAGAGGTCTAGCAGACCGATTAGGCATGAGTTTCGGTGACCCGACTGCAGAGCCGGGTGAACCAAGAGATGAGGATGAAAGGGATGGTGAAGGCGAACGAACTCTTCGAGGAGGAGATGCTTGGTGGGCAAGCCAGCCCTTTGGATAGTCTTGGGACTCAGCTTGGCCATAGTCAGATGCCATCAAGGGAATCGACTGAGAAGCATGATGAGAGGCTCCTGGAGGGATTTCCCCTTCGTCCAAGCGGAGATATGGGTCCTCATCCTCTATATCATGTGCTCGACTCCTATAATTTCCTCGACTCGACATTCTGCTTGCACGCAGATGGGGATCGTCAACGTCGTCGACGTCTGTGTCATGATCATCACCTGTACGAGACCCTTCGTCGGTTGTGAATGAAAAGAATAGAGGCTGCGAAGAAGACAGACTCGATGCTGGATTATGCTGTTGGGTCAAAAATTGGGAGGCGTACTGAGCGAATGACTTTGCCATCGCCAAACTACGTCTCCTTCTTGGTCGTCGTAGGCAGAGTTGGTGAGCTAGCGTATCCGGGAGCTATGTTGCAGCTCTTGGCCTGCGTCGTATAAAAACCTGGTCAAAGGTTAACTTGCGTAATCGTAGGAACATTTTGCCATATTCGGCAACTACCGATAATTTGGTCTGCTCTCCCAACCAGGACCCAATCGTACGTAGTAGGGTAGCCAAAGGCCCCAAGCTACAACGCCACTATGTCTGTGTATTCATATCGTTGAGCCATCCACCTATGTACAGGAATGCGCCAGACCCGACAGCGTTGTATCCGCACTGCAGATGAGACACAGTATTGCCTCAAGCATGAATTCAGAATTATTCCATAGATGTAATAGTCGAAACTCGACCAACACAAGGTGCGATTTAGCTTGCAGCTTTTTCAAGGTACTGAGTTTGACTTAGGTTGTCACCGGTTGGGAGGAGCCCGTCGCCTCGCGAGGGGTACCTCCTGTGGGCGATGGTTTTGGTGATCAATATCGTAAGCATGATGCTTGTGGCCTGAGGGTTTGAATGTAGAATCCCTGGGCATATGTTTCGGTCTATTCACACCGCCGATTATTGAAACGAAAGACGTCAACAAATTATCGCCATCGCGTTGGTGCTCTACACCCAGGGCATAAGCGAATTGCTCCGTATGCTCACCACATACGTATCACCCTCTGCGATCCGGGTGACCTAGACAATCCGAGAGGTTTGAACAAGTTTAAGCAGTCCTGTAAAATTGCAGGGCTTCGTCCGCCGATCGACGGAGTCGAAGCTACCTGGCAGGAACTTTTCACGAGCAAGCGACTCGACTTGGTAGAAAAATGGCTGAAATTATTGGGCTCAAACTGGCCTGTAGCCTTTCAGATCGAGGCCCTTCTTCGGAATGGTGTTGCACATTCAAAGGAACTCCAGGATTTGCGGCCGGGAATCGACGAACTGATCCGCCGCCGCCATACGCTTCTTTATGATAAAAGCCGCGGCTCGTTCTCCAGGTCAAACAATTCAAAAGTGCTTCGAAGTGGTGCTACGGAGAAGCTCGGCAATGTCTGTTCCGAGGTGCCTGCTGGCCGCTTTTATTTTTATCACGTTACAATCACTCCGACTGGGCTCATCCTCGAAGGGTCCAACATAATGCAATCCAATTGTGTCACCCGCGAGTATGAAGGCCATGAAAGCAACTTCATCCGAGTCATTCGTGACGAGGATCGTCTCCAGTATCGCTGGGATAGGGAAGTAGATGGGGCGAGCTTTGTCAGGCATCGTGTCGGAGATTTTTTGAAGAATGTATTTGATCTGGCGGGCAAACATTTCGACTTTTTAGCATATTCCCAATCTGCACTGAGGAAGCATGCTGTTTGGTTTGCTAGCTCCTTCCGGCACAACACCAAAGGGTTCGTCGATGCGCAAAAAATAAGAGATGGCTTAGGAAACTTCAGCGGGTGCATTTCTTCCCTTCGAAGCATGCTGCTCGGATGGTCGTGAGTCGGATGTAATGCTGCAAGCCTTCCTTCTAATAGTCTTCCAGCAAGCCTTTACGGCAACAGGTCCGTCGGTCGAAATTCACTGGTCGCGTGGTCGGAAATGCCTGACATTGTCGAAAACGGTATCATGTTTTCTGACGGTATTGGCACCATTAGCGAGAAACTTGGTGATGAAATCTGGCAAACGCTCTGCAACGCTCGTCGAGATAGTAGTGCGAATGCAGTTAAACCTTCAGCTGTAAGTGGCTTCACGCTTGAATTTCTGTTCTGAACAGGACTACAGTACCAAATCAGATTCCTTGGCTACAAAGGCGTCGTGGCTGTTGACAAGGAACTTCAGGGAATCCATCTTTGCTTGCAGGAAAGCATGAACAAGTTTAAGGATCATGGAGAAGAGTATGCTACGATAGAGATTGCTCGTTACGTCGTGAAACCCAACACTCCTCATCTTAACAGGTTAGTTTGGAATAGGTTCCTTACTGCACCCTCTGTTCTTTTTCATTTCGTTTTCACAATCTGAATACTGTCTTTCGCAGGCTTCTGATCATGGTTCTAGAAGACCGAGGTGCCTCGAAAGATACCTTTTTGGTTTTGCAGCAAGAGGTCGTTGCGGAGGCGCGCACCGCTGATGACTCGATCGATAACTTTGCGAGGCTTTTGGAAAGCTACGGATTATGTCAACTAGCGTCGACGTTGCGGAAACTTGACTCTCTTGATCTGGAGTTGAATCCAAACCTTCATCAGCGGAATATCGACACTCCTTTTTTGACACCAAGTGCGAGCCTATGCCATCAACCACGTCCTGCGAGCAGTCAAATATGATACACGCATTTCAATTCCTAATAGCTACACGCTGATTGGCGTCACGGATGAGGGACCTCCTTATGAACAAAGAGGCTGTCAGAGTGTCTTCAAGCTTCCTTCCGGTCATATATATGGTACGTCACTCATTTCTATCTGACAACTCGCTCTGCTCGTATACCTTACCCTCAGCATGTGTCCAAACGCGATTGGACAGTGAGCCCGTATGGCTTAAAGGACCTTGTATTGTCTCGAGGAGTCCTATCATACGTTCAGGTGATGGTATGTCCCTGCGCTGTCGGAACAAGTATCGCGATTGAAATTGAGTCTGGTTCAGCAAGCTTATGCCTTCGGAGAGCCTCCAGCGGATAAACTCTGCATTTTGGTCGCCTGAAGAATGTAGTTGTATTTTCATCCGCCGGTAAGGTAAAAGCATGTTCGAATGTTTTCCATCTATGTTTGACTATAGGCACAAGTTGTTAGCCGAACTCGCTCGCCGGTGGCAATCTCGACGGGTAAGGGGGGTGCTACTCAGTCATAAAAACTGCGGTTCACATTGCTTTTGGCGATCTCATAGAGATCATACAACATCAACCCTTAATCATCTCAGATTAGTGTGATCCGGCATCCTATCCTTCGAGACCACCTTTCACAATCAATCGGCCCAGCACAATTGACGACGTGTGTGAATTTGTAGTGGAATATATCAACTCAGATGTTGTGGTACGTCAATTCCGGGCGAGAGCCGGCTGCTCAAGGACTGAACTGAGTCACAGGGACTGGTGTTCGACAAGCACATCACCATTGCAGGCAATTTTCCTATTCCAAGATAATCACACACCGACTTATTCTCCGCAGATCAAGCTAGCGTATGTAGCGTCATCGATGCCATAGACAGCTCAAGCTCACATGGCGTTCTAGGAAGGAACGTTCAATAAGGCATGCCTGGAGCTCGCAGCGCTTGATAGCCAAGCCGTCGACTATCCAAAGAACGGATGGAAGGTTGGTGCTAGAGATATTTCTCGCAACCTCATTTTCTACAAACCTGATTGGCGTGCGGGAGAGGAGTCTCCCCGACTGACAGATTATTACAAGTCCGACCGCGTCTTGGGCCACCTCTATCATGATATCGAACTCGAGGAAATACCCCCTTCCATTCCTCAGCAGCCAGAGAATCCACTGAGTAATGCGACCTCTGTTGCACTTCGTCCCTTAGTTGAACAACAACTACAGCGCCGGAGGCCTTCGAAGCTCGATGTCTCTGTCGACACTATATACTCAGCATACTCGGACGAACTTATCTATGTTGCAACCTGTCATACACTCTCACAGGCACCTGGTGCACGCCTGCGCGAGGAGATTGTCGTCGGAACTATTCTCTCCAAGTGCTCGCAGAAGAGATGGAAGAAAGATCGAAGATTCGCAACGAAAGAATGCATTCGCGTCCTCGTTAAGGATACTCAAAGCAGAATAATGCCGGAGGATATCAAGGACGCATCACCTGAAGATTTGCGGGATGGTTTAGAGAAGGGGTGGTCTGCTTGGGCGCTAAGTCATGAGAAGGGTAAAGAGGGTTATGGCGCGCAAAGTTTTGGTTTAGTTGCGTTACGAGTCGTGCTTGACTGTGGAGCAGTTGCAGTTGCAGGAACTGCAGTTACCACCAGCTTAAGGTATCAATGTACGATGTACAGGTTCAGCTGATATCGAGTGGAAAGCGGCCTAGATACCTCGGCACAGCAGTGGAACTACCTTGTCCCCGACTGTCTTCGAGCTCCTTCTGATGTGCTGTGTATCAACCATTCCTTGTAAGAAATGAGGCTGTGGCAATAGCCTTATCGCGAGGATAACTTGATCTGCCGGAGTACTGTGCTACCACCTGCTACCATCGCACGATTCTCACCAATATCCAATTCGAACAGCCTTTCTTCAAATGCATAAAAAGGTCAAGAGTACTAACTACTATCTCCTCATACAAACTAGTAGCACCTCCCCCTAATCACCATGTTAGCTTTTCCTGTTATTGCCTGTCGCAGCCACCCACTGACTTGAATTCTCCAGGACGCTCGACGGAGCTTCTGATTGTACTTGTCATACAACAAGCAGGAAACCATTTCGCCACGCCGCAACAATAAATAGCCATATGGCCTCACGAGTTCATGGACTGTATGTGCACAGTCACAAAAGTCCATCAACTACTCTCCTCCAGACCGCGATCAAATTTCGTGTCTCGGGTATAAGAGTTATCTTTGATACCCCATTCAATCGTAGCTCATGACATATTCACAGATCGAGGGACACCCCCGAATCTCGTACCCATTATTGTCGAGTTGACCTGCAGTCCATGTGATCAGGAAGCAGCCGAGCCCATAGCCGTTTTTTTGACTATACACGCCACAGTGTTCTCTCGGGCACTGTTTGTTGGGAAGCATGAACGCCAAGTTGGCTCGTACTCTAGTAGGTTAAGAGTTAGAGAGGTGATACCTGTAACATTCCCCATCGAGAGATATCGAATGTATACTTCATTCAAGCTGAATTCAGTTTCATCTTCATCTACTGCACCACTCCAGTACTCGAGTGCACCTCCGTTGTCTGGACTCTGAACTGTCATCGAATTTGTGGGTATTGTATTAATCTAACAAACACAAGAGGTTGTGGGGACATCACGGTGTCTACGTGACTCCACGGTCCTCACGTGATATTTTTGATCACCTACTACTCTAACCTATACGACGCTGATCGAATTACAAAATGCAGATTTTTGTCAAAACACCCAATCGCACTCGAGGTCGAGTCCTCTGACACCGTCCATGACGTCAAGGTGCGAATCCAAGGGTATGTGCGCAGTTAAAGAATCCTGACTGACGACGGTTGTATCCTACCCAACCAGCAGCATCTCATCTTCGCCGACAAGCAGCTCGAGGATGGTCGGACACTCTCCAATTACAATATCGAAGGAGTCCACCTTTCATCTGGTCTTGTGTCTCCGTGGCAGCATGCAGCTCTTTGTCAGGAACCTCTCGGGCATAGTCATTGCTATACAGGTGGAGTCATCCGACGTCATCGACAGCGTCAAGTCAAAGATTGATGACAAGGACTCGGAGGGCATCTCACCATCCCGGTAACTTCTGTACTTGACGGTGAGGAGCTCGATGATGGTATGGTCGCACGTGTCAATCCTGCAATATGACAGCGCCCTTATCCTTGTTAACCAATGGTCGGGCGTAGCCGACTTTAACACCTTGCTCCGGACCTTTATTGGGATACTCCAAGGTGACGTCCATCCATGTCCGTCCACGTGGGATATTTGTGACCTTGAGTTAGCGCATAAGTAGTCCAGTCACCCCCAGAGTCTACTTACCACAAGATGGTTTCAGTCCACTGTAGGAAGTGCAACAAAGCACGGCTTGTGTAAGGCATGTTGGCTTAGCCTTCAGCGGAGCTAAGCACCAGCGCCACAGATAGTTGCCTATCAAAGCGGTGACTTCAGAGACATCATTCTACTCGCTTTCTATCACTCACATGCATCGATAACTCGAAGAACAAGGTGCATCATACGGTATAATTGCATCAACATGACTTCGCGGCGCCGCGGCTCCATAAACACCTGCATTGTGCAACCCTGTACTGACCTTTGTTCTTTGTTCGCCAGGAGGGCCGACAACTACGCATACGATACTTTAAATGAAACGAAAAGAAGTGATTCTTTCTGTCAACAGGTGCGCTGATCGCATCAGACCCCGCGGTGCTAAGCATCAGCCGTAAGTACATCTAACCCAGCCCCGTCACCTCCGGAGGCTACTTACCACAAACGGGTCAAAGACGTCGTAGCATACCCCAAAAGCATCGACCGTGATTACAGCGCGATTACAGCGCGAATCCTCTTTGGGTTCGTAAAACCCACGTGTTTGGTGACAGAACTGTATATAAGTAGTCTTCACGAGAAAGGAAGAAAACGAGCCTGTTTGGGGTATTGCTTAGTAGTACCCTTTTGATGTGCAAGACGAATTTTCAGCTAGGCCAACGTTTGCCGATGTTGAATTGCAGGGTTGCATGCAAGTGTGTCTTGATCTATTGCTCTTCCATTGTAAGGCGGTGTAAAGAAGGTGTGTATGGGAACTTGGCTTGAAACCAGCAGCACACACGATAAGTAGGCTAGGTGCTGCGTACCATACTAGCAGGGCCCAGGCCGCAATGGCACGACATGAAATCGAGAAATCGAAAACAAGTACCACCCCGCTCAGAAACCAAGAACGTTAACAGTTTGCTTAAAGACTGCCAATCAGAAGACGATTCTGATCTTCCCTAAAGCCACCGCATGGTACGAGCGTCTCTGCGGCAATCCCAATCAGGTGAAAGCTTTACAAGTCTGACGTACTGCGAAAGCATCGCGGGAAACGGCATGACAGCGAAAGGAATGAGATGCATAACAATTAACGAGATAGGCGAATAAGTCTAACTTGGTCAAGCGGTTTGACCACGAAGTTATCGTGATGTCCGCGGGTCAATGCAGCTATGTACTGCGATATGAACAGTGTTTCCTCGAGAGTCGCCCCGCGATCGTATGAGATTGCCTATTCGTCGAAATGAGATGAGCGGGATTTATGAAGTTTTCAATGAGATGCGTGCGTTGTCGGTCTGTCTTGAATGAACCTCTCCCCAGTTGCATCTCAGGACGAGATCTAGACCAACGTTTGTGTGATCGAATTTGGATAGACGCGTAAGGAAGGGATGATCAGCCCAAATCAGAGGTATGGGCGTATGCAAAGGTACTCACTGATTCGGAATCTAGCGAAATGAAACGGATAGGAGACGGTCAGGCGCCTGAAGACATAAGAGATAATCGCTGGGCAAAGGGTAATCGATGTTGATTGCGGGCAGAAGCGTGGGGACAATATGGACTCACCGAGGCGTCATGGACGATCTAGAACAAAGGAGGGGAAAGGACAAATGAATGTCGGTGTGAAATAGTGAAGGGTAAAACTAAAGATGTCAACACTGCCTATATGCATGCCTTTCTGCGATATGTAGAACCAAGCAGTACGGTGGCAGAGTGAGGGATCAAGAAGTGTAGGGCCTACAAGGAAAAACCTTGCGTTCCATCAAATATATTACCTATGATGCGATAGATGCCTAATTCGTCGCGGAAGTAAAGTGGGGCCGTTCAGTACTCCGCTCTGGTAGGTTCATCAGATCACCTTCAGTCTTGCAGGAACACAGCATTCGATGCTGAGCAGGGAAGCTCCACACCACACTGAAACCGTGAGGTGTTCAACTTAACAAGAAGAAGCCCTTCTTCGCTTAGCTAGATGAACTAGCTTCGCGCACCAAGCTGAGGAAGGATTTAAACGTGGACACGGTATTGCCACCGCGGCGCGGCTCGGTTAAGCAGATGAGCGAATACCATGAAACGAGGAACGATGAATACGGACGAAGCAACATCGCTCGGGTAGATAGCGAAATTGCAGTTATCTCGGGACCGTGTACGCTATCTTATCAGGTTGCGAATTGGAGAGCACCCGATATATAGAAGAAACGGATAAGTACACACCAGTAGTAAAACGAAAATGCAGTGTTGACAGCTGCGGGGGAAGTCAAAGGCGCTGCTAAAAACTCGCCTTTCGAGTGAGGACTGATGGACGCCGATCAAACATCTGGCGAATGAGACCCGGAGACAGAAAAGAGGTATCACTTACCACATAAAATAGGATGCGCAGCAACGTCTGAGATGCATATAATTGATCAGGCAGAAGACTGAACGCGTTGCAGAGGGCGTGCGGGCTCGACCCTGGATTACACATTCAAATACGTCTGAAGATTGGATATCCCACCAGGTAGTACAGGATTATGCGCCAAGAATCATGACAGCATGAATCGGAGCAGCCAAAGCCCGTTGCAGTGATGTTACGTCGAGCATCAACAGGTACTCGATAGGCCGATAGAGGTCCAGATTGAGTCAGAGAGATGACACCATTTGGGCATGAGCAGCAGATACTTGGATAACTAAAAGGTAATGTGTCCAAATGTAAATCACGGACAATCGGACGCATCACCCGGAATCATCAGGCGCGCAACGTTCAAGGGTGCATCCCGTAAGGTACGACGCGTGTGGGGTAGCCGAGACAAGACGAGAATATAGTCCCGCCGGAACGAACGCGTCGTGATAGGAACAAAAGACCACGCGCCTTCAGACTCTTTGCTTTACGTTCGTTTTTGAGATAAGTCGACCTGGATAAGGACAGGTCAAAGGACCGGTGATCCACGCCACGGTAGTAACCACACCATTCCAAGGCTTCCATTCAGTTCTGCCGTGTGGTGGTGGAAATGCTTCGCTTGATATTGAAGCGACGTATCTTGAGAGAGCGATAAGACCAGGCAGGAGCTAATGCCATGGAACCATCATCGCGCCACATTCGGATCGGGTCTCACATTCCCGGGAGGACGCAGGATGGGTTCCATAACCACACGGTATTGTGTTGGAATATCGACAAATCCGGTGAAGGAAAGGATCACTGCACCTCAACGAGTACATTTCTGGTAATTTGGAAGGACGCGTGCGCGCCCCTTTACGTCCCACAAGTAGCGTCAACACTTATCCATGGGAGAATAGCAGTTTTGCAGAGCAGTCCGATGTAATCGAGGGAAACGACGGCATTACGCGTTGGGGCTCAGTTGATTCCCAATTCTTCCCATGCTCTCCGTGTGCAGTACGGCGTGACACCTGAGGAGCGCTGAAAGAGCAGGCATGAGGCGGCATGAGGCGGTTGAGCTGTCATTCGAAGTCGGCAAGTGCCGGTCTAGCCTGAACGGAGAGCCATTACCTCCACTTGCGAATCTGAACTCACTCCAAGAAGATGCGGTCATTTCATTGTCATTGCGTCTCGTCCTGAGTATGCTACGTATAGTACTACTCCTTCGTTGCACTGGATTCATTCTTCGTACCTCTTCTGTCGTAGTTCGATCGCTCCCCTTCTCGGCTAGATTCCTCTGCTCCCCTTCTCGGGTCCCTATAATACTTCCTGCCACAACCACTTTTGTGGCTAGTCCCACCGGGGGACCTAGAGATAGATGAATAGATATCCGGTCCGTATCAATGAATAGAAATGTGAGATGCATGATTGTTGCATAGATGTCCATTGCGCGTGCGAAAGAAAAAATTGAAAACGATGCGAGAATAACACAATGCCGAAGGAAGGTAAATGCGAAATGGAAGGTTGCGCGAGTTGAGTTGCGCAGTCAAAGGCGCCGCGAATAAACGAAGTTGAAGGGAACAATATGGCGGCGTCGGGTTGAAGAATAACATGCGCGCAAGGGACGGGTGCAACGCACGACGTGTCCCGTTGGGTATTGGGGTATGCAAAGTCGTGCGACCCTTGGCGACATGCGCTCAAAAGGAGGGAAGCATATACATTTTGCGCGAGGAGCTGTGATAGCATAGGGTGGGGTCCGGGTGTCGTATTTAACCAGACATTCTGCGCTGAATTCTACGCTTTGTCCGGAATAGACTGAAGCGCAGGCTCAGCGTGAAGGCATGCCACTGACGGCGAATAACGTGTCCACACGTAGGTCTATAAGTACATTGTCAGTTACTGAAAGACAACTGAAGTTGGAACATAACTCACGTGAAGTCGCTGTCAGCTGCAATAGGTTCAGGTTCCTCTACATGAGGGTTCTGAGGATAAGTCTCCTTCTCAGACTGAGAATGTTTCTCAGGAGACTTGGATCGCGTAATGAAGCATTTCTCCTTGAGAGGGGCGCGTTCATGATGATCTAGCTGATCGTCTTCGTCGTCGACTTCAGCTAGATGTCTTGACTCGTACGACGAAGGCTCGTCGTAGTGATAGTAGGCGGGGGCGACGTAATAAGGAGTGGTGGAAGGCCGTCTGCGTTGCTTCTCGATAGAAACACGTCTTTGGAAGTTCTCCTCATCTTCCTCTGCGTCATCACTCTCATCTGTATATGACCGCTCCCATCTCGATTTAGCATGCCCAAAGGTGGGGAAGTCGCGAAAATCGGGGTCGTGGAGGTCACCGTGGTGATCGACGTAGACCTCTTTGATAGCAGTTCGAGGTGATAGTGCCTTGAAGGCAGTTTGATGGGACGGTGAAGCGTAAGCTGGGTCAAGGAGGCGCGCGATGTCAGAAGCGCGAGTAGAAGGGGAGTATGGACGATGAGCAGCAAATGGATTTACACTGAAGTGTTGAGATGATGGGGAAGGGGAGCGTTTGCGTCTGAGACGGTGACGCTCAACATGTGGAGAACATACACTTTGTGATGTTGATGCAGAATCGTAAGATGCCATTGTGGACTTTGGTGTTGGATCAAGTTGTGTGGTGCTTGTAATTATGCGGGACATGTCCGCACAATTGAAAAAAATGTTAATGTGCTTATATGTGCGCGAATACCGCGAGCCACTGTTCGGTTTGAGGCGATGACGAGATTAAATTTACGGGCAGGGAAGGCGGATTAGCTGAAAAGAAGCACGGCGGGCCGTCACCGAGGTCAAAAAAACTTCAAGGGTCAAGGAGGATATCCAGGGTTATAACCAAGATGTTATATGAACAAGATATCGTACAGGATTGTACGGTAACGGGAAGAGGGGGAGGATATACGGACATGATGGGAGGACAGGAGGATGTTTATATACGCACCCAACTGACAAAGGTGAGTTGGTAAACCGGCAACCCAATACAACCGCGTAATCGATACACCACCCTATCCATATTAGGAAATTATATCCAGATATAGAAGTTATACTAAATCTGAGATATGCGGCGATTGCGCACAGTATGTATCCATTTCTTTATCTCTTTCTTCATCTGGAAATGCCCTCTTACTACTGAATTTCCACGTTTTTACCTCGAGTTCCTCGCATTCCGTACTTCTCATTTATTAGATTATCGCAATCAGAAGTACAACTACGCGAGGTTGGCACGACTTGCTGGGCACAGCTAGGAGCCTACCGACCTGGCCGGGTGAATACGCCATCAATGACTCGAATGCTCCGTAGGCACCGCAGCTGACTGGTCGCTGAGTCAACACCTGGTTCGCTCTATTCCGGGTCTTTCCGATCTGCTTACCGGGATCCAATGGCTACATCTGTTATCATATCAGTATGACATGATACTGCTTTCTCGGTGCCTCGTAATGTCATCATAGGCCCATCTATATCTCACCTCCATAATCTATCCCCTCGGCATAGAATTTAGATCATGATAGTTGAACGTTGACCCCCGCATGATACAATGCACCATACCAAATCCTAATCATTTCGGCTAATATTATTTTGTTTCACTTTGCGTGCTCGTACCGTCCGCGACGTCGCTCCCAATCACTCCCCGGGTATCGCATCGTCTCGATCTTACCGGTAGAATACTCCAGCAGCGTCCAATAAGCTTGTTTCAAATCACAACTCCCCGGATTGCACTACAGTCCCGGCGATCTACTTTACCATCCACCTAAGACAAACTGAGACAGTTTCATACATAGTATTTCTTCATCGCGTTACAATCGATTACATTCTAAACATCGGATCGTCCGCAAAGGGGGGTCGGACCGTGGCGCCTCTGAATCCATTAATGAAAGCTTGCGATGCTTCAGGCAACGAGTCTCGTCTGGGCTATTGGCCTACTGTGCATACCGTGTTCCAATATTGGCGTGTCCCGGCCATCTTTCGGCGGCTCAAAGTGCGTCTTAGTTCATATAGCAGTGATTCCCGCCCTGGTTCGCAAGGCCAAACCGCCGTCGCAGTAGGCCCCCGTTACGCATGTCTTCTAGAGAATATCGCACTGTGACCCGTTGAGCCATATTGGCCTGTTGCAACCCGCCCTCGTGTCAGCCAGCTGCCATGTTCCTGTGATCAATTCCATCCAACCATCCCGAATCCGCTTTATTTTAGTCTTTTAGTTCTTTTTTTGGACAATTTGATATTATCGAACGAGCTGTACTGAAATGGGCGTCAAAAGCCGCATACACCGCATCGGCCTTGGATTGACAATCCTTTTACCAGAAATATCCCCGTTTTTCTCCTCACGGGGTATTTCGCAGGCCCCCTCGAGCTCGCGTGGCGGATTCCCCCGCACGTATTTCAATAGACTGCTACCAGCGAATCGTATCACAAGTTCCCTTTTCTCTCAACGGTGTGCGTGGAGGGCAGAGGGCCCCAACGGAGCTTGGGCCCAATCCAGATAACTACCAACTTGAAGTAACTAGTACCCATGGAATGGAAGCATAAGTAATCCTGGTTGCTTCCTGGCAGCGTGGAGCTGGCATCCCCAAAACCACTACATGTACAGCTTGCCACAGTGCTTTTTAGTGCCACACCATTCCCTCGTTGCAGTCACGAATTTCTCTCGTTTTGATCACACCGTGCCAACATATGCATTTTTGGATAGAGCGCTTATCTTATTGGTTGGCTTTTATTGGCTTTTATTGGATCGTGTCAAACAGGATGCGTGCACGGCCGGGCCTAGTTGGCCCTTTATCACGCTACAGGATGGCCTTTGTCTTGCCATCGATATGGTCACAAGACGATCATCTTGGCACGTATACTGCTAGTAATGCACGCTGTATGCTTGTGTGATGGCCCACTTATAGGGCGTTTTCATCTCAGTTTCTTGGGTCAGGAACCGTTCACCACGCATCGTGGGCTTGGCCATTATCTTCAGTATGTATTGGGCAACTGATTTTGTTGTTATCTTATCTCCCTGGGGTTCGGCGGGAAGATTGGTCACCTGGCTAGGCCCACATCCGTTCACTTGGATTGCCCTGTGATTCATTTGGTTCTTGAAGGCCGACGGAGACTTAAACGGATGTTCCAGAACACGCCTCTGCGAATTTCCATCCCGTTGAGCATTAATATTCTCCACACCCCCTTCTAACTTTCCCCCATCTCGCATACTGCTTTCCAGATTTCCAGATGTGTGATAACCTGCCACTCTCTCCGAATGGAGCACGCGAAGCCCCCCTGTCAGCTGAAGCACCATTCAACAATAAATTATAAAAATGCCCGGTCATCAATTACCACATCTAGTCGCCGTCTTGTCTCGTCACGTTTGCGGGAAAATGCGAAATCGATGGCATCTAGTGCTCTTTCATGGCATTCAGCGTCCTTCTCGGATTCCCTTGGCTGGTGTGATTACATCGAGGTTATGCTTGATCAGTACTGATCTGCGTCGATATCTAGACTGCCATCGATCTGTGCCTCGACCCGACGGCAACTGCACCGTGATCGTCGGATTAATCCTCCTAGGTCGTCCAGTTTTGTTACTGGTAAGCCCTTCTTGTACGCAGTTATCGTTGGATGGCGGTGATCATCTTACAGTAATCGATACAATCACATTACTCATGTTGGCAATCACATAGCCTTTGTCCACTCAACACGCACCCTCCTCACGGATGTCCTTACTGACATCGCTCCTCAATTTCACATTGATAAACTGATCTTCGAACCTCCGCGCATTATCTGTGATCTTTCAACACGATGGATCCTCGCCAAAATAGATGGATTACCATCCATGTATAATGGAGCTCCATGTTGAATGCCCGTCGTGTTTTCGAACTTCAGAAGACATCATACACGTTTAATTCATATCGCCCGGCGATCTCCTTGTGATAATCTCATTTCAGACTCATTTCAAACTTTCACAATGAAAGACCAGACGTGAAATATTGTTCATAGCTGCGCGCGTCCACTTGTGATTCACCTCTCTCATATAACCCGAGTTCGAGCGGTACCGCTGCGCATAATTCCGTTCAACAAAACACCGGAGTGTCCTCAGGTACCGTATTCTCCTCCATCGTGATCGCTCACCTGACGTCCTAACATCAGTTTCACTCGCAATTTCATGCTTTCCGTGATGGTGTCCCAGGGGATGGTGCTGGACGCTGCCCTCCATCAGACTAAACGATCATGCGTGGTACTCCTATCTGAGGCAGTGAATACACCTGCAAGCCAGCCAGTGATTCACCAGGTCGATTGCCCCGGAGGGACCCTTGAATCAATGGATCCTCCACTATATCATTCAAGGGCGGCATTCTTATTTCATATTCACGTTCATTCGCATCCTTACCTTGCGCGCCTCAGCATTCCGGCATGTAGATCAAATCACTCTCCATGATATTAATGTTTGTCCGACTAATTCGGGCGCCCCCTTGAATCCACCACGGGGATAAGAAACGGGAATTTGTCAGTGGCATGTAAGTAACTCCAGTTGGCGTATCGCATCGCAGTGCGTTGATGGGTGGTGTCTTGAGACGTTTATGATCGATTCAACAGCATCTGCACTGCATGAATTGGGGGTCCATACACACCGACTTCCCATTTAGACATGATCTGTGAACTGATCAAACTCACGAATTTCACCCGTGCTGGACTTTTCCGCATTTACGAACCCATGGAATGCCCGCCACTGTCAGCTGCTAGTTTCGTTGTTGACAGGCTCACTGTTCTATCGCCGCTAGCTGTAGAACGGTGGCGTTAACGCCGCTCTGCTTTCTTGGAGTTCGAGAACGATCCAGAGGTCTCACAAATGTCGACGACGCTCCTTTCGCGACAACCTATGTAGGACAACATGTTTGGGCTGTGATGTTCAGTGGCACCGGTCCGCGTCGCGTATGTTTATTTACGTTAAGAGGTCCGCTTCTAATCCCGCTCCCATTATCATGCCGGAATACTCAACTCGAGGTGCTAATTATATGGAGCTAAGCTGCTCGCGGGAGTCGATCAAGCGTACCTATGCCTATGCCACCCGCTTTCCAGCCAAGCTTATTCCCTAGCATCGCTATCTGTCACGGAAAAACGTAAAACACCAAACACGCATCTGCATGTCGTGTAAATTCAGAGCTGCCCAAAGTTTGTGAGTACTGGCGAGGTTTATCATATTGACATATAAATTTTCTCGGCGCTTGCGCTTTCGAGTTTGATTCCGAGTCGGAACGTTACCCCGGATGTCTCTCTTGGGTGACATACATAGGGCCATATTACTTCGCGAAAAGAGGGTTCACACCTCAGGACTTGCATCATGGTTTGCATGCGTGATGATTCCCTGAATGGCGTTAGGCACTTTCTGGTGTATCCGATCCGAAAACACAGCAGTGAGTAAAGGATACTTTCGTCCCGCCAAGTTGACATTGGCCAAAAGAGATCAGCGATCCATCACTAGCCAACCGAATCTCCCAAACTATCCACTCATTGCGGTCTATCTCCCATAATCCTGAGCTGAGACTGAGACGCGTGCATATGTCAGTCCGAACTTGGTCTGAGTGGCATCATGGCGAACCATTCATTTTAGAAGCCACAGCTCCATCGGTAGGTCCTCCAATGACGTGACCTGAAATATCTTTTCCACAGGCAAGCATTCCGCTCGGATATCTTCGGTCCTAATGAGCAGTGCCCATCTTCATTCGATCCAGCTCCCTGAAAACAACGCAATGCGTTCGCCCGCATTATTTACTCAACTACTGCATGAGGTTTCTGCCTGTTCATCGTCTGAGCTCACGACGCGACAGATTTGTGCCTATACTGGACCGGTCTTCCTATCAGCGCTTTCTAGCATGTCACACAGGGGCGCATAAACCCTTTTTCGACTAGAAACCAGGATACTGTGGCATCATCTCACAGCATGAATGCGATCAATTGTTTGGGTAAACTCTGCCAGGAGACTCATCACCACGCTCACACTTCGATGGACCTGAGGTGGGACTGGGAATGGGAACCGCGAAAATCATCTTCCAAAGTACAGCACGGCCTACGCTAGCCCGTGGATAGCTCGTGTCTGATATCAGTACCCTCCCTTGGGTGATCCTGACCGCATCACGTTAGTACACAACTCGCCTCGGGTCACGCCACTCTGGAGCTGGTAGAGAAGAAGGAAATGCTATTTTGAATCTTGATTCTCCCTTGGTTGGGTTGCCCTGACCATGCCATGCACAGCACTAACTCAGCTGCGACTAAGTTCTGCCAAGCGTTCGTATCTTGTACGTCCCGAGCCCCACTATACCCATGTCAGACTGATCGCATGCATAACTAAATCACCGGATGCCCGTATGCGCTCATTGCACTGCTTAGGAATATATCCAACGGCTGTGCCGCGCTGATTGGCCTGGCTAATACTTGGACCATATCTTGTACTTGCGATCTCTTCGGCAGAAATGACATAGCACAAACGCTATTTTTGGCCACCAGCTATGCACGAGCAATACTATTTCTGTTCTTGTTGTTTTATAAGTAGCCACGAGGAAAACCAAATATGCCCATGGGATTCAACATCCCTTTTGTGATCCGACTCCGTGGATAAGTGCGGTTGGTCTCAGAAGGTAAGTCAAGTAAGAAAAGATGGTCAAACCAGTGAATGTTAGTACAAATGAAAATCGGTATGTTGTGAATCTGATGTGCGCAGGGGAAAAAAGAAGTAGAAATAATATGCATATAGATCGAGAAGAAATATGAAAATTAAATCATGCTTCTGTTTTTGTTTTCGGCCTCAGGAGAGGGTGGAGGACCTGCTCATGCAACGCCTTCCCGGCGGGAACCTGGTCGGAACCGTTAGTTTACCCGACTCAAAGATAGACCAACTTCTCGACGCACCATTGGGTACACGTGCTCATCAGTTGCGACCATGCACTCCATCAAAACGGGTTTCGAGCCGTCGTATTCCAGGAACTCCTTCATTTTTGCGGGAAGCTCAGCTGTAGATGTGCATCGAATGGCGTGCACGTCCATAGCTCTGGCAAGCAAAACGAAGTCGGGGTTCGTCATCCGAGTGTGCGAATACCTGGATTCGTAGAAGAGATCTGGATTTCTCATCAGATCCATTCAAATAATGTAAGTGGGATCGACCAACCTTGCCATTGCAGGACCATACCCTGGAATTCGTTGTTAAGGATGAGCACTTTGACACCGATGTTGTACTGCGAGGCAGTGGCGAGCTCCATAGCAGTCATACTAAATGACGCATCACCATCGATGTCAACGACAGTTTTATTAGGCGCGGCCACTTTGGCACCGATGGCAGCGGGAAGACCAAAACCCATGGTCTGCAAAAAATGTCAACATTTGGCTTCGTTCGGAAAAAAGGCGATAACTAACTCCCAGACCACCAGAAGTAACCATCGATTGAGGCGCCCTCCATCGGAAGTGTTGGGCTGCCCACATTTGATGCTGACCAACGCCAGTAGTCACGACAACATCGTCCTTCTTGTGGGCAGTTTGTCGGTCCAACTCCTCGATAACCTCCTGTGGCTTGCTTCGTGCACCAGACTCTGAGGGAACGTACGTGAAGGGGTATTTCCGTTTCCACTCCTGGATGTCGGCGAACCACCGTGTGCGTGGCGATGATCGAATCAAGGGAACGAGCGCAGCCATATTGGAAACGACGTCGCCGAGGACTGGGATGGAAGCATCGACAACTTTGTTAATGTTCTTCGGCATAATCTCGAAGTGGATGATACCTCCGCGGCCCTGCAACGCAGCAGCTCGGGCAGCAGGTGCGAAAGTATCAACCTTGCCCGTCACACGGTCATCAAATCGTGCGCCCAAAGCAATGATAACGTCTGCCTGTTGCATTGCCAGATTCGCATATGCAGATCCGTGCATACCTAGCATGTGCAGACTTTTCTCATCTGTCTCGTCGTATGCACCGAGGCCTTGGAGAGTGGTCGTCACAGGAATATTACCCTCCTTAGCCAACTGCGCAAGCAACTGGGGACCCAAGGGTGACGAGAGGACACCATTGCCGGCGTAAATTATAGGTCGTTGCGATTGATTAATGAGGTTGGCAGCTTGCTGGATCAACGCTACGTCCGTTGGGGAAGTGATAGGCTGCAGAGGATTCGCAGGTAGGGTGTATGAGCCTGGAGTGGTCGCTTTGTACGGCAAAGGTGTGCGAAGAATGCCAGCAGTGACATCCTTGGGCAAATCGACCAATACAGGTCCAGGACGTCCAGAAGTTGCAATTTTGAATGCTTCGTTGATACGTCTTGGTAGTTCTGCTATGTCCTTGACCATCACATTCCACTTTGTGCAGCTGCGTGAAATTCCAATGACGTCGGCTTCTTGAAACGCGTCGGAACCGATAGCTGAAGTTGCTACCTGGCCGCAGAAAACAACGAGAGGTACGCCATCAGAGAGCGCGTCTTGCATCGCCGTAACGACGTTGGTTGCGCCTGGACCAGAAGTCACTAGGACGACACCAGGCTTTCCTGATACGCGAGCATAACCCTCTGCCATATGTCCAGCGCCTTGCTCATGGCGAGGAAGAACAAAGTCGAAGTGCTTGGAGTTGTGAATGGCATCGAAAACGGGAAGAATAGCCCCGCCGGGGTAACCAAAAATATGCTTCACCCCGTGCCGAAGCATCATCTCGTTGAAGATCTGACCTCCTGACATCCCAACGAAGGAATGATCCACGGGAGTGTTAGTATGCGACTCCAAGTCAAATGGATTTTTCTGTGGCAACTGCTGGAATCCAGGAGCTGGAGAGGGTCGACTGCCAACACATCCTATCAGACGACTCGAGATATTAAATGACACATGAATGAAACGCACGCAGCAGGGACTGCAGTAGCACCTTGAGGTGATGATCTACTGATGTTTCTCGCATGGTCTCTTATCCTAGCCTTTGCGTCAACGATCGAAGACGATGCGACGGTCGAGCGGGAGCGAGTAAATGAGACCTTTGCAGTAGATTTTGGTGCATTGCACACACGAAATGTGACAGGGAGCGACATGGTCGTCGTTGCGTGCAGCGACGGAGGACAAGGGAGAAAAAATAGGTTTGGAGAAAGCTAAGCGCTGCTTTGAAACAAACAAAATTTGAAGTCTTTGGAGCTAGCTAGCAATGACTCGATTCGTTTGTCGGCCGATCAAATCAGGCAAGTCCGATCAGACCCGGTCATATCCATGCCTGTCAATTGTCAATACTTGACCTATGAAATCGTCCCAAGGCTTGTCTAGGCTTATCTAGAGTCAGTAAGTTATTTGCGTTGGCGTGCAAGGTTCACTCGATGTACATCTGAATCATATGATCATGAAGATTTGAAACATAGAAGTCATCTATAGAGCCCTATCCCTTGAATAACGGAACTCTATGCAGAAATTCCTTACCGCTGTTGCCAAAACATGCCAAGTACGGGCTACCATCGATATGCCAGTGACGGTCCCTGTAGAACGTTTAACAAGGCTGCATGCATGTGTAATAGTCACTGGTACCGTAGTGTGAATTCAAAGGTAATACATATCTCACGTGACCACCATTTCCTTCGCGCGCGCGGTCGCGGTGTTCCGTCTTTGTTCATCGATACTTAGTATGTCTGCAGCAGTTCAGTTCGTGAGGCAGGGAAAAAAGGTCAACTCCACACGTCGTTACGCGGCTAATAGACGCTTACTTTGAACCAAGATTGTTGCCATTGGCAGAAACTACTCTGAGCACATCAAAGAGCTCAACAACGCCAGGACGAAAGAGCCTTTCTTCTTTCTCAAGCCCACAACAAGTTACCTCCCTACCGGGGGACAGGTTGAAATCCCAAGCGGTGTTGTGGCACATCATGAAGGTCCGCTTCAATATCATGCTCTTGCAGTATTCGTATAAATTATAGCGCAGTTGAGCTTGGTCTTGTAATTGGGAAAGGCGGTCGAGATATTTCCCAGGATGCAGCTGAGTCGCACATTGCAGGCTACGGTGAGCAGAGGGTTTGATGAACTTTTTTAAATGCTCATCACAATACGTAGCTTTGGCTGTTGACATGACCGCACGAAACATGCAAGACGACGTGAAGAAAAAGGGTCTGCCTTGGTCTGCTGTGAAGGGCTTCGATACATTCACTCCTATCGGGTGTGTCATGAGAACACGTTATGTCGATGTGCTCTGAACCTGTGATAAGGTCTTTCATCCCCAAGTCTTCCATCTCGGATGCTCATGACCTCACACTCTCCTTAAAGGTTTGTCTCACTTAATTGTCGAGTAGGAACATGTTTTGACGTGACTCTTTGCGTGTTAGATTAATGGTGCGATCAAGCAGAATGGTACGACCGGGGATATGATTTTCCGTATCCCGCGACTTATTGAACACATCTCTTCAATCATGACGTTGGAGGTACGTCAGAATAACTGTATCCGCAGGTCCTGGTTTGCTCACCCAAATGCGCAGGAGGGTGATCTCATCCTGACCGGAACTCCTTCCGGTGTTGGTCCTGTCAATCCAGGTGACAGTGTCGAATGCACCCTTGCTGACCCAGCTGGGAAAGTTCTCGACGAGCTGAAATTCACAGCAGAATCAAGGGTTGGAGGTTATCAATTCAAGATATAACAATATGTTAACATACCCACACGAGACAAGGAATAGAAGGAATATGTGCTGTGATATGTACACATGAACAGTAGAGCATCGTCTAGGATAATGCGTACACCACGCTATCAACACACCGCTTTTAACTCCAATCCTTATTTTTATCCGACTCCTCCAGTCGTCCGTTCAAATCATTCAACGATATTGGATGCATTCCATTCGAGCCTTTGGCAGGGTTTCCGAACTCATCCCCTTCTGATTCTGAACCACTTGCCAAAGTCCAGCTCCCAGCGGTCGGGGTTAGCTCACCATCGTGAATGCTGTCATCTGAGCTCTGGAAATCTCCAAAATCAAAGGAGTCATCAGACGAGAAAGACGATGAAATCGAGGAAGAAAAGTTGAAGTGATCAGGGGAGGCTCCCGCTGCATCGGAAAATGGGCCAAAACCATCGTCCTGGAATGAGTCTGTCAATGAACCTCGCGAGAGAGGAGCAAAATTATTCACTTCGTCATATTTTACTCCGAAAGGATCATCAGCCAGCGCCTCCCGCAAAGCACCGCTGGGACCAGGGTTGAACGCATCCTGTGCGGCCGGGTCACTTCGGGACATAATCAAGTGGGGATGTACGTACATCGAAACCACTCGAAGAAATTTCTTGTCGATTTCCGTTACTTCTGCGAGACATGGGAGGTCTGCCTAAATCGAATGACGATTGAGCCAACCATCCGCCGTCTTCATCTTCGTCTTCGTCTGAAGCATCGGATGACGAGTTGAACTGCTCCCCTGAGTGCATTTCCTGAGCTAAGTAGCGCGCAAACTGGACAGAAATGAGTAAGCACTCTGTCTCCGAGTGAAAAAAGACGCACCTGTGGAGGGCCGGCGCCATGGTCATCTTCCTCGTCCATCGGCGCAGGGCCAAAGTCGGCACTCGTTGCTCTTGTCGGTCTCGTGCTCACAGATCTCCTGAATTCCCCAGTGGTTCCGGGACCTGAGGTCGTGGCTGCGTTCAGTGATGGGCCACTGTCCTCCTCGTCAACCGTCCATCTACCACTAGCACGCGGAGCTGAGGTGACGGAAGGCTTCCCTCCGCCAAGGAGACTGGTATCTCGTTTCTTGGTCTCATTGAAGCGACCCGTCACGTACTCCTGCCAAGCAGGTTGAGGTGCATACTGCTCGATGATTAACCGGAGGTTTGGTGGATAGTGCTCAAGAGCTCCAATAACGTCCTCTGCCACCTGCGTGAGATGACCCATGTAACCGAGCCGAACACCCTTTGCTTTTGAGCTGAAAGGTTCTCATTGAGATCATGCAACGGTAAGTGTGAGAGTGGTACCTTTCTGCATCATTTCGCTTTTGACCATCGATGATGCGTTGCATGATGTGTGCGTCCCGGAAAAGAGATATTGACAATTCTCTGTTCAGTCCTCCATCAGTCCTGCCTGTGAGAATCTGGTGGACGAAATCATAGACGGTATTGTGTAAAAAATTATTCCAAGGGAATTCGAAGAAGAGGTCCTGGTCGAACGTATGAGTACAGTAGCAGTACGGAAAACTAGTCGCTCACCAGTAAGGTGCCCAGGACATTAGCCTCCAAGAAGCGCATTTTCGTTGTCTCCCCTATCGAGAGACTGGGCGCTGTATCAGTGCTAACCATCCGCCTAGAGCTTCTGCGCGAGTGTAGGGAGGGGGATTTCGCGGTCGAGCTATCACCACTACTAGACGTGCTGGAACTTCGTTTCGCAGCACCTTGAGCTGCAATCTCGGCAGGTGGAGGTAATGACGCTGCATTAGGCGAGGAAGGGACGACTATTAAAGGTTGCTGCGGCGGAACATCTTCTGGCGGCGAATTTTGCACCTTCGGCGGGTCGTCCATCATGATCTCCTCCAGGGCATCGTCATCTGAGCTGCCAGGTTCGTCGTCGCTCATGTCTTCATCCGAATCTAATAGCGAAGAGCCTCGTGATCGGTTGGTGACTGGTAACTCCAGTGCGGGCTCGACATCATCATTGTTGTCATCCATTGCGTCCTGGTCCCTCTCGTCTCCGGAACCAATGGCAATTACACGAGCAAGATGCTCCAGAGATGATAGCCCGCCTTGTAATCGACCTTGCTTGTCATAAAGATCGCTGAACTCCGTAGGACGGTTCAAGATAGCCATGTTAGAACAATGCAGCAGTTCAGCATACAACTCGCATATCCGAAATCGTTCGAAAGTGAGAGGCGTGATCACACCTACGGTTGTGGGTATGGAGCCTTGCTGAGGGGGGGAGGTTATATCGAGAGTTCGAGAGATAACTAAAAGACTCACCAAAGATCTTGGTTGACGAAGGTATTGCTCGAAGGTAGCGAGTCGCTCGCCCATAATCTCCAGTAAGGGGCCAAGATGAACCACGCCCATTCTGTCCGACATTTCCTTCATGGACTCCTCAAGCTTCGCACGCCCGTTTTCAGCCCCTGCGAGCTGTTGTTGAATATGAATCAGCCGATTTCGCAGGGTATGGAAGAGGTATGGTTCGAAATAGTCTGAGTTGTTTTTCCGAATAAGTTCAATGACCACGGATATCGAGTGGACAACAGAAGAGACGGATGACTCAAGATTGGGGAGCTCTGGGATGGAGTGATCAGTAGAATCATCACCATGGAGCACTTTCTGGGACTCGGCTTCAGCTAATGGACTGAAATCGCCTAGTATGTAGTCGGTTAATGTTGAAACACTCTCGGGCCGCGCCAGCTCCCTGGAAAAGAGATTTGAAGCGACTCCATTCTGCAGACCGTCCGTGAGTCCTGGTGCAGGTGACGCGGTAGCCATAGAAAGTATCCCCTTGATCAATTCTGAAACCACTGTGTGCATGTCGCTGGTGTGTGCCGGGGAAAGCAGCTCAACCAATCTGCCCATGAGGTTTTCCGACGAAAGCCACTGAATTGCGATACTGGGTAAGCTGCCACGCAGAATGCTGCATATAAGAGCATACTTCAAGAACGCCTGCACCACCTGGAACTTCGTCCAGCTGAATAATGCGGACAAGAAGGTCGACTATGGATGGCGTCTCGACATGTCGCAAGAGGCGCTCCACGACGGAAGGTTGGGATTGAATGAAGGCGAGCATCTGAGCACAGAGCTCTGGGTTCGTCAGAGGACGGCGGTGAAAAGATAGTCATTCACCTCCGCCGGCTTCTTGGTGAGGAAGACAGCATTTATCTTGGCAAAGTGAGAAGCCATGACCATCTCCGTCTTCATCTCTTCAGGAGACTTGTCGAGAACAGTTTCCCAGAACGGGATAAGCAGCTGGCTTGACGAATTGACACAGGTTTCCACTATCGACCATATTTCACTGCAGAGAACCTCTGTAGCGACATAGGGATATCTAGAATTGATCGGTGAAGATGCCCATGAGGCAGAGCACCGGAGATAAGGCTTACTTGAAACGTCCTCTTTCCTCTTCACCTTCAATCTCACCAGTCACATAGCCCAAAAGTCTTTTCAGGACGTCTACACGCTGAAAATAATCGATGAGTCGCGTGTTCTGCGACTTGCATTCTTGTAGTAGATCATCTTCGTCTAGGATTGCCTCTAATGACACATCGTCCTTGTCCAGTAGACTGTCGATCGAGGATGTGTTGTGAAATCCGAATCTGCTCAAGAAAAAAGTTTATACTGTGCTTGAAAACCACGATACGTGGAAATAAATTAGAAATTACCTCCAGAACATGGAAGCGGAGCGATGTTGTTGAAATTGAGGAGCAGAACTGAGGCGAGCGTACTACGTAGGCTGTCGGGGCCTGTGTATACTTGTTACTAAGATTGGTATTGCACTGGCAAACACACGTCTCGACATCATGTAGTTAAAATTTCAGAAGATTCCAAAAGTCCATCAGTTGGTATGTGATTAACACGATATTGTCCAAGGATGTAGTATATAAGCCAATACACGCAAGGGAGACTGATCGCATCAAAACTTTGCCAGATGTCAGCACACGATGTGTCACGAGGATGGTTCAACCACATACCCGGATCTGATAACTCCCGCTCGCCTTCGTGAGGTAACGTACCCACTTGATGCTGTGGTAATTACCTTTCTCAAAGACTTTGAGAAACCGAACGATCAGACCAGATGCGGTGAGCATCAGGACCTCAAAGTCAACGTCAATAGGTGGCCGAGCCCAAATTTGCCGAGTGGTAGTGCTAGTAAGACTAGCCGTCCCGCTAAAGTTGCACTCCTGTCCACCCTGAATCCGCGGAATCCTGAAAATAATATGAGCAGCATTCATCTCACATGAACCAGACGACATACTTCCACACGACCACGTTTTCTGCGGGAACATATTTGGCCTTGCCATTTGCAACTTTGCAGTCTACGCCGGTCGTGTTCAACGGTGTCGGTATCCGCAAAACCACGTTGGTGGCGGACAATTTGTTCCCGAAATTGGCTTTCACGGCAATGTTATACGACACTTGCGTCGTTCCAATCTCATTCACCGTAGGGATCACTCGCAAAGGCAACTTAACATTTGATGTCGAGCGGTACCTGCGCGACGTTTTAACGGTGCGTTGCGAGAAGAATAGAAGCGGCTCACCTCATCAGTTCGAATTCACCATCAGGAGGAATAAAGCTGATTGTGCGGCTTGTGTCAAATTCATTGAGCCGGACACACTGGTGGAACCGACAGTCATCCAGTTCTACCGCATCGCTTGCCCCGCCTTGGCTGTTCTTATCAATGACGAGCTTGTCGTTGAGACCGAATTTACATTCTGGCGTCCCAGAAAGATACGCGCGCATTTGAATATGCCCATCCACGTCGGCACGAAGGACAGTCCCTAGAGAGCAATCATGAACATTGCACACGAGGAATCCAAGATGTCATCACCTTTTGCGCTCATGCTCAGGTTGACAGTCTCCACCACATCTACGAAAGCTTCATTCTTCTTGTATTTTACATCCCCGCGCCGCCAACTTGTCGCTCCTGTCGCTTGTGAAGTGATTTTCGAGGACTCCTCCTAAGGCGTCATCAGCTGAAACTCGATAGACAAGAGAAAAATACAAACAGCTGCTATAGCCGAAGATATCACACTTTCCGTGGTGATATAAGATTTAAGGGTGTCGATCTCGCTGTTCTGAGGGTAACCATAGTCACTGATTTCTGTAAAGCATCATTGATAGAGTCAAGCACTGTCCAGACAAGTGAAATCATCTGACCATCTATTAGCTCGTATATCAGCACAAAGTTGTTCTTGACGGATTCCTCGTCCACTTTGCCAAAATATGACTTGGCAATACTGATGAAGCGGTAGCAAAATTCAAAGACGAGGGCAGCATTTGCATTTGTTCTGAGTTGATGATTAACGCGACAAAGTAAGTTAGAGGTATAGGACACACTTTGTCACGCAGACAACGTAGAGGTTGTTTACCCGCACATGGAAGAAGCTGGTCGAGCCCAGCGTTATGATGGGAGATCGCACATCACTGTTAGACACGACTTGTATCCGGAACACATCCGCGATAGATCGCCTATGATGCATAAGCCGAGTAAGGGTGTGAATAGAAAACGAGCCTACTTGAAGTCTGTCCGATACAGTCTGGATATGAGAACCTGACGCCACAGGTTCGTCATGAAGAGACGACCACGACGATAACACAAATAAATAAGCTCACCTCTCCCTTCTGATTGAATATGAAAAATGCCTGGACACAATACTTAGTACTGTCGATGGCAATGTTGAAAAAGACCAACTGAAATCATGAATATTCGGGCAGGTCTACAGCTGAGTGGTTTGCGGAAGTAAACGACAATTGGGAAAATCTCACGTCCATCTGACTAAAAAGGAAACCCCCTGATGGCTTGCGAGCTTTGATCAGGATCAATTACTTTACACCAAGTAACGATGACAAGAACATATATAACGGGAGACTCTACGTATACCAGATGAAAGCAATAATGGAATTACGCACCGACGTGAGTGGCCGGGACGATTCTCTGCTCAAGCAGCCACCTCACGTGACCACTCTTAGGCATGGCAAAAGAATTACATATCATCGAAACTCACTGAAGCGATTTCCATCTAGTTTCAATAGCGCACACTTTCTCCCAAAGACAAATGATCATGGCTCGGATTTTGCTCGGATTCTTTGCTGTGGGTGTGTGATCCACGACCGTATCCTGTGACCAAGCACCTGCCAGATCAGCTGTCAGTTTGGACTTCTCAACATTGATATGTAGCAAGCACGTTCTGTTGGATCAAAGTATTCAATTCAACTGCGGATTTTTACCCTAGGCAATACGGTTTCGCCCCAGGAAACACCGATTAACCCAATATTTCCCCGGCAGAGGTCATTCCTTCATCCGAAGCTCACAAACAGGGTCGGGTGTCGTATCCATGTGCTATACGGACTAATGTCGGGTTGGGCACTGTCACTGGTTCCTTACCTAGGGTTTCCGTAGCGTGGCTATAAGAGATGATGATAGACGTACGTTTAATCTCCCTACTGTGCACTTTATACGCTCTGGAGCTCTTTGGAGATGGTCGCGGCGCGCAGTATATTCGCCGCCAGTATCGGTTTACTCTGGTCAAGCTCTCTTGCATCAGCACTCTCCTGGAACGCGACTAAGTACATGTTTGTGTTCGGAGACTCGTACACCACCGATGGATACAACGTCTCTGCTGGTATCAACTCGCCAGTCCCAGGATATGTAAGCATTTGCACTGAATTTCGACGTTTCTTAGACAGACTTCATATTGGCAGACTTCATCGAATGGCCAAAACTGGGTCGAATTTTTGAGTAAGTAAAAATAGAAAGGAGCACTTCTCTGTGTCTGACACCGTAGCAGCTGGCACATACAACCAAACGGCCGTGAAGGTGATTGTAAAATTTACCTGTGTGGCTTATATACTGATCAATAAAGTACAGACCTTTGACTTGGCGTCCGGCGGTGCGACCATCGATGCAGCCCTCGTTCCACCTTACCTACCTACTGTGCTGTATGTGCAGAGTCCTTCTCCTCGGTTTTAGTCTAAGTCATTTATGTGTAGCTCTGTGGTGGATCAGGTCACTCAATTCAACAACCACCTGGCCTCCAGGCCCGCTGGCGCTACATGGAACGGTACAAACAGTCTGTTTGCGTTTTGGATTGGTATAAACGACGTCGTACGCACGTTCCGCACAAATCCGCGTATTTAGAATACTTAAACGTAAATATCCAGGGAAACTCTGTCAGCTGGGTGGGCCATTCCCATTATCCTTGGGATGAGAGTGTTTATCGCTGATCGTTTTATATCCAGACGAACATCACTCAATCCGAGTTCTATGAGATTCTCATGGACCGTCTGTTTTCCCAGGTAGGTTGTACCCGGAGCGTTTGACATGCAATTGACATCATTATATCAGGTCGAGGACCTGTATTCAAAAGGAGCTCGATCGTTCTTATTCCTCACTGTCCCACCTACCAACCGCGCACCCCTCTTCCTCGAGCAGGGTACTAAGGCTGCAGCGCAGATGGGGTCTGATATTGCTGAGTACAATGCGAAGCTCACGCAATCTGTGCGCACCTTTCAATCGAAGTACCCGGACCTTGACACCGTCACCGTGGTTGACACTCAGCCCATCTTCAACGCCCTGCTTGACGAGTGGCAGACTTTCGGATTCGTAAACGTCACTGGCTACTGCGCAGCTTACGAGAATGGCACTCCCACTCCCACTTACCAGGTTGAGGGTTGCGCACCCGTGTCGAGCTACTTGTAAGTCAGTTCAAAGTTTCTAAGCAATACTAATGGCGCCGTTCTGTAGCTGGCTCAATACTCTGCACCCGGTGTTCACTGTTCACAAGTAAGTTTCTTATTTCAATGCCTGGGTGCCTCTGGTGATCCTATTTCCATCTAGCATTCTGGCAAAGGTGGTCTCCACCGCTCTTAGTGGGTACCCTGCCACACAGATCCCCACTTAAACTTGAAGCGTTTTTTCATGGTTTTCAATGCAATCCAAAATGTCCGATTGAGACATTGAGCGTGCTATCTCAGCCATTTTGACAATATTAATGTTAAGACAGCCAGGAGTTAGTGGACTCTGTAAATGACGCAAGCTCGTCAATACGCAAGCGCTGACGCGTCCGATGTGCAACTAGATTTAAAATGTAAAACAATCAGCGTTCATTACAGTGGCAAATAGTCTTGCTTTGTCGCTATTCCAACGTCCAGCACCCATTCAGGCTCAATTGTGTTCCAGCAGAAGTTCGTCGTCGGGACGGCTCATCATGCCAATCACAGAACTCGCAACCCTCTCGTTGATCCCCCCCAATAATCTCTCCGACCCGCACATAGTAAATCTTTTCTTCAAAGTTTCTTCCTGGCAAAGATCCTCTTCGGGTTACCCGTTATGCTTCTTCATAAATCCGGAAGAGCCTGCTGAGATCTACCTCATCACTGGATGGGACGACGTGCGCGCACATGAAAAATGGATAGCAAGCTCCAGAAATCAGGAGCTTCTTTAAATTGCGGAAAAGCTCGTCAACATCATTGGAATGGTTCACTTGGACCTGAATTTCAACGAATTTCCAGTGGGAGCTGAGTCACTGGTGTGCGTGAAGTCCACTGGAGCTATGAAGGATGTATCAGAGGAAGGCAAACCAGAGAGCATGGCTTACACGCAGCGCGGCTGGACTGGACATGGGAAGGATGTGCAAGAGTTAGATATTAGGACTGGGGTTTATTATTTCGCAGAAGGTGATTCCCATTTAGAGGACGTTAGTGGAAAAGAGGGCATAGACAGGAGGACCCGTTTGAAGAGGGTGAAGTTCACTTGAATATTAGTTCACCTTGCTTCCTTGAATTTCTCGTATTCATTATCTGTATGTGCTGTGGCTCTACCTGAACATTAATGTCGATTTCCTTCCATAAAGGGACATCATAAAGCGTTTGTTTGGCAAAAGCTTCTAATCCAAACAAATACTCTTCATTCTGCACGGCGTATTCGACACGGTTTAGGTCATGATGGACGCGGTTTCTCAGCCGCGGCAAAAGTCTCGAGCGCCATTACGAAATCATCGACGCAAACGAGCAAAAGAAGACGAGAAGGAGCAAGTAAAAGAAAAGGCCGACTATGATAGGAATGGCCCTAATGGTAATAGGCCTCACACCCCAAAGGAACCACCTTCAAAACGCGCAAGAACGAATGGCAAAGGCAAAGAAAAGGAGTCTGAACTTGAGCTAGGTGAACTGCCCAATGATTCAAGCAGACCGTTCGAGATTGGCGACGAATTCATACCCTTTGTGGTCAGCGATGATGATGCAGAAGCACCCAAGACGCAGGACTCTCGCCGCAGTAAGGTAGAGATAACAAGAGAGAAGGCGCCGGAGCGAGAATGGGATAGAGGAAAAAGAGAAATGGATGGGGATGGATTCCATGACAGAGCTGGTCGGGGAACAAAACGAACGTACGAAATGGTCTTTGATGAAGATTCATGGGACCACAGAAAACGCAGACAGGGATATCACCCTGCTTTAAGAAAGTCCCCTTGGGTCGCCAAGGTCGACTGGGACGGCTGCCGCAATGTTGCGGAGATGTACGTTTTGGAGTCTTCCTTCACGTTGTGAGCTGATTTGCAACAGGTTGCATCGTGAGGTTGTAGCCTTTGTCAATTACATGTCGCCAACTCCAATCGAGGATGAAATCCGTGGACTGGTAGTTTCTCTCGTTTCAAGGGCGATCACGAATGCATTCCCGGATGCCCGGATACTACCCTTTGGAAGCTATGAAACTAAACTGTACCTCCCTAATGGGTAAACATTATTTATGTCGCATTTGAGTCAGTACTAAAAGTTGCGCAGGGACATAGATCTCGTAATCGACTCAGATTCAATGGCCTACAGCGATAAAGTGACTGTCCTGCGCGCTCTCGCCAATGTGATCAAACGCGCACAAATAGCTTCCAGAGTCACCATCATTGCCAGAGCCAAAGTGCCCATTATCAAATTCGTCACGATTTATGGCAGGTTAAATGTTGATATCAGCGTAAATCAGGGTAACGGCGTCGTCGCTGGCAAGATCGTGAACGGCTTTCTCAACGATATGCGCGGTTGTGGGTTTGCGCTTCGGAGCCTCGTCATCATCGCGAAAGCGTTTCTAAATCAGCGGGGGATGAACGAAGTGTATACCGGCGGCCTGGGCAGCTACAGTATCGTCTGTCTGGCAGTCAGCTTCCTCCAGATGCATCCCAAGATTCGGAGGGGGGAGATAGATGCAGAGAAGAATCTTGGCGTTTTGGTTATGGAGTTCTTCGAGCTCTATGGTTGCTATTTCAACTATGAGGAAGTTGGAATATCTGTGCGTAACGGAGGGTTGTATTTTAGCAAGAGACAGAGAGGATGGCACGATTCACTGAAGAAGAACCTCTTGTCGATTGAGGACCCTACCGATCCCTGTGAGCCCAAATTTCAAATCTACACAGACATGAAATTTACCGTTGCTCCCTTCTCGGCTAGCGAACGATATCTCCAAAGGCTCTTTTGGAATTGTGAAAGTTCGGCAGACTCTGGCGGGAGCCCATGGAATCATGACATCAATGGCCTTCATGAGGGCTGGGATCTTAGGTGCACGCAGGGAAGGGCGGACATACCCTTTACGTCGACATGGGGAACCAGAGGACATGAGCATTCTGTCCAGTATACTTGGCGTCACGCAAGAGGTGTGGTTCTCTTTCTACTCTCAACGTATGTTAAACATCACAACAGACAGTAAATAACCGATTGTTACTGCAAGAGGTTTATGACCAACGGTCGCTCCATAAGCTGCTTGGAACTTCGCCCATGCCTCACGTAGTTGTTGCCAGCGTCCTTGACACTGCTACTCATGGAAGACCGTCAACAGCGGTAGCCAGCACAGAGAGCTGGGATCGTAGCGTGGATATGACGCTCGAAACCGACGAGGAGTCACTACCGCAGGAACCTAGCGGTTCCCGTCAAGACAATGATGAGCTGGGCAAATATCACATTGAGAAGCGGCGCACCTTACAGAAGCATAGAGCTAGTCAGTCGGATCAGCAACCCGAAGTTTTCACCGCCGACGAAGAAGACTCAGTAGATGAGGAAGAAGCGGTCTATGAAATGGGTCTAGATGACGGATTTTCCGGTGATGAAACGCGGAGCAGGATGAGCAGACGCAGATCATATTGGCTCTCGAAGGGTATTGGGGACGACAGTGATGATGGTAGTAGCTGATGTATATTACAGTAGCATCAGAGACTCAGGGAGTGTAGCTAATTGACATGAAGCAGACCCCATACGGCTTAGAGCTTGGAGCCGAACAAGCTTGAAGTAGACAAAGTTCACCATGGAAAGATGGGGATGGAGGGGGTCACACGTCGACACCTTGGCGATCAGATCATTCAACCTTGACTTCATGCACGACCGTTGCTAGCCAGTTCTTGAACATTTTTTCAATCACTTGCGCTTCATTTGTGGTAATCCCATTAGCTTTTGTAGTGAACTTAGGGTCTGCAAGCTGGCGCCTGCCTTTGAATTCGTCGTTCCTGGCCACGACGTTGCAACGAGCACTCCCGCCATCAAGACTGAAACCCCATATTGTCCGCCTCTCGTTTCAAATCTCAATACTTTACCCAATCAATGTTTGTGTTTCACTCATCGCATCTTTGTGTATGCTAACCATAAAGCTATAGGACGACCTCACGCGCGTACCCCCCTCCAGTCAATCTAAGAGAACGTATTGCTGCTCTCCAGCAGCGGAATGTATCTCCAAGTCAACAGCAAACAGCTCAATTTACTCCAAAGGACCTCCCGAATACTGGAACTGGATGTTTGCGCGACAGGATCGCGAAATTTGAGGAGAAGGGAGGCATCCCCGTTCCGCGAGGAAGCTTCGGTATGGGTGCGCCCCAGTTGGCAGAAAATGCACCAGCAAAGAAGCGTGGAGAGTTGTATGGGAACCGAGTTCAAGGTCTTGGAAGACCGGGCGGCACGCCATCGAGTCGGTCTGGCTCACCCCTCCCCCCAGCGGACGACTCACCTTTGCCAAGGCAACGTTGTGTGTCTACCGGGGGTGCGCTCTTGAAAGGCACTCCCCCCAGATTTCCAATGAATGAACCTATCCCGCCACTTCCACTCACACTGTCTCTCCCTTCTGCGCGTCGTAACTCTATAGCAGTTGATTTCGGTCCCACCGGACGCGTCATCAGCTCCGGGGATGTGTCTCCTCGTGCAGGTGAAGATTCTGAATCTCCCTCACCTTCTCCGTCCACTTCACCTTCACTGGGAGTCGGAGACACTTCTGGAATCATAAGCCGGCCCCAGAGCATTGAACCTGTCACCCCATCAGAGGATGCACTTCCCCAAGATATAGATGCACTATCACAGTCAGAGTCAGAGGTAATAGTGTTTTCCCCGCAGCCCGACCTTGATCTAGCACCTGCGGTAGCACTGGACATGGTGTCGACATCTCAGTCCTCGTCAGATGTCGTAACTGTCGTGGAAGCGGCTTCCGTTGTTGAGCCTGATGAGACTATTGGTTCTGCTTCGGACGAGCAATCCCAGACATCATATCATCCCCCACTGTGGGTAGATGCGGCCGTGACCGACGCTCAACCCTCGGAAGCTGCGCTCCCTGACTCGTCTTCAACTATCTCGCCTTCATTCGTTGCCCCCAATACGGCTCCTGAAGGTGACTCGGCATTGGACCATCCCCTTACATCTACTACTGCAAATGACGACGAGTATGACGACGCAGCCGCATCATCGTTGGCCTCTGAATCCCCTCCTACTGAGGAACGTGGGACCATCTCTATCAGCGTACCTCATCCAAGGATCCAGGTTCAACCCAGTCCTCCATCACCTGATTTAGACGTGGAGAACACCAAGGCTGAAGGGAAGCCCTCTTTCACGGCTGTAGTGCATCGCAAGGTCACAGAAATGCCCGCCGCCACAGCACCGACTTCAACTCTTACCGCACCTATGACACCACAAATTGCGCGAGTGCGGCGTATGGGAATCACCATCTCTGCCGAGCCGCTTTCGAGCCCGGGCTATGGAGAACTTGCCATTCTGCTAGAGGAAGCAGCACTGCTTGAGATGAAACTCAATGAGACGGATAGTTTTACTCCGTCAGAGCTGGTGGAAGCTGCGCTTCTCAAAACCCCCACCGATAACACTTTCGCAACCGATATTCGGTTCGCATCTTCGTCGACGCTCACAGAACACGTCAAAGCTCCATCCACGGAAAGCGTATCCCTTTCAGAGCGCTCTGTATCTATCCCGTCCATCCGAGAACCTAACATTGATGGGAACATCGCCGAGGAGGATGAGGGTGACGGGAGGAGTTTGGCGTCGACATCTGCGTCACAACGGTCTCCTTCACACAAGAGTTATCTTTCGAGTATTAGGCGACTGACTGGTCGTCGTTCGTCGAACTACATGCCTGGGGCATACCCGCGAGATAGTATTTCGACGTGCGGCTCTGAGGATTCTGCCGCGGTCACGACACCATCTGATCATGGAGATGGATCAGGCTTTGGCATCGCATGGCCAAGCGTATCTCCGAAGAAAGGTGGTACAGGCAGGTCTAGCTCGTTTGCGGATAAGCTGTTCAACCGCAACAGAACCAAGTCGAACGTTAGCACAATGGAGTCAGGTGTGTGAGCTGCTCAGGGGAACTTTCATATGGACTAAATTATTGTATGCTGGTCAAGACCAAGGCTCGATATATAACTCGTCGAAGAAGCCATTTACATTGTCGCCGCCCCCCATCCCATCCCAAACCAAAAGTTCTCAAGGTCTTCATGCCTCTGAATTACCCGGCTCGCGTTCATCGCACTGGATGGTCGACCGGGACTCGACATCTTCTCCTGCCCCCAGTATCCTTGAGAAGGAAATCTTCGATGCATTTCCCTCTGTCCCACAGACCCTTCCTCCGGGTCCACTTCATCTGTCTCCAGACCTTTCGGGAGCAGCAGCCCGTCGTTTATCAACTCTCCCAGTCAAGACTCGGAAACACTCGCAACCACAACAAAGGTTGTCCATGGTTTGAAATGCTTCATCTTGAGTACCGTAAAATTAATACGAAGCTAGCTAGCTTCACCCCTCATGTTGTCATTGCTGCTTGCTTTCGCTGTGTATTCTTGCTATCTTTCAGTATTGTTCAAAATTGACATATAATTTGGATAGACGCCAGAACATTTCGGGTTGACCTGAGTGAGATTCTCAGAGTGTTTCGTCGTCGTAGCTTCTGTGTAAAAACACCCTCGAGAAATAAAACCATGCTAGAGTGAATTATCCTGGTTGCAACTTGGTTAACCAACTGTAGTTTCTCTTTCACCTGCGATTCACAGAATGGGTGAATCCTTATTTGGAAAACAGTTTCTCGCTTACCCATTACGGCCCAAAACCCGTCGCTCGAGACTAAAACAAAATTGTCCTGAGGTCCACTTTGCTCTCACTGCTAGAGATTGTCCCCTTCGGGGTGACATACGAAAAATTGGAACGATACAGAGAAGATTAGCATGGCCCCTGCACAAGGATGACACGCTTTCCCGGAGTGGTAGACCTACGGGTCTCAATATTTATTTTTGTGCTCTTTAAACAGACTTTAGTGTTTTTCATGGATACAACACCGCTCATATTCATGCTCTCCATGCTTGTAGTCAATCATGAAGATGAAGTTCAATAACCTCAGATGCCGACCCACTCTAGTCAAGTATATATACTACTGCTGTAGTGTCTTTCTTCGAAGTCTTATGCTGTAAGTAGTCAAGACTGTCGTCCCTTAACCGTTACGCCAAAAGGCAGTGATAATGAATGCTCACATTTCATTATCTCGGACAGTATTTATGCTGATTATGGGAACTCAGGTAAGCCAACGGGCTTACAATTGCCTTTGTTTACTCATCCATCTTATCCATCGCGCCATGATGGAATCAGTTGTTCTCGAAACCAGTCTCGGAGACATTCAGCTTGAATTATACTGGAACCATGCCCCTCGAGTGAGTTTCTTTTGCTTTGTGCCTCTAGTTGGCTCTGAACTGATCAAGATATTTCATTTTAGACCTGTCAGAACTTTGCTGAACTTGCAAAACGCGGCTACTACAACGGCGTCGTGTTTCATCGAATCATCGCTGTCAGTTGAGCTTTTTTCCTGTGGCAAGCGTATATTCACGACCGATTGTACTTGCAGGACTTCATGATTCAAGGCGGAGACCCAACCGGAACTGGTAGAGGTGGAACGAGCATTTACGGTCAGAAGTTGTACGTCCATTGTAAAGCCTTCTTCAACATGGGAACTCATTAGCATGTGCACAGCGAGGATGAAATACATCCAGAGCTACGCTTTACGGGTGCAGGAATTCTCGCCATGGCAAACTCGGGACCCAATACGAACGGTTAGATGGCAGCTTTTTATATTGTACGCCAGTCGGAATATAACCGCTTGCCGCTAGGATCTCAGTTCTTCATTTCGTTGGCGCCCACGCCATACCTCGACGGCAAACACACCATTTTTGGCCGGGTGAGCTCAGGCATGCGTGTTGTGCAGAGATTAGGTGCAGTCGCAGTTGATGCTCAGGATCGGTAAGTCGTCGTGTTTCAGGATTTTCAGAGATGCTTGACCATTTGTTAGGCCAAGAGAAGATGTAAAGATACACAAGGCTCGGACAGTGTGATTTTTCATTCATTCTAATGTAAGTCTGCACTATTGTATGTATATATCTTGTCTTTGACCCTGAGCATGTCTTTTTCAAGGTCCTACAAAAGTATTCATGACTTGCTAAGCGGAATACACTGTCCCATTTTGTCCCAGACTCTTCGTGGTTCGGGATCTGGTTATGCTTGAAATGCTCGATTAAAATTTTGTGTCCATTATTTAGCATGACTATCGGGACCAACCACCCGCCATTGCCTCGCACCATCTAGGAAGCAGTGGATTGACACGGCCGTGTAATAATGACACCGATGTTCAGTTTCAAATGCACAGCAGATTTGAGTGCATATGCATGTTGGATCCTGAGTAGTTTGGATGCCCCTAGGAGGTACTGGGGCTCCCAAATCGCGGGGCCGGTATTGACCGACTCATTGAGGCGATCGCCGCCCCAAGACCAAGTTTAACCATCCACCTGGGATAAGCTGAGGGTGGTGACAGCCCTGCTTCGACTACTGGCTGGTACCCCCGTCATACTTTCACAACGGGGCTGCATCCCTTATTAGTACAGCTGTACCTTATTCACTGCCAACTGGGTGGGAGAGGGTGCTGCAACTGCTCCAGAGCTTCAGCTTCAAGCCTTGAGGGTGCTCAAATATGGTTAGTCGTTACTTACGGTCTAGCAAATCAATATTTTCAATACTAACTATGCGTACAAAGTTCATCCTCGAGATCGATGCCACGATGATCCCGGCTCTAGTGTACCGCACGCTGAACATTATCGTCATTGTCTCGAGCCCTTCCGTCCAGACGTACATGAAACTTGAAAGTGACGAGGACGAGCTGTGATGTCCGGACACTTCCCTTCTAGGAGGACCTGACTCCGAGTCTCTGGCGACCACAAAGAAAGTCCTGAAGGCGTCCAAAAAAGGCCGAAAGCCGAAACACCACAAGGTGGGTAGAAGGCGAGCGAACCGTATCTGCTGGTCTGAAAATCTCTTCAACTAGCTGCAAGACAGACAGACGTGAACCGACATCCCTGTTACAGATGAATTTGCGCCCACTTTTCCGTTGTTTTTCAGCCTTTGCACGATCCAGTTCTGTGTATGAAGTCAGAAGGGGTAGGTTGGGAGTCGGACAATGCATTCCTCCCGCGCGTAGGCTTGGAAGTTAAAATTTTCCATTGTTTTGGGTCATTTTATTTTTATCGCATCGCCTGCGTATGTTTCAACTCTCATGATTGTTGCACTCCCGTTGATCTGTGTTCCTTCAGCGAGACCTTGATTCTGGGTCAACGTCAACGTTGTCGAGAATCTGATGTTCTCATACTCTCTGATTGAGTGGGACGTATTCACGAAGCATACTAAGTTTATTCATTCTGAGGAAGAGCACGTTCGTCATCAATTTCGGTAAGCTCCGCTCGTACTACCCAGCATGCCAAGGACAAAATGATAGTGAGCAGTGGAGCTCGAGTGGAGTGGGCACATGGATGATGGCGTCGACGCAAATTGGATCCGCGGGATCAAACGTTCCGGCACTGCATACATATATCATTTAGATATGTGCCAGGATAATTCCGCACACCAGTCTAACATTTAGCCCATCGACGCAGTCTAGACCCGAACAATTAGTATTTGCACATCTTACCGTAGCTTGTGTCTCAGCGAGTGCATTGAGTACGATCGAATTGGTCAGCATCATTTAGACGCTTCGACCTGCCCAGCTCGAATAATTCACTTTTTCGCCCTATAAAAACCAACTGCATTAACTTTCAAGAACGGTGCTCTCAATCGCGCACTGGGGTTTTCCCTCGCAAATTCCCGCACCGAGCCAAGCCGATCGTCAACGCGTCATCCATTAGCCCTATAAATGGTGAGCTTAGCCTAGTTCCGAGCTTCTAATGCGTCATCCATTACCCCTATAAATGATGAATTTGGCCACCTTCCGGAGCTTCTAATATTAAACGATGAGTTTAGCTACCTGGTCTAGAAAGCCAGACCACCGTGCTCAATGTCGTGTAAAAAATTGACGGTCGTTGGGGTGAGGTTTGCAGTCCTAGAGGTACAGTCCTAATGAGGGTGAAAATATGTATGGACAATTTGAAATGCCATCTTCACTCAATAGTATCTGGGATGGTCAGAATGAGAATGAGAATTTGCCAGATGAGGCGGTCCGTCGGTAAGTAGCAGCGAGGTGAACATATTGCCAGGGCCTAGAAAAGTTGCCGTGAAATTGTGTGCTGAGTTGGGAGCGTCAGTTTCTCGACCCGAAGCTGGATCCGAGCCGTCAGAATTTCGCAGAGAAGTACCCGCAGGTTCGGACTGGAAAATCATTGTTTGAAAAGACATATCGACGTGACGCGTCATAAGGTGCGGACGAACTCATTAGGCCTTTGGCTTCAGGGACCGGGTACAGTTGAAAACTTGTCATTGTTGAAAACATTGCATTCAAGTCGTCTTGACTGCCTTGCTAGTTGCCACCGCCAAGCTTATCTTCGGCGTTGCGTGTCTCCCTGCATTGTGGTTCACCAAGGCCAGATCCGAGGAGTAAAAGAATCATGTGATTCAATATCTTCAAACATGTTACTGCCGGATCACTCTCATATATTATGAATAACCACTGGCTTGACCACTACTAGGATATAGCGAGATCGAAGGGTGTTGCGGGTACTACGGTAATATCAGATCTCGTCACAAGCTGCTCCAGCGTAGGGGGATCAGTAATACCAGTTACGCAGGCAAAGTTCCAGACTACCTTTTACCCGAAGATTATGCCAGTGAGAAGGTTTAGTTTTGTGCCAATGACAATGAATCGAGCACCCCATACGTACACTAGGCCATATCCTCCGGCGAGGCTCGAAAGTCCTATGGTTCTGCCGCCGCCCCTGCACTTCCAATTGCTGAACTTGCTCACTGTAAGGATTAGGTGTGCAAACAGGATTGGGGGGGCTGTATGATTAGGACCGTGTGAGGGACGAGGAAGGCTATGACAATGCGCTAATGACAATGAATTGTGCATCCCATACGTACATGCAGTTATACAAGCACATGTAGATTTTTTCGCCGCCCCTATACCAATTGTGTATAAAAGCCAATGCACTAGTTCGAAGTTCAACACCAACAAGTTTTAGCCATGAAATTCGCATCGCTCACCACTCTGATCGTGTCTGTCGCATTGATGGCCGGCGTAACTACCGCATCTGAGGACCTTTTAGTAACCCCCAAGGGCCTAGCCTGCAACAACCCTGGTGAGTAATCTTGCAGCCTACGTGCAGACCTCAGACCGCGTACTTACCGCTATTTGTAGATCGAGCGGGGTGCTCAACAGGCATCAAAGGATATAACAACCAAAACGATTTCGGGTATTTCTGTGGAGCTACGGGCAAAATTATAGGCTTTGCGCCCTGTAATTGTAAAAATTGCTGTAAGGTGACTGGCGGTGGGGATGACTTCACCTGTAAACGAGCGTCGCTCAACTCCAACGTGCCTGAGTGAGCCTATCCTCGTTGCCTTCTTAGTCCGAGTGATGATGTGCTTGCTTTCGCTAGTGCATGGAACAACTAGCATGATGCATGCATGAAGGAGTGTTGTAGCGTAGCCAAGAATATGTCAATCAAGTCAGGCTGTCTCTTTGTTCAAAGATGCTTTGTAATGTCGCAATGTCTAAGAGTGTTAAAGGGGGTGCCACTAGTCTTTCATCAATAAACCGGTGAGCCACCGATATTCCCATACAGTAGACTTTCTCATAATGCATAGCGTCGGGACCACAAAATCTTTATGCATTATGACATGTATGCATTAGAACATATGTCACACGTTGTGACATTTTGTGACTTCGCGTGACTCCGCACAAAGGTGTAACACATCTACAGTATCTGCTTAACGAAAATAAGAGTCAATTGTAGTCTGCGTTCCGTGAAGGAGCTCCTCGCGTCGTAAGTGAGCCTGAAAAAGACTTGCTTCATGAAGTCCAGTGGAACTGTGGAGTCAGCATTTCTGAACTGGAGGCAGCCTCCTTCGAGCCACTGACACAGTGCAAGCATTTCTGCACGAGCTGTCTTTGATATGGTGGAGGCTTGTCTCGTGGTTTTCATTTCAGGCTATAGAGACTGAAGCATAAAAATGTGTGATTAGACACAGACCGTGATGCAAAATGTGTCTAGTTCTCTGACATGTGTAGGTTGATGCTTCAAGGTTTCTCACGATGTATGAGATGTTTGAGTTGGGATGCACTAAGGATGCACTGGCTATTCCCATTTCTAGTACATGCTTCTATACTTCTCCTACAGCTTCTCTTCAAATTCCTGGCTTCTCCAGGACCTCTTGGGGCTCTGTGGGAATTACACCTAAGTGACACCATCAAACATTATTGTTAGTAATTATGTCAGGTACCTGTCCTCATTACTAAATAGTAAGCCCTAGTAATATCCCACTACACCAGTGAATAAACCAGCACTCCAGCTGTCCCTTGGGCATCCTCATTGTCCTCAACAGCACTACCAAATACAGTTGCGGTGGGAAAGGCACGTGCTTCCCACCTTCCCAGGATAAACTTAGATCTCGGAGGCAATCCTCTGCCACATAATGCTGAACACTGACTCAACGCCTTTGGCATTTGTCACCATCGGCAAACTTAGCGCGCTCATCATTGTCCATGGTGAGCTTGTTATTCCCCTCATTCTTGCCCCTCATTCTTGTGTTTTTTTCGCTGTTTTTACATCCCTATGGCACATTTGTTGAACTTTGGTAGTATGTCAGTGAATTGCCTTTATTTCAGATACAATATGAACACTTTATATTAGTAGATAGATATAGGGAGTGTAACAGCATTATGAAGGAAGTTACTCTGCTGCCGCCTCCATTTGTGAGTTGGCATCCTCTTCACTCTCAGTGTCAGTATCACTGACAAGCTCCTTGCTCTTGGGCCCATTGGCAGCCTTCTTCGTGACCTTGCAGCGCTTGTATACTGTCTTGCCCTGTTCCTCGCGCTGATGGTTGCTCTCTTTACGTGCGGCTAGTTCCTCCTCACCGAGTAGAACCCACTGACATTGTCCATTCACCAGCGCATTGAGTAACATTACGAGATCTTCTTGTCAACCGATCTTTCCTGGGTTTTGCAACATTTTGTATGTCCAGCCGTCCAGCTCTATCCTGTAAGTCTCCACAATCTTCTGTTCGTAGTTGTCATAATTCATTTTGATCTTCTTCCACGACAGCTTGTGCTTCTGCACAATTTCATCTTCTCTTGCCTGTGGTGATTCTACTCACTAAGTCCCTTCTGGATGCTCCTGTGACACATGCTAATGAGTTTCATAGGTGAAAGGTGCTGTGTTGTATCAGCGCGATTGTCTATTTGACGTCAAATGAGTACCATGTAGCGTCACATTGTATGACCACACACCAAAGTCTCTGATAGCCCAAGACTCAAATTTCAATGTGAAACATTTTGGATCTAAGTTCAGGACCTCTTTAACAAATGATTGCGCTTTAGGTGTGCAAAATATTTTTGCTTCATGGAAATGCTCAATGTGACCACAAACAGCTACATAGAAGCCCTCCACTCCAGTGCAAGAAGTGATGTTTGTCCACTGATGCCAGAGAATATATCATAGTCTATAAAATGGTAACACCTGTGCTTACTTCTTTTTCCATAGAATGGAATATTGCGTTGACTTGCTTTTGCAGTGCCTTAGGATTCAAATGCACAATCTTGACACGTGACTCGTGAAAGACATTGATGTCACGTCGAAGGTCATTTTTGGCAGCTTCTGAAAGCTGACAATATCCCCCCATAAGCTCTGCTTGATGGGCTGCTATAAATGTAGGGAGTTTCCACCGCTCTCCTGTTGTGAGTTCTGCATGATGTGTTGTCATTACAGCACCATATATATGAATGCTTATACCTTCATTTGCTTCATTTAGCTTTTGCCTCACGAACACATTCCACGCGTTCAGTTTCCTGCACTTGTATAGTCTGCCCCCAGTGCTCAACTGGAGTCATGTCCATTTAAGACTCCTGTACCATGACAACGAGGTGAGTGATTAGAGCATCAGCTAGAATATATGTTCACCGTTTATATTTTTCGGCAATGACAGCAGCCTTGTCTTGGTAGGCTTCACGTGCATCATTGATTGCATTTGATAGGTTGACAGCCTTGTCGTGGCGGGATGCTTTTTGCAGGGCAGTCAGTTTAGGCCAACTGCACTTGATTTTTTGTGTGACATGGATGACCATGATGGAGGGTAGTATGGTAGAAACCTTTCAATGTACTTTTTTTTTCATCATTTCAATGCAGTGTGACTTTCAATGCAAGTTTGGTTACTATATGACAGTGTAAATATACAACCATATATGACTAGTATGTACGAGAATGACCGGGCAAGAGTCTGGGTACCTCCCACCATGTGCAACCTTGGTTACTATATGACAGTGTAAACATACAACTATATATGACTAATATGTATGAGAATGACTGGGCAAGAGTCTGGGTTTTAACTTAGAATATCAAGAGGATGAACAATACTCATGTTGGGAATCAATTACCTCCTGCTGTGTCATGACATGAACAGTCGATTCTGATTGACCAGTTGCAACATCATAAGACAGTGGCCCATCAATGTCATAGCCCAGGCTCACAAGTCTTGCAGCAAAGAGATCAGCAGCAGGTGGCATAGATGTTGCTGCAAGAGGGATGATGTGAACAATGCTTGTGGTGACACATTCAGTATGAGTCATGCTGCTCGGTTTGGAGGCTGGAGTGGCATCAGTGCCGGGAGCCTATCAAAAATTTATTGTCAGCCATAAGGGAGCAAACCAACGGGACAAACAAATACCATGATATTCCTTGGCCCCGCTGAGGGCAGTTGTTGACTCCTAATGTTACTTGTTGCCACTAAGCAAGAATGGCTAGCTGGAGTAGCTATATCTTAAATACCAATAAGTCAACCTGAATAGCTGAGAAACAATGTCTCACCCAAAGAGCGACTAGTGCTAGAAAGATCAGAGATAGTCGAGATTGAATCTTATAAAAAGACATTCAACATTGTCAGTGAACTTATGACTCAATTTACTCACCTGAGCTTGTCTCATCTGTAGCTGGTGGAGGTTGTGACTGAGACAATAGGTGTTCACTTGGCACTGACTGACTAGGTGACTGACAACAACAACAAAGCTGTGCTTGTGGCACAGCATTCTGAGTTGTGTGAGGTTGTGCATGTAATAGAGGCTTGCAAGTTAGAGGAGGGCGTGCATGCAGTGCCAAAATAAACTCTCAAGCTGGTGGAGGGCGTGTGAGCAGTAGAACAAAATTTCGGGCTAGTGGAGGGCATGTGTATGGTGCTTGAACAAATCTCAGGCTGGTGGAGCCGCAGTGTTTGGTGGCGGAAATTCAAGTGATGCACGACTACCATGCTGAAATATATTTTTTCCTGGATAAATACATGAGTAATAGCACACCGTGTAGATAGCTGGTCAAAGACTCACTTTTTTTCCTCCATTTTTGAATCGAACAATGCAGAACAACCTTGTTCCACTTTGTATCCATGAAAGCTTTTTGCAATACTTTAGCTGCTACTTCACCAGTGAAAATGTCGGACATGAGTTGTATTGCTTGAGAAATGTTGGGATCGAGAAAACTGTGCTTGCTGTCCTCTCACAGGCATGGGGATTGGAAAATGTCAACAAGTTGAGTGGGCTTATTTTCATGAACAGCATCCCAGGAAGTGAACAGGTAGTGTGCTCTGAATGCAACATAAATTGAACTCTGAAGTCAAACCATGAGCATAGGCAGCAAATTCAAGTATACAGTCTAACTTACTGCTATTGTACTGCCTGTCTCCACGAGATCGAGCCAGGACAGTTGTGTGAAAGGATTACTGGTCCCCAATGATGAGTTGAGTTGAGAGCAGATATCGAGTGAGGGAGCCATGAGAGTCTTTGAAGAGAAATGTTGGGTGATTGAGTTGGTTTACATTTATAGTAAAGGGTACCAGGTACCATAGTCAGGAGCTTAATATACAAGAGGTTATCTGCAAGATCTTAAGCATACCACTCCTTTGAGATGCTTCACCGGTACTCCTTATCTGGCTCAACATCCATCATTTGTGTGGCAACAACACCAATGCTCAGGCCCGGTTGTCATGAATTCCAAACACGAATCATTTTTCATTCCTCGGTTTTCCTCTGGCTACGTCTAGTTACTGAACCAATCACGTGACTTCACTTCCTGTCACATCTTCACCTCTTCACATATCACCTGTTGTTTCTCTGATTGATTCCCCAACTCCACAGGCTAGAACAATCTCACTTCCAAAAGAAGTACCGGTTGGATCTTGGGCTTCTATTTAGTCACCGTCTGACTCATTGCTTATATATCATGATGTCATGCTCAGTCATCTGCAGTATCGTATGACTCTTTTATGATTGGCTGATTTCTTTCATACTCAGATATCTCCTCTTCAATGTTATGTATATAAGTAGGTTAGTTAGTGTAAGTACTCCTTAGACTTAACCTCTTCGTTTCCACACTGGTGGTAGACCTAGATGTTCACACTCAATCTATCTTGTTCATTATCATCCCTCTTGACCGAGTCCTAGTGGTTGTGTGTTAGTCTTTGCCATTCGGTGAATGCTAGTCATAACATTGGTGGATTGTCTAACCATGCAGCAGGACAATCAGAAGATGATGTGGCACTCTTAGTTAGTAATATACCAGTGGTATCTGCAAGACCTTGAGTGTACTACTCCTTTGTGATGCTTTGTCAGTGCTCCTTGTCTGGCTTGACATCCATTCATGTGGTGACAATGCCAATGCTTGGGCTCGGTGAATTGTCTAAGCGTGCAGCAGGACAATCAGAAGATGATTTGGCGCTCTTAGTAATATACCGGTCACGGTGGTATCTGCAAGGCCTTGAGTGTACCACTACTTTGTGATGCTTCACCAGTGCTCCTTGTCTGGCTTGACATCCATCATTTGCATGGCAACAATGCCAATGCTCAGGCTCGGTGAATAATACACGCAGATACATACTAGATATCTAGAGTATAAGTAGCACTTTGATGAATAGCACTGTGTAATAGTATCTTGACCTGCAATATCACATAGAATGCAGGATTGACTGTGTGACATCATATCAACTTGAAAGCAGCAGTATCACATACTTAAGATTGTTGCACACAGCATTGACAACTACTACATACCCACATTGCATTGCAACTATCTCTACTCAGCCATACATGTCTCTAGGCAGTTAGCTTCGTCACATAATGTATCATCCTCATCAACAAGAATAATCAAACTGCTGTCAAGATCCCCAAGCCCAACAACAATGCCACTTTCATCAACTGTCCAAATTGACCCACTGTAACCTGGTAAGCCATAAATGGCTTGTAGTCTTACACAGTGAACATTATTCACCCAATGGTGTTCTTCATATTGATGCTGAACTTCTCAACTGAGTACTGGATTAGATGCAAGAAGCGAGGTGACAACTGATGAAAGATGAGCATCTTCTTCATTGATCCATGCATGAAGACACGCAATCTCAACATTGAGATGTGTTATCTCCTCGTGAGCCCTCACAACTTTGAAGTGCTTGCTAGCAACTTCACAGTTTGCCTTTGAAGACCATGATTTTGAAAGCAAGTCATGGCGAGAGTGTTTGAGAAGCTCAAACTCTCCCAACCAACCATAGGATGCAACTTCACTGTACTTGAGGGTGGGATGTGGTGGATGCTGAAGCAGAGCAAGCTGATTATATTTTTCCAGCACAGTATGAATCAGAGATGAATACCTTGTAATTGCATTTGAGATGTGCTAGTGCAGTTTGTAACCTGGCATGAATAATCAGAATAGCATGGCAAGTCAAGGGAGTCATTTACCTGTGCCAGCAAGATTTGACTTTGCCAACTCAAACAACCGCTGTACAACTAACCCTTCAAGCTGTTCAACAATGAAGCACCAGTTGTTCAGATATTCTAATGCTCATTTATACTCATCATGTTCTGGCATCTAGCGCTCTGTGATGCCTATTCGCTGTTCTAGGTCATCTACCATATTCATTTCCAAGACTAATCTTCAGTATGCTGCATTTCACTCAGCTTCCACAGCTCTTGCAGTGCCTTGCGGCCCTTTGTGAAGGCCTTCATACTGCATGAAATTGGCTGGCATGAATGTGAGAATTTGAACTGATGTTATGTGGCCATACATGGCCCTAAGACATTTTGAGTTATGAAATAATGCAAAGAGTATAACTTACTTGGCAGCCAACAACGACTGCAGTGCCTCAACATATGCAGTACTTTGAATGTCAAAGTCTGGTTCTCTCTTCAAGTTCTCGAGGTACTCAGCCTCCTCCGCATTCCAGCACTTGAAGTCAGCGTCTGAAATCCCAAGCTGAGTCTTGAGCTCTTTGGCAGTCAGTGTGAACTTGTTAATGATATGAAGCACTTGCTTATAATTGTTGCATAAAAATTTACCTAAGAGTGAATCAGAATCTTTGGCAGTCTACAGAAATTGCAAAAAAGAACTGACTCAGCTCTAGGTATTTGTCTCAGTCCCACTGATCAAAGTGGAGATCTATGAATTGAAGCCAATGGAAATATGACGCATGACGAATAACAGGAGAAATGGCATTCAAAGCAGAGAAGATGTGCTCACAGGTTTCAAGATCCTCAAGGCCAAGTCCTTTCTGGTACAAAGGATGAAACTGTAATTGACAGCAGCAATTATGTGCATGACCATGGAATGAGTTTACCACAAAATGGTGCTGAAAAGATACTGCCTTGGCAGATATTGAGCTCCTCACTACTGTCTTGCTGTACAAGCACCTGATGTCATAGCCTGTTGCACCATTGGCTCCATAGACATCCAGAATCTTGTTGGTCATTGCAAGAGCATATTTGGCACTGAGAAGAATATAATTAGCTCTGAATTATATTAAGAGGATGACATAAAGAACTTACAGTTCTCCACTTTTTTGCATTTCAACTAAGGTCTGCAGTATGCCATGACAGCAAGTGCTGATGAATATGCCAGTCTGGTCAAAGACTTTTACTGTGTTCTTGGAGACTGTGTTGGCTGTCTTCCAGTTTTCTGTGCACTTGGACTCGTCAGAGACAGCAGTTGGGGTAGGATCAGGGCCTATGCATGTACCTGGCTGCAACCAAACATCATTCTTGAATTTGTCAACTTCCTCTGGCGGTATGAGATACAAAGATTTGAATATACGTTCATCAGCATGTCCTGAACCATCAACATGTTTTAATGAATTGTTGCTGTCAATACTCCCCAGATGTGCAGGGTCTAGTGCAGGTTCATTCAGTTACTATCACAAACAATTATTCAGTACTTGAAGTATGCTAACAAACGAATGGACATACCTTGAAATGACATGCCGGGCAAGAATTGAGCATACATCAGTTAACGGTATCATGGCTGAGAGCACGGTCAACACGACTCTGGACATGCAACAAGATCCTCAAATAGGTGTCAAACACCACAGCAAACTGATCACAAAATGTCTGAAAATAAGTGTACTAAGAATGTTCAGAAATGAACCACACATGGAAGAAGCTGATACACACATTATGAAGAGCGCAGATGACCTTAACCATCACCTGTACACTGAACAATGCCTTGTGATGTCATATTTGGTGGTAAACCTCCAAGCAATCAAGCGAGATGGTGATCATTGGCTGGAGAGGAGAACAGCCAAGAAATCCCTGCTTGATGAGAGAGGTATTGGCTCCCTTGTTTGTGTGCTGGTGGAATGAGCATGAAATACTGAGTTTTGTATCCAACCAGTGATTAGTGTGTATCATGATTTAAAAATGCATTTACTTGAGAGGGTAACAGTCATGACCTGGAAATATGAGCCGACATCTGCAGTGTTTGCTCCACTGCACGGTGTGCTCGAAGCTTCGTCTGGAGGTGTAGTGCTGTTCTTCCAAGTGAGATAGGCATCCACTAAGTCTGCGATTTGCTGGGACCATGCTCCATGCATCTGATGATTGTGAAGGAGACGTGACTGAGGAGCTCATGGCCGATAACAATGGCAACCTTGAATACTAGCAAAATTGTGAAACAAATGTGATGATGGGTTGAAGTACTTACCATTGGATGACTTGGATGGTGCTTGCTGCAGCTCCATTCTGCCCAATACGTCACTATCATCCATGTCAACATCTGATTCTTCAGGAGGATCACCAGCTTCATTCCCATCACCATTGTCACCAGCCCCGTCAGCTTCCATATCAGCCGAAAATCCAGGATCGTCCACCACCACTTTTCGGGCATTGATGGCAGCTTCAGAAATAAGTCAGTGTGTTTCTGCAGTCATATCTACATGTTTTAATAGTAAGTACCTAAAGCTAGGGTAGAGGGCATAAGGACTCACATTGTGCATTGGCTCACTGTTGTTCTTCAAAGGCCAAGTGGTTCTTTCATATCTAAGTGAGACTTGCTTTTGTGATGCATAGAGAGCCTGTAGAGAGGACATATGTTTCTTTGATGGACATTGTGGTAGAAAGGTGTTTGCGTTTGCATTGAGACATGGTGGTTCAATTTGCATTTAACAACAAGGCAGGAAGAAAGAACTAAGAGGCTTAAGTCAGTTAGAACAAGCTATATGTTCCTTGAGGCTTACATATGTGATAGAGAGCCGAAAGTCAGACAAAAAAAATGCAAGAATGAGGGGCAAGAATGAGGGGAATAATGAGCTCACCATGGACAATGATGAGCACACTAAGTTTGCCAATGGTGACAAATGCCAGAGGCATTGAGTCAGCATTCAGCATTACATGGCAGAGGATTGCCTCCAAGATCTAAGTTTATCCTGGGAAGGTGGGAAGCACATGCCTTTCCCACCGCAACTGTATTTGGTAGTGCTGTTGAGGACAATGAGGATGCCCAAGGGACAGCTGGAGTGCTGGTTTATTCACTAGTGTAGTGGGATATTACTAAGGCTTACTATTTAGTAATGAGAACAGGTACCTGACATAATTACTAACAATAATGTTTGATGGTGTCACTTAGGTGTCTTGGAGATAGGTTATCGCATACCAAGAAACCCATCTGAAAGATCATGGGAAGCTCTAAAAAGTGCTGTAAATATTATCTTTTCATGGCAGTTTCAGCTTCCCTTGTGCGGTCGAAGTAAAAACAAGCTTGCATCCCCCCATGCTGATGAACCTAGTTGGCAATTGTATGCGCAATGGCTGATTTGCCTTTCCCTGCAGTACCAGACAACCACAAGATGTGTGGCATGTCCTCCCCAGTGCTGCAGATCCAGCACTTGATCTCAGACAGAATATCTTCCCAAGTGCCTGAGAGACAATTTTTGGAGGAATTCCATCCCGCACCAACCACATACTCCATGCTGCTAATGTCCAGGTCCTCAGCTGGATCAATGGCAATCAAATTTCAGAGAAGAGATGAGAGACTTAAAGCCAACACTTACTGAGACAGTCAAGAGTTGCAGCATTGTGAAGAGCCACATCAGTAAAATGACCAGTTGCTTTTCTCACTTAATTTGTCACTTAATTACGTGAAAAGGAGCATTAAGTCATTTGAGTGAAAAAGTGCGAGTCACTTTATTAAGCCCACTCAATCTCTGAATTTTCGCTTTTTGCACACTTAATTCACTTAAAAAAACCAGAAAAAGCGGAAAAAAGCATGTCATGAAAAGGGGTAGTATTACACACGAAAAGCTAATTAAGGAGACTCCCAAAAAGGGGACTTGTAGGGATAAAAGAGCGATAGTGACTTGGATATTCATGTAGATACAATGAAAACAAATCCTGTAGTAGTCATGGATGTCAGTACTAGTAGGATGAAACCTAAATAACAAAAACTTACAAAGCATAGCATGTTCATCATCCTCGGACTCCTCGTCATCAAGCAAGCTCACATTTGATAGCAGGAGTGTCATGGGTAGGTGGGACAGATAAATCAACCTTGAGCTTTTTTTGAGCATGCAGCTTGCTGTCAGCGACAGGAGTTGCCACAGATACTGATGTCTATACAAGTGTCAGAATGAGCATTATTAAAAGTTCAGTACTTACTATGGAAGATGTTGTGCAGAGAATCTTCTGCTTCACAACCACAGGTTTGGGCTGAGGTGCGTCAAGCACTATCTGACCAGGCCAAGCAATTGCAGTAGATGGATGGGTGATGGGGACTCACTGTGGTAGACATGGCTGAAGAGATGAGGTTATGAGTCACAAAGGATAATACTTTTGCTGGGGTGAGAAGGAATGGGTTTGAAAGTTGAAAAACTCGTAAGCCCCCAAAAAGTATCAACTTGCACACACTAATTGGACTTTCAAGTTGTTACATAGTACATCAAACTTATTCATTTTCAGCACCGCATCCTCCCCAACCACTGCATCTGCTGCCACTGGCACTTCTGGCTGATCCGCAACAATTGGCTGCCTTCACCCTCATCCCCGGTAGGTCTGTGGTGCCATTGTTGGCCAACGTGGTACATATCAGACTAATTGCTGTCAATCGCGTCAGCAATCAACAATCTACACAGCATGTAAGTTACTTACAGGATTTTGAGGGCCCATCTGCAAAGTTTTGATGGCATTAAGATGTATATGTGAGTCGATAGTGTTTTAGTTTCGAGTTCAAGATACTTACTCAATAATTTGTGTCTACTGGCAGTTTCTTTTTTTGGACAATATAGGCGACTCTTACTAGTATACAACAGTATATATGACTCTTAGTAGTACTACTTATTGTGCTGAATTCACTTTTTTTAATTATCCAACTTACGAGTTTGAGATGCACTGAATTTGCTTTTCAAAAGTGTACTAAGTTGAAAAAGCAATGTTTTAGCTACATTCACTAAAAATTAAGTAATGTAAGCGGGAAAAGCACCCCATCCTGTCATTCTGATGTATCAACCATGACAATTGACATGTAATGGTGATACATAAATGCTGTAGGCAGTCAGTCTCTGGAGTCTGTACTAGGAGTGATGTATAATGAGGGCTGGGATAGGTCCATATATGTTTTTAAACATATTATAAACACTCTAGAACAATCAAATACCAAATAGTTGAAATTGCGAAATTGTTTTTGATATGTTTTCTATTATGTCACACTTGCAGAGGCCCTGTAGCAGGCATTGGTACAAAAATAGACAGAAGAAGCGGTCTATTATGTTCTATTATATGTATATAACCTATAATACTACTTACCTACAAGCTGTATCTAATTGTGGTGTGATGATGAGCCAGGGATGGACTGGGGAGGGTGTGGGAAGGGTTCATATTGTGGAGATACCCAAAATGGGTTATGTTTTGGGTGTTGTGGAGAAGTTCCCACAGTAGATGACTAAAAATGCGAACATGTGACCCTGTAAATGGCTGATGTATCAGCCAGTGCTGGCACCTGCTGGGAGGATCTGTACTGATACATCACTCCTAGTACAGACTCCAGAGACTGACTGCCTACAGCATTTATGTATCACCATTACATGTCAATTGTCATATATTTAATGTATCATTATGACAGTATCGACTGGGAAAAGCAACCGGTTGTTTTACTGATGGACCTGATGATGACTCAGTACATTATGTAAAGAGATCAGAACTATCTTACCTTTGCAGTGCCTGAATTGGCAGACCGGTCAGGATCTGATTTGGGAGCAGGAATGGCGAGTGGTAAAGGATCCTACAGCAGTTAGATCATGCATAGAATATGCCAAGAGTTGCACATACTTGGCTTATCCGAACGGGCAGGAGATCCTGTGCGCTGGAACTTGCAGGGTTCGGAGAGTGTTGAGCACCTGGAACGGAAGGGTTGGTTGACTTGCCCCAGGACTTGGGATGAAGGAGCTTCGAGAGTCCTCTGTGAGATCTATCACCCAAAAGGGGGAGAGACACATCAGTAAATTACGAGTTCCCTTTTTACTCACTTATATCCAACTTTTTGCACGACATAGTAGGGAAGTAGTGTGAGGTCAAAAAAAGTAGAAGCTACTTTTTTCAGTAGATCCCCCTCCTCAAAACATACTTATTCTCAACTTTTTCTTGCTTATTTGTGCGAGAGCCACTTAAAAACGCATGATACTAGATATTAAAAGTTGCATTCACTAAAAAAAGTAGCCCAAAAGTACAAACAGTAAGGCAACAAGCAGTCCAAAAGTGTGAAAAGTAAGGTGGAAAGTAGTCTAAAAGTCAGAGACATGATGTGGCGGATCAGTGGGGGCAAAGTTAAAGTCCGGGTGCATTAATGTACCGATGGAACCAGGTAAGTGCAGAGAGAATGGACAATGATGCGGGAAGACGAAAATAGCAAATATTCTGTGGGGTGCGTCAGTAGAGCGCATGGGAAGTAAAAATAATAATACTCACAAAGCAGCACATGCCCCCCTTTGGATTTGACCTCAACGGGAGCACATTTGACCTTTTGAGCTGTGTCCTGCTGCTGGCGCACCAAGTCGATGATGTCCACTGTGTACTGTGTGCCATGTTTTGCAATGGATTCATAGTACTCTGCCATTGCGAGCCCGCAGTTTGTCTCCAAGAAGGCTGGCAATGGTGGTATCCCTGGGGGAGTTTTGTAGGCCTCGCTGCTGGTAGTACTGCCCTTTGCACTGCCTTGGTCATCCATGTGAACCCTGGGTGTTGCAGCATAGGAAAAAGCGTGTTCAAGCTGTGGAAATTGACAATTAATCAAAGTCTGAATCTGCAGATCCAGGACCTACTGTGATGGCACATGCGGCAATTACAGCCTGCATACCATTTAATTGCAGATCGCGTGTGTTGAGTGCAGGTACCTCAAGGAATCCAGTGGTCGCATTGACATGAGCCGTCTCAATCATTTCCAACATGAATGTCGACTGGTAGATCTCATCTGGGTTGCAAGTGTCTGGATTTTCATAGAGGAAGGCATATTGACTGAGAAGGGCTTCTGCCAGCCCTTGTTCAAACTCGGCGTTATCATCAGCTCTGCTCTCACTATCTCTGGAGGATACCATAAAATTAGTAACAAGTGCAATTGCGGTTGACCCGAAATTGCTGCGCCAGGAGCATAGCTGCTGATTTACCTTCAGTTGCAGTTAGAAACATGGTTCGAAGATAAAAACAAAAGCAAGACTCACCAAACCTACAATAGGCCCCTTTGGTTGAACATTGTGCATCATTCCTGGATATGCGACATCAAAAATCGCCTGTAGCGCAGGGAGTAAATGCTCAATCTCAATAGACCAGAAGCTCGGCTGGGCGCCCACCCAAAGAAAAACAGTGGGGATAAAATTCCTGCACCACATGCCACCCTGCAACATAACAGGTGGGAGGTCAGTGTTTCGCCATTGGCATCCGGGTTTAGGCTTTGTTGCTAGGTCAGCAGCCATCAAATCAGGCTTGGGCAATACCATCCTGAGAATCTTAGTGTCCTGGGGAACTGGTTCCAATTTGGCTTTCTTAGGTGCACTTGGGTTTCCAGAGGCTGTTACACTTGTCTAGGCGCTCCATGCTTCAGTGACATTATAAAGAGGATTTTTAAGGAGAAATTACCCTTGTAGTTGTGCGGGCTGGCTTGATGACCTCCTCGACCTGGGATGGGACAATCTGAACTTCCATATCACTGAGTTCCATAAGGTCAGCATCACTGTCCACACGGTCCTCTTCCATTGTGTCCTCTTCGGACAAGACAATGTATGTAGCATCACCAGCCATTTCAACATCTTCAATGGTCCTCTTGGCAGTACCAGTAGTGCGAGTTGCCTGCTCTAGAGCATATTGTATTATTTCAGCTTGTTGGCTGAATGGTAATAATTCGAACAGCGTGGACACAGGTCCTTTATCCACAGATTCTGCGATCTCTACAACACTCTAACACACATGACTACAGGTGAGCGTTGGATTTTATCAGGACTTAGTAGTGACTTACCTGCATCCCCACCTTCCCTTTCCCTCCAGCGGCAAGAGTAGACAAGTGCTCTTTGAAAACTTCATCGTCCTCTGATGTGGAATTTTCTGAAGGAGTGGTAGCTGCAGTCTGGCTTGTTTGCAATGTGGTTGCTGACTGAACACCAGTGTTGCCAGAGACAGATTGATTGTCAGAAACAAGGGAGGGCATCTGCATGCCAGGAACCAGGTGTGTACACCAGTTATTAATTTTCCCCGACAAGTTGAATTTTTTGTTTCTGAGTGCCCAAGTGAGAGTCATAAAGTGGAGTGTGGATTCTGTGAGCATCAACATGATGGTGAGAAGACAATATCACTAACACTATCAAATTTACTTTCTTGTTGTTATCAGGGGCCTTGGCATCAGTACAATCAGCAATCTGCCTCCTTGCAGCATTGATCGCTTCACAGGACATAAGGTTTTCAACCCTCTTCTTCTTCTTCTTCTTCTTCTTCTTCTTCTTCTTCTTCTTCTTCTTCTTCTTCTTCTTCTTCTTCTTCTTCTTCTTCTTCTTCTTCTTCTTCTTCTTTGGCTTCACACCCTCATTACTGATCACCTTGCCACAATTGATTCCTATATCTACGCTATCAGCATCCCCTAGACCCACAGTGTGATTATCTCCACCTTGAATGATAGACTTTGCCAGAGGTTCATGGGAACTCTCTGAGGTAAGATTACTGGCTGCACCCTTCGCACTTTGCTTTTTCTTGACTGGCTTAGGCTTCACCAGTTTCACCTTTGTCGCCTGAACCACCTGCTCCACCTCCATGGCAGCCTCAATGCTGGCAATGCGGCTAATTCCCTGTTGTACAACAGCATCCTAGACAGCCTGCTGTTCTCTGGCTCGCCTCCGATCCTCTTCAATCTGTACATTGGTACGTCATTTCCTTTGACCCTCGAGAAGAATTTGACCAGGGTGTTGGGTTGCGTTTTTGGTGTGTGTATGGCGAGGGGATATGGGAGTTGCCATAGTGGATATGAAAGACAGGTGACCGCAGGGTGGAGAATGCAGAGGACGCAATCCAATAAATGGTAAGAGTTGAGATTGTGAACTTTCAAAATTTCCTAAACTCACACGAACAACCCTTAGTATCTCAACACCAATCCACGCCATTTTCCAAGTCCACCTGCATTCTCTGTGCATATTTCTTGCCATTATTCAACTATATCATTAACCTTGCAAGACCAGTTTCCTCTGGATGATCAACTAATGACGAGAGCCAGTATCAACCATCTGACCGCCTCAAAACACCATCAACACAAGCGTTGGTTAGCCGGCGGCATACCTCGTGCCAGCGCTGATAGTACTGACTATTCTAATACCTAGAACTGCATCATGTCCGACCTGCATTGTAAATTCAGTGGTCACTGTACTATCCCTTGCACCAAGCCAGGGTGCAACCGCTGGTTCAAGAATCGATCAGGGTATACACAGCATACAAATGCTATGCACCCAGTACTCAGCGCACAGCAATCTACTGCGACTCATGCTCCCACGCTGCCACCTGACATTGACAACGCCGTTGATTTTGGTGATGCCTTGAACTCTGCGGATGTCATGGACTCTGGAGACAACGACGATCCTATGCAATCCGCAGCTCAATTCTTTGGCGCTGGTGATCAGTTATATAGAAATTATCACCCCTTCTTGACTGGTATGTTTTTTGTCCCGCTTTAGTATAGTTCTCAAATTCTAGTGGCTAATTTACCATTTGTGACTCGCAAAGCTTGCCCTTGTGATCCTCAAGGCAATGTTATGACCAGAGTTCACCGAATGGCAAAGTCTGACAACAACCACTAGGACTTGGTCAAGGATGATGATAATAACGGATAGTATTGAGCGTGAACATCTAGGTCTACTACAACAGTAGAGAACAAAGAGGTTAAGTCTAAGGAGTACTTACACTAACTATCCTACTTTTATACATAACATTGAATAGGAGTCTGAAAGAAATCAGCCAATGAGAAAAGAGTCGTATGATACTGCGGATGACTAAGTATGACATCATGATATATAAGCGAATGAGTAAGATGGCAACTAAACAGAAACCCAAGTTCCGACCGGTTCTTCTTTGGGGAGCGAGATTGTTCTAGCCTGTGGAGTAGGGGAGCCAATCAGAGAAACCACGGGTGATATGTGAAGAGATGAAGGTGTGACAGGGTGAGGAGTCACGTGACCGGTTCGGGTACTGGAAGTAGCCGAAGGAAAACCGAGAAATGAAAAATGGTTCATATTAGGAATTCGTGACAGGCAACTTCCTTCCACCAGGGACACCACCTCCTCTGCTCTCAGACAAGGCGCCAGACGACTGGACTCCATACAGGAGCCGGGTTGAGTTTGAGCTCACCAATTACTTGTTTACACAGAATAAAACCCCAGCGCATTCAATTGACCACCTACTGAACATTTGGGCAGCTTCCTTGATCCAAGCTGGTAGCAAAACGACCCTGTTTTCAGACCACTGGGGCGTCTACAAGACAATTGATAATACCCCCATTGGTGATGTTAAATGGCAATCATTTTCTGTCAAATATACAGGCACAATCCCAGATGAAGGCGCCACACCCTGGATGGCAGATAGCCATGACATTTGGTTTTGTGATCCCTGCAATGTTGTCCGGAACATACTTGCTAACCCAGACTACACTATCGAAATTGATCTCAAGCCATACTGTGAGTTTGCAACCAACAATGATGAGCGCCAATGGCAGGATTTTATGTCTGGAAATTGGGCTTGGTCTCAAGTGGTATGTCTTTCTTTATATCTATTGTTTTCAGCTTGAAAAGGATGTCTACAGGACATGATGGCTGATGACGCTGACACCCATGGTTCAACATTTGTACCCATCATTCTCAGAAGTGACAAAACAACTGTTTCAGTTGCAACTGGGCAAAATGACTACTATCCTCTCTATGTGTCTATCAGAAATTTTTGAAATAATGTGCGCTGTGCTCACCGTAACGCTGTTGCTGTCATAGGATTTCTTGCAATGCCTAAAAGTAAGCGGTCACCTATCTCATATTTTCTTGTCCTCACATCTTGCAAAGCAACCAAACAGCATGCTGATACAGCAGACTTCCGAAATTTCCGACGGCAACTGTTTCACTCCTCGCTCTCATTTATCCTCAAGAGCCTGAAGCCTGGTATGACTGAGTTTGAAGTTGCACGTTTTGGGGACGGTCACTATTGTCGAATTATCTATGGATTGGGACCCTATATTGCAGACTATGAAGAACAGGTATTGCTTGCCTGCATAGTCCGACGATGGTGTGCCAAGTAAGTGTCTTTGATCGTGTGTTGTATTCATTCTTATATGGTGACAGGTGTCTTTCACATTGCGAAAATCTTGATGAGATCAACCTGTGTCGTTCAAGACTTCACACAGATGCACTCATTGAGGAGTGTGATCATACAACATTGTGGGACAAGTATGGCATTGTTGGGGGACTCGTGGTACTACAGTCACACCGTCTCATTTGTACTTAGATTAACTCATATATCCAGCCATTTACCAATGATTTCCCCCATGCCGACATCCACGAACTACTCGCACCTGATCTTCTCCATCAAATCATCAAGATTGCAGCAGTTCCTTCATTTCCTGGGCTTCATAGATTTCCCCAAGGACGCCACTTCAAACAATGGACTGGGGATGATTCAAAGGCCCTTATGAAGGTATTATTACGCTATGTCTTACTCAGCATAGTAGTGTAATGCTAACTATGTTAAGGTTTACTTGCCAGCAATCGAAGGTTACATCCCCACAGACGTTGTGCGCACATTCCGTGCATTTCTCGAATTCTGTTACCTTGTCTGCCATAATGTGATCACAGAGAAATCACTGGATGAGATTCAAGACACACTGACTCGTTTTCACAAATACTGCGAGATTTTCAAGACTACTGAAGTAGTTTTGACTTTCTCACTTCCCCAACAACACTCTATGTCTCATTATGTCTCCCTTATTCGACAATTCGGTGCTCCAAATGGCCTGTGCTCCTCAATCACCAAGTCAAAACACATCAAGGCCATCAAGGAGCCTTGGTGACGGTCCAGCCGATATGAGGCACTGCATCAGATGCTGCTGATTGACCAGCGCCTCAACAAATTGGCAGCGTCGCATGTAGATTTCTGCACTCGCAGAATGCTCTTGGGTACATGTTTGTCATCTATTCTTGCAACACTTGGTACAACATTTATTTGTAACTTTGTCGGATCACTAATTTTGTGACTTGAACCACTGGCAGAAGATGAACAGCCTCACAAGCCCTCCATTGCACAACAAAATGCAGCTGAACTAGAGCCACCAGATGTGATCCCAAGCGCCAGTATACCTGATGCAGATGTCAATGCCAACTGTGAGGATGTTGATGAGCCAACTGCAGTCCTCGCACATGTGCGACTGGCTCGAACATCTCGTAAGTTATATTCTTCATTTGCACGATTTCAATACACTACGTACTAATATAAACAGAAGGCACAAAGCATGCACAAAGTATCCCTGCACTAGCCAATGAACTCGACATCCCACACTTGGCCAATCTTGTTTGACAGTTCCTCATCAAACAGTTACATCCAGACAAAGATCCCACTGAGGTCCCTTCCAGTTTTATGGAGTCCCCTTGCTATGAGGGACGGATACGAGTTTTCAACTCTGCAGTATCAACATTCTTTGCACCGTCAGACTTGAGTGGACTCGGTGGGATGAAACGCGAGCACATTCGCGTGTCTCCGAAGTGGAGGGGTGGACACGCACATAAGGATTGTGTGTTTGTGATCACTGACTCACATGCTCCCGGAATGCGGGGCATGGATATTGCCTGGGTGCTCACTTTTTTTTCTTTTAGGTTGAGAGGAGGATATTATCCATGCACAGTTGTCCGCTGGTTCAATCGAGTTGGTGAGGGACCAGATGATGACACGGGGATGTGGATGGTGAAGCCGTCGTCTATCGGTGATCATGCGCACTTCGCGGTGATCCATGTGGACACCATTTTTCGCTCTGCCCATCTTATTCCTGTCTATGGTACTGAACCACTCCCCCTGCCAATTAAATTTCACCACGTCCTTGATATATTCACACTCTTCTACGTGAACAGATATGCCGACCATCACGCCTTCGAAATAGCTTCATAGCACTTACTACTACCTCACTTTTTTTCGAATTCCTTACTTTGTTCGAACTCGCTACTTTTTTCACTTTTATCAACTTTTAAACTTATCACTTTTTCTATCGCGCGAACTTATTATGTCTGGAAAAATAAGTGAGAAAAGTTGAGATTATTTGCATTAAGTACAAGAAAAGCGGGAAAAGTAACCTCGTGATTTACTGATGCAGCTGGAACGACACCATCACACACAACCAACAGATGTAAGTGCAATGTTCAATACCTGACTCCCACTGACCCCAGGCAAATCATGGTTTGAGCTGCTTCCTTTCAGCAGATGCGTTACCTTTTTCTTCCTCGATCGACTGAATCTGAATTCAAAGAGTCTCTAAGACTTAAGTGCAAAAGGGAGGGGTGGGTAAGAGGGTGATAGATGGAACGAGGGTTAACGTTGACAAGCGCCTGACTTACATGCGTTTGGAAGCGCTCATCGCAATGAGCCGGAGTTCATTGATATCAATGGCATACAAATATTGCTTGAACTTTATCGATGAGCCGTAGATATGAAAATTGAATGCATTAGTCTTTTCCTCCCATGGCCAGCAACCCGCAGTGACACAGGCTTGGTGTGCGACGTTGAATGTCCAAGCCAGCACAGAGGAAGCTTGCAAGTTCTTTGCGAGGCGCGCCACCGTTCAATTGATTATTTGTAGCATGAATTTGCAGCAAGTACATATACGCCGGGATTGATAACTATCCGAATCAGGCATCGCCAGCTCTTTGACATACAACAATATTCCTCCCGCGCGTAGGCTTGGAAGTTTAAATTATCCATTGTTTTAGGTCATGTTATCGCATCGCCTGCGTATGTTTCAACTCTCATAATTGTTGCACTCCCGTTGATTTGTGTTCCTTCAGCGAGACCTTGATTCTGGGTCAACGTCAACGTTGTCGAGAATCTGATATTCTCATACTCTCTGATTGAGTGGGACGTATTCACGAGCATACTCAGTTCATTCATTCTGATGAAGAGCACGTCCGTCATCAATTTCGGTAAGCTCCGCTCGTACTTTATGTACTACAGCTCAGGACAGCTTGCAGTGCTAACTGGTTCTTCCACAGATGGTGGCGCATACCCAGCATGCCATGGACAAAATGATATGGAGCTCGAGTGGAGTGGGCACATGGATGATGGCGTCGACGCAAATTGGATCCGCGGGATCAAACGTTCCGGCACTGCATACATATATCATTTAGATATGGGCCAGGATAATTCCGCACACCAGAGTCTAACATTTAGCCCATCGACGCAGTCTAGACCCGAACAATTAGTACTTGCATATCTTACCATGACTTGTGTCTCAGCGAGTGCATCGAGTACGATCGAATTGATCGGCATCGTTGAGATGTTTCAACCTGCCCAGCTCGAATAATTCACTTTTTTCGCACTATGAAAATCACCTGCATCAACTTTCAAAGAACGGTGTTCTCATCCGCGCACTGGGGCCTCCCCCCGCAAATTCACGCGTCATCCATTGCCCCTATAAATGGTGAATTTAGCCACCTTCCGGAGCTTCTAATATTAAACGACGAGTTTAGCTACCTGGTCTAGAAAGCCAGACCACCGTGCTCAACTTCGTGTAAAAAGTTGACGGACCTTGGGGTAAGGTTTGCAGTTCTAGATGTACAGTCCTAACGAGGGTGAAAAAACTGTATGGAAAATTTGAAATGCTATCTTCACTCAATACATCTGGGATGGTCAAAATAAGAATGAGAATTTGCCAGATGAGGCGGTCCGTCGGTAAGCAGCGGCGAGGTGAACACATTGCTAGGTGCCCAGAAAGGTTGCCGTGAAATTGTCTGCTGAGTTGGGACCGTCAATTTCCCGACTCGAAGCTAGATCCGAGTCGTCAGAGTTTCGCGCAGAACCGCAGGTTCGGACTGGAAAATCATTGTTTGAAAAGACATATCGACTTGACACGTCATAAGGTGCGGAGGAACTCATTAGGCCTTTGGCTTCAGGGACCGGGTACAGTTGAAAACTTGTCATTGTTGAAAACATTGCATTTAAGTCATCTTGACTGCCTTACCAGTTGCCACCGCCAAGCTTATCTTCAGCGCTGCGTGTCTCCCTGCATTGTGATTCACCAAGGCCAGACCCAGACTCCTACCGTAGATCGGCAACTGGAGAAAAAGAGGCCACGTCCGAGGAGTAGAAGAATCATGTGATTCAATATCTTCAAACATGTTGCTGCCGGATCGCTCTCATATATTATGAACAACCACTGGCTTGACCACTACTAAGACATAGCGAGATCGAAGGGTGTTGCAGGGCACTGCGGTAATATCAGATCTCGTCACAAGCTGCTCTACTCCTCGTAACAACGCTTGACCATGCTCTAGCGTAGGGGATCAGTAATACAGTTGCACAGGCAAAGCTCCAGACTACCTTTTACCCGAAGATTACTGCCAGTGAGAAGGTTTAGTTTTGTGCCAATGACAATGAATCGAGCACCCCATACGTACACTAGGTCATATCCTCCGGCGAGGCTCGAAAGTCCTGTGGTTCTGCCGCCGCCCCTGCACTTCCAATTGCTGAACTTGCTCACTGTGAGGATTAGGTGTGCGAACAGGATTGGGGGGCCTGTATGAATTAGGACCGTGTGAGTGACGAGGAAGGTTATGACAATGCGCTAATGACAATGAATTGTGCATCCCATACGTACATGCAGTTATGCAAGCACATGTAGATTTTTTCGCCGCCCCTATACCAATTGTGTATAAAAGCCAATGCACTAGCTTCGAAGTTCAACACCAACAAGTTTTAGTCATGAAATTCGCATCACTCATCCACTCTGATCGTGTCTGCTGCATTTATGGCTGGCGTAACTACCGCATCTGAGGACCTCTTGGTAACCCCCAAGGGCCTAGCCTGCAACAACCCTTGTGAGTAATCTTGCAGCCTACGTGCAGACCTCAGACCGCGTACTTACCGCTATTCGTAGCTCGAGTGGGGTGCTCAAGAGGCATCAAAGGATATAACAACCAAGACGATTTCGGGTATTTCTGTGGAGCTACAGGCAAAATTATATCCTTTACGCCCTGTAACTGTAAAAGGTGCTGTAAGGTGGATAGCGATGGGGTTGACTTCACCTGTTAATGAGCGTTGCTCAACTCCAGCGTGCCTGAGTGAGCCTGTCCTCGTTGCCTTCTTAGTCCGAGTGCTGATGTGCTTGCTTTCGCTAGTGCATGGAACAATTAGCATGATGCATGCATGAAGGAGTGTTGTAGCGTAGCCAAGAATATGTCAATCAAGTCAGGCTGTCTCTTTGTTCAAAGATGCTTTGTAATGTCGCAATGTCGAAGGGTGTCAAAGGGGGTGACACTAGTCTTTTGTCAATTATTAGCATGACCATCGATTTCAACTTGAATCAACCACCCGAATGACCCCGTCATTGCCCCGCGCCATCTCGGAGGTGGTGGAGTGACACGGCCGTATGATGATGACACCAACGTCCAGTTTCAAATGCACACCAGATTTGAGTGCATATGCATGCACTAGTGAAGTCCGAATCGTAAGTGGTGGATCCCTCCTAAAATATAGGACCGCGGAGTAGACACGGAGATAGTGTGGAAAACTCCGCCGTTGGGTCCTCGAATGTTGTACTACGATATCTAGGGCTCAGCGCTCAGTTAGACCTTAGTAGAGAAGGAACGACTTCATTCGTCTTGGTCGAGACTAGGGCTGCCCGTGAACATACCCGTATACTTACCGTGGCGTGCATACCCGTACCCGCCGTACCCGTGACCCCCAATACCCGCGGTGTGTCCCGTAGTACCCGCGCTATAGCCTATGAATGTTTCTTCTTGAGGCAAACTCTATTTCCAACATTTCCCTTCAATTCGCTTCTCGTTCACGAATCGACCAAGAACACACTACAGCTCGTCGATTTCACGATTGAAAAACACAGGAACACTGGGCATTAATATTGGTACTACGTACGTGGGTGACGCAAGTCGCTGTTTAGAATTGCAGCCTCTTCGAGAGGTAATTTTTCTGCGCAGGATTTCGTATTGACTCGACTGATTACTCCCACAGGTTATCCATGATCACGCGTTCCGCTTCCCTCGATGTTATTCCCTAAGAGTAGGACCGCTTTCGTTGAGCAATTAGACGAAGACATAGCCGCATTAGCCGAGTCCTTGCGCATCCTTCGCTCTCGCAGGAATGCTGCTGTCTTCATATCTTGCCTTCCATCCGAGATTCTCGCGACCATCTTCACACATATCGTAGAAGAGGAGAGCTTCAAGAGCTATGTTAATACGGGCAACACCGACGCGCCGTTGTGGTGCTCCTACTCCAATGATAGTCACACACGTCTGCAGGCAATGGCGCCAAGTTGCCCTCGAGTGCCCGACTCTTTGGGCATTCATCGACTGCGTCCATGTTGATTGGCTATCCATCATGTTTCAGAGGTCGAAGAAAGCTGCTTTGGTCGTCACATACAGTGCACCGCTCTCGCTAATACATTGCGTGGAGCAACTTCTTTCACAGTTGCCTCGAATCAAAGTCCTCCAGTTGTGCTCATTTCCATCAGATGTTAATCGCATTTTCCACTGCTTATCATCACAGCCCGCACCGTTGCTTCAAATATTTAAATTCTCGGTCATGGAGGGGCGTCACCTAGGAATCGTCAAGCCCATATCAGACGCCATTTTTCAAGGACGAGCACCTCACTTCGGAGCGTCGAGCTTATGCAATGCACCTTCAGTTGGACATCGTGTATTTCAGCGGACTTCGAACTCTAGCTCTCAGACGAATAGGATCTTCCTCTTATCCTACTCTGTCGCAGCTCCTGTCAGCTCTCAGACGTATGCCTGGCTTGGAGCTGCTTATGCTTGAGCTGCCGTGCAGAAATTCCGGGGACACAGTGCTCTTCGATCATGTCCCACTCACTCAATTGAAAAATATAGCGCTGGATGCCTGCACCATCCCAACCGCTGTATCTCTCTTCTCACATCTAGTCCTTCCCGTCGATGTCGGGATTGCTCTAAACCTCGCACAAAGTGAAAGCCCTGAAGGCTTTTCTAATCTATTTTCGGTCATATACAAGAACCCTGACGAATCTGGTCCTGTCATGCGGTCCCTGGGTGTCAGCCTTACGTTCCAAACATTCCGGGTCCAATTCAGCACTTCAATGACGTTCAAATCTGAGGATTTGTGGAAGACTCGTGACGGTGATATATCACTCTCGATTCAATTCGAACGTGACACCTCCACCACAAACCCAACCATCGTATTTGACATGTGTCGAATGGTCCCGCATCGCAAAATTCAAAGTTTGTTTGTGTCATCCTGCCTTCATCTCACAGAAAATTTCTGGCACGCAGGGTCCGCTGACCTTCTGGAGCTCGAAAGTATCCATTTGAAGAGCGCCTCTATTGGAGTTGGAGGCTTGATCGCTGCGCTCCAGAGCGAAGGCGCGCAGAGCTCGGATATAATGTATCCCTCGCTCCATGCTCTTGAACTCGACAATATCGACTTCGCATGTGATGAACCTCAAGCACTTCGGGACATTGTCATAAAGCGAGCCAAACACGGTATCGGTATACACAGATTCCGACTAGCCAAATGCTACAATTTGATGAACGATGGGGTGCAGCTCCTTAGGGAAGTGGTTGCAGACGTTGACTGGGATGGGCACTCGGTGCCCCTCACGGACCCCTTCAATGGACGCTGCTGTTGTGCCAGTTGCGGGGGCGAATATTCTGATTATTCTGATGACGATGATACGAATTCGGAGGACTAGTTCTAATGAGTCTGTCACCATGATAGGACGTTTGCACAATATTTATGATGATTTGTTTCGAACGCGAGATTGCGATACACTATGTATTGGCGCTACTTACGTAGTGTCACAATTGAATACTACGGATTGTGATCTAACCTTTTAAATTTTATCGGGTTAGCTAGACTAGTCCTTCGCGTTACTTCCTTGTTTAATCAATTCGCGACGCTGGTCGAGATCATCATGCGAATCAGCCTCAAAGGTTTACACATTGGGCCCCTATCCTTGCTGGGTATTTTTTCTCCCATCGTCGCTCACCTCCCACATTGAGCGACGACTGCTCGTGCACCCAGACGTTGTTGATAAAACCCATGCGGGAGATGAAGAAATATTAGCGCCAGACCACTCGAGGAGATCGAGTCTCTTTGCATGCAGTGTGGGGAGCAGGTGGCGGTCACCAACATTAATTGCGGTGGCTAGTATATAATATTCACGTTTGTCAGGGGAGTAACCCGAGTGATGCTCACATCCATCCCGTTCTTCCGGGAAGTGATTGTGATGAGTTTCTGCTGCGAACACTGCGGCCACTCGAACAATGGGATTCAGTCGGCAGGGAAGATCAGACATGCGCATTCGTTCATTTCGTTACCTGTCCCTCCTAATATTGTGTTTCTGAGACAGGCGAAGGCACTATGCATACAGTAAAAGTCCTTGTCGCGGTTAAGTACATCCTTTCCTTCCTCTGAGCTACTTTAACTGAGAGTGTTGCAGAGCACGGAGATAGACTTTGTTTTCCACTCCAGCACACTAGGCGGATGTTTCACGACTCTAGAAGGGCATTTTAGATCAGGTATACAAGGAACTCACTGAAAGAGTATTTAACACGGGAGATTCTGGGGTCGCAGATGTCGACGACAGAGCTGAGTTCCAAGAGAAAGTTCAAAGCTTAAGCAGGTGTGTTTTCTGTTCTCGTCACGCGACTCTTTGACCGTTGTAATCAGGTCAAGAACGCCGAGATACCATTCACTGCCTTGATCTTTGATGACCCCCTGGCGAACTCACGAGTCACACGTGCAGAATCTATATGTACTTGATCCAGATCCGAACATGGCGACTCGGATCGTCACCTAGTACGAGCGAACGTGGCAGCAGAATGGAGACCTCAGACGAATGGTGAATCATACGGCGAAGGACGGTGTACTGAAAGTCAGAGGTTATAGCAGTGAAAGACTGCCAAGTCCAGTTTACATAGTAGTACATAGTTATTTGGAACCGTCCGCTCCACGGAGCTACACGAGCATCTCACGTTTGTCCTGCAAAATGCTTCAACGCGCAAAGTCGCTTGCAACGCATACTAAGATCAACATGTTAATGATTGCGTCAAAAGACGATCTGGCGCGTCATCGATACCGACTCATCACAATTTTCGACTCGAAGCTAATACGTATCCATTGATCAATAGTACTTAGGGTCGTGTGACGTGACATGGGTAACAACCTGTGTGACAGACCGCGCCCCGTTAATGCAAGAGTTGACAGAGTTTGCTGATTCATGACAGTCATTTCAAGGGTGCTTGCTGTACCTGCCATAGAACCGGAAGACAAATATTGGTTGTAGGTACATTTACTGTGCAGCTGGCGTGTCCCCACTTTTCTGATTGAAACCTGTTCCACAGTCCCTTCGGCGCCGCATATCGTTGGCCAGTGACTTTCGTGACCTTATGGCAACTACGAGTACTTCCCCGCTGCTGTCTGAGCGCGTTCTTCCGACTCGTAGGGCCGCAAGGAGGGCTTCCGCTGTATTTGCAGACCAGCTCCTCAGTTCGCCAGGTCGCTCCGACGATGAGCCCGAGCCCGAGCCCTCCGACTCATTTGGAGAGCCTGCATCACGTAGGCAGCCCAATGTCAAATTCCGCTATAATGCCAAGGGAAAATTCCGCGCTTCGCCGCTAAAGCAGACGGACAGCCCATCACCATCCTCTAAGTATCATCCCAAACCAAAGCGCACACCTAAACCCAAGCGCACGCCTAAACCCAAGCCTGTCACACCCTCACGCTCCCAACCCCAACCATCTGTGCATTCGAAAAAAACGCAAGGCCCCTTCTTCTTTTTCGGATAGGGAAGGCACAGTAAGCACTCTCACAACCCTGTCGCCCTCTCCATTTTCGAGCGTCCCAACAAGTCCGTTTGTCTCAACTATGGATCTTCCCCCACCTTCCATAATTAGTCAAGCCACCCCACCACCTCAGAAGCTTCGTAGGGCTAGGGGTGGCTCCATGCGCTCCCTCGGAGCACCCAGTTCTAGCTTCTCACAGCCCACGAGCCAAACTTCCCCAAGGAAAAGGAAGGCGGACAAAGCAAAATTATCTGACCAGGGTAATGGGCATGGCTTCGGCGACGTTGACACTTTAGTCTGGGTACTCGTGAATGACTTGGGAGTCCTTATCGCCTCGGTTCCACATGATGACGATATCGAGTTTCTGGAAGAACGTATGTGGTGGCCTGCCAGGGTGAGCATTGCCTTACCTGCTGGAAGTTATCAATTCATACAAGGAAATGGTCAGGTCGTACAAAAGGATCCGCTTCGTGTGACCCTCTTTGGTGACCTGGCATCGTCTCGAGAACCTTCGACAATTTCGTCTCCCTCCGAATACAATATCCAGCCTATTCATAATGTATCTGGCGAAAAGCTTTTCTCCCGAGCAACCTTCCAGGTCTCGTCTCTCACTAAAGCTGAACCCTCAACCCCTCCCCTCGTAAGAAAGCCAAGACGGACATTCGCGAGAGATGGGAAGCAGCAGTGAAAGCTATGGAGGATGCAGATGGGCTCAAGCGTGATGCATGCCGAGATGATTTCCGCTTACACTGGCGGGACGTTTTCCTCAGAAGAAGAGGATGTAGATGACCTGCGTTCAACCAAGAAGGCCAAGGTCACACCCACTGAGTTTGAGGTTCTCACAGACCGCGCTTCTCCTCCGCCTCCAGACCCGATGCTCCAAATACCGGGCGAGCTTGTTCTGGCGCAGGCTCTACGAACGAGAAGTAACAAGTACTGGCCCGCGCAGCTTATATCATACGTTCCGCCAACCAAACCGGGGGAAGGAGCGCTACCGGGCCAAGTTTCTGGACGACCGGGAGTATAACCTTACCCGGGATAAATTCTGGACCTCTGAGGAACGAGGCTTCGTTATGTGTGACCTGGGCGAGTTTGAAAGTGCCGTCCAGGACACTGAGACACCAGACTCGGAGGATGAACAGGAAGACAGGAAGCGGAGCCCCAGTCCACAGTTGTCCGACCCACCTCCTGACGCGGACGATTTTGCTGACTTGTCGATGCATGCACAGCTGGCGTACGTGAAGCCTGTCTTGAAAGCTATCTTACAAGGGAAGTACGCTCCGGCCAGCAAGAGCCACGAGGCTTTCATGCGGGGGGGTGCAGCTAGATCCAATCTCATGAAGCGGGCGGCGGTGAGAGGAGGTCTGGACCCGAACGAGGTAAAGCGGTCGCAAAAACTGCTTGCACGGTGGGCACTTGGCGAAGGGTATGCCTGTAGAGCCAATGTAGAAATTAAGCCCCAAGGAGACGCGGTACTACCGCCGGGGCAAGAGAAGACACCCTGCGCATCTGCTGTAGCAGCCGATGGTGATGGGTTGGCAGAGGCTGGCGCCGGAAGCGAGATAACTGCAACTTCCGACACCGCGGGTCAAGACATATCTCAGCCCATACCTCCTAGTGACATTGGCAATCAGGTCAATGACACCAGTGCCATGGCAGTTGACAAGCCTACTCCCGAAAAGGCAGACGAGGCAACTTCTGACATCGCGGGTCACCATGACATGTCTCAGCCCCTACCTCCCAGTAACATTCGCAGTCAGGTTGACGACCCCAGTGCGATGTCACTTAACAAGCTGGCAGACGAGATATCTCCAACTTCTGACAGCGCAAGCCCCGATGTTCTGTCTCAGCCCATACCTCCCAGTGATATTGGCAATCAGATTGATGAGGATGCAATAATAGTTGACAGGCCCAACCAGGTTGGCTCTTTGTACTTATTTTTGCGTTTTTTTTGTTGATGGCTCTTTTGCATAGGCTGACGATTCCTCAGAGCGGGAGGCGAATGACTTGCCATCTGCACCATTGCCTGATCAGCCTTCTGCGCTCAAGGAGGATATTCCAGACCAAGTAGGACCCATCTCAGTCTCCTCAGTTTCGAAAACATATGTTCATCTTTGATTACAGTCAGATTCTGGCGGTAACTCAGACCTGCCGCACGCTGAGGAGGTAGGCTAGTTACATTACCCCCGTTGCCCGTGGTCGTTCATCGTTCATACAGGTTGAGGGCCCTGTCTCTGTACGCGACCAACAGCGACCGGTAGGCTCACAGGAGTATGAAACATTAACGACCCTTGACAAACTTGATGTGCGTCTTCTGCTTTGCAAACCCATCCTCACCTATTAGAAATTGTTCTTCACCCACAGTACTGCGTGAACATTCTTCTCCCCGAGGCAATCCAGCAGCTACTCTTGTGGCGGTCGGGTGAGCGCACTACAGCTCTCCTCTCTCCCACGGAGGAAGAAAGGCTGCATGAGCGCGGTGCAGCAAAAGCGCAGGAAACGGATTGGGTATTTGACTTGCTCCGCCTGAGGGCGGCGCAGGCGCGGCTGTGGGGGGTGGATCTGAAGGCCAAGGGTAAAGAGAAAGATAAAGGCGGTGTAGGAGGTGGGACGCGTTCGCGGCCTCACAAGGCTACTTATCTCGATGAGGAATCTCAAGGATCATTTTGGTTATGTAAGGTTGAGCCCGTTTGGAAGTAGAACGGATGTAGTTACGGGAGCTGTTTGCGTGATACAAGGACATCGTCACTTTTCTGCCCATCCCAGGTCGGCATTGACACTTTGTATATATGGATCATTCAGACCCTTTTTGGCCCCTTGCCCCTTGATCAGGCTTTCCTCGAACAGTCTATTGTAATCTTGTGTAAGCTTAAGCCTCCTGAGCTCGATTCGTGTCGCAGGATCTAAGCCGTTGTTTTTATCTGCAAACGTGTTTTAACTTTTCTGACTGTTCTTGAACTGACTGACGCTGTAGCAATACTATATATGTAGAC